GCATACTCAAGCAAAGAACCCGTTTGATATTTAAAACCAAGAGCATATCTGATCGGCGACCAACCTTTGTTTCCAAACGTTTCACAGAAGTTTTTTCCCATTTAATCCACTCTGATTCTACTGTAAATTTCATTAACATACAACTGTACCAATTCACACTTGAATATTCTAAAAATTGATTTAATATTTCAATTTTTTTTTCTGTCTTCATCAATATGAAAACGTTCACATTCTTTGTTGAAATCTTTAATCCATGGGTAAGCATTTGCATTTCTACCAGTAAATTTTTCTATCACAAAATCTTTTGAAATTTTCCCCAAATTTTGAGTTTCAGATTTGTTTTGTTTTTCTTTGAGTAATTTCTTTAATCATTTCTCCAATGTTTCATTTGAGCTTGTAGGTAAAGATTTTTGATCATTGATGTTTTCCATAATCTCTTCAAGGTAAAAATCATTAAACTGTATATTTTGTTCTCCGTCTAAATATGTCTTTGATATTTCATCAGTTAAAGTTATCCAATTTAAGAGCACTGTTGAAGAAAAGCTGAGTACTCAAGAACGTACCTCCTTTGCCGATATGGTGAAAAAAGGTGCAGATAAGTTTGTCCGTCCAAACAATGTTAGTACCCTAGCTATCTACCCTAGTGACAAGACCAAAACTAGTGAAGAAACGAAGTCTCTGGTCCAAAAAATCATTTCACCGGAGGAACTGAAACTGCACGTAAGGGGCCTTAGAAAAGTGAGGAATGGAGGCGTTCTCATTAGTGCCGCAACTAGAGAGGATATCGAAAAACTAAAGCAGTCAGAGAAATTAGTTTCGTCAGGCCTAAAAATTGAAGTACCTAATAAAGAGAGTCACTGTTGTGGGTGTACCCGTAGCCCTGACTGAAAAAGAGGTACTTGAATGCATTTACGAGCAGAACTTGGCAGACAAGTTTCCTGGCGCTTCTCGCGAGTCCTGTCTCAACACCATAAAACTGAGCCACAAATCAGGTAAGAAAAGCCTTCCTACCTGTAACTATATACTTGAGGTGCCGGCTAACATTAGAAAAGTGCTTATCAATCAAGGGAGAATCTACATAAACTGGACTTCTTGTCCAGTTAGAGACTTCACGCTGGTGACTAAGTGCTTCAACTGCCAGCAGTTTGGACATGCAGCTAAATATTGCCGTGAAACCAGCCCAACCTGACCATTGTGGAGAGCTCGGGCATACCTTTAAGGAATGCAACAAAAAAGCTGCACCACCTACTTGTGCGACGTGTAAGCGTTTCAAAATCACAAGTGATCACCAAACTGGTGATGGAAGTTGCCCAGCACGGAAATACGCTGAGGACAAATACATCAATTCTATAAACTATGAGGGCGCCTGAGAGCGCCGGTATTAATTGATAGTGTAAGCACTTATACCTTTTTTATATTTTATTTTAATAAATAATGTCTAAACAGTTGCCCTATGACCTAGATAATTTTTCTGTGTCTGAGGTTAAATATTGTGAAGTCAAAGACTGTAAACAATATGTGCCGACTACGGATAATTTACTCACAATTATTACACAAAATATTCGCAGTATACACAAAAAACATGAATGTTTTAAGGTATTGTTACATACTCTTGATATAAACTGTGATATTATCATTTCGACAGAGTGTTGGTTGTCTAATCAGCATCCGCATTTACCATCTCTTAAGGGTTACCTACTGCATAAGAATGATATAATATTGAACCAAAACGATGGATTAGTAATATATTGCACGGCATTCTAAAACAGCATACTGGACTTCCCTATAACCATCATCTATACCATTGTGGCGACTCCCACATAAACATACTACAGCGCCATCTAATGAAGACACACCGAACTACGGAGTAACTACTAAAATAAGAATTGCTAATCCTGCATCGCGATATAAAGAATTCCCTCGCCGATTAGCATTTATACAACTTCCCAACATCAACCGTTGGGCCGCGGCCCGCCAGGCATGATCACCTCGCCTGGTCGGAGGATCCTCCCTTTGTGTTGGAGGGACATGACACCCGTTCCTCCACACCATCAAATAAGAGAAGGAAGGACATAGTGTGTAGCAGGCCTCAAGCTAGTCAAACATTTGTTCATAGATTTTATTTATTTTTAGGACTTTTTTATACAATAAAACTATGTAATAGAATACTAAATATATATAGCCTCAATAATAAAAAATGTGTGATCATGTTATCAAAATATTTAGGTAAATTTAACTATGCAGACACAGAAAATGTATTGGCAATTGTTAAATGAGTCTTAAATAGTTTTTGTATAATATTATTTTCTATTATTTCCTTTCGTACGTGTACACTTTGTAGTATTTTTTTATATTTTCTAGTGATCTGTTATGTTTATCTTACATTTCTAATTTAAAAATTCCATGTCAAGCGATCGCCTGAAACACAGGTTTACCCTAGTTCAGGCAGGCAGCGACTAAATCATAAATAACACTACTATAGATTTACGTTAGTGTAACTTAGTCTAATTATTGTCTAAGATCTATGTTAAACTGAAATGTCCTACACTGTAATATTTATATTGATCAAATAAAAATTATTAAATTATCTACAAACGGCGCGGAACGGGATGCGCTATTCCGATTTGATGGCCACCTGGAGAAACACAGGACTCGCGCTATTCCATCCTAAACACTGACGTAGATCTAGAATGATGATAAATATAGGCGATGAAGCCAAAATGAAATGGAAAAATCTTCGTGACACTTATGGTAAATATTTAAAAACTACAAAAACAACTACAGGCCAAAGTGCGTTTAAATCTTACAGTCGTTACAGCAAATGGCAGTGGGCATCTTCAATGGAATTTTTAAAAAGTGGAAGTGTCACGCGTTAAGCAAAATGTCACAGTAACGCCACACAGATCAAAACTTTTTAAAACCAGTATGGTGTACCCCAGGGCAGTATACTCGGTCTGCTTCTCTTTGTCTTATACATTAACGACCTTCCATCAATAACACCCCATCAATCTATCCTTTTTGCCGATGACATTTCTATGATTATACCTAAGATTGACATGCATTGCAATTTTGATACAATTCTAAATAATACAGTAAAATCAATAATGACATGGCTTGAATCCAATAATTTATGTGCTAATATGTCAAAAACAAAATTTATTAAATTCTCTAATTATAAGACACTACACGAAACTCTTAATATCGAGTACCGAGGTGAAGTTCCATCTGGGGTAGCTGATACCAAGTTTTCAGGTCTATACATAGACCAACACTGTAATTGGAAAATACATATCCAAAATGTCTGTATGAATTTGAATAAATTTGTATTTGCGCTCAGAAATCTACAACACATTGCTGGCAAACATGCAGCGCAAATTGCTTATTACGGATACGTGGAATCTGTGCTACGATACGGATTGTTGTTATGGGGACACTCAACAGATATAAATAAAGCATTTATTTGTCAGAAGAAATGCATAAGAGCTTTGTGTGATGCAGGACCACTAGATTCATGTCGGCCATTATTTAAAAATAACAATATACTCACTCTTACAGGCTCATATATATCTTGGAAATTTGCGTACATGTGAAAAAATTCTCAATTGAATTTAATAGTGCTAGAGACAATTCAGTCATAGGTAAAAGAGATTCCAATAGATTGTTAATGCCTGCATGTGGGAGCTCTTTTTTTCATAGTAACTGTTATGTAATGTGTATAAGAATTTTTAATAAAGTGCCTAAGTCAATTCGCGAATTGCCACTGTCTAAGATGAAGGCTGAATTAAAAAAATGGCTGATACAACAAACTTTTTATTGCATAAACGAATTTTTCGATCTTAAAATCGAAGTCCGAACCGAAGTCCGTTCCGGTCTTTGAGTCCGAAATCTTAAGTAAGTTACATTATAATTTTAATTCAATTTTAAATGTTGGACCATTTGACATTATTTATACTATTCTATTTTTATTTCCATGTGCTTAATGTTTGCATATATATAATAATGATTATTTTAATTTAGTTAAGCGTCTTAATTTTTTAATTTAAAGTGCATGTTTCATGTAATTTGATTTGTAATGTGATGTGCTCTAAATTTAAATTTGCATGCCAATATTGGCGAAATGTGTGATTCAGTTCTCCATGTAACATCCATAAATGTACAACTTTTTTTTTTGCAAATAAATTATTCTTATTCTAAAGATCACATAGGATTTGCTCCAACTGATATTAATGTGGCAAGAGAAGAAGAAAGCGTATCTGATACCCGAAATATTACTGAACCCGAATCTAATAATGAAAATTCAACACAACGGTCAAGTTCAGTAGTATCATCCGGACGTTATGCTTCACGTTCGGGTTCCAGAAAAAGGACTTCTGTTAACGAACATCGCCACCTCTGCAGCCGACGCCAACTCCACCGCCACAGCCGACCAGGTATGCCGATATAATTTGTCCCGAAGACGCAGCTCCTCGACAGGATATAGTACAGGAAGATCTTACTAAGTGGAGTAACAGAAGATTTAGAGAAGCACCAGTGTACAAGAACAGTGCATTCAATAATTACATCGGCATAAATACTGAAGTAGATCTAAACTCACCGTTGAAAATATTGACCCTATTCTTGACACCTTTTTTTTCACTCTCATGATTATAGAAAGTAACAGATATGCCACGCAGTGCCATCAGACTCTGAACATGACTGAAGAGGAGCTAGGAGCTTTTATAGGAATTCTGATAATTATGGGATTCCATAATTTACCTTCAATGCGGATTTATTGGTCGCGTGATAAAAACTTTCATGTATCTCGCATTAGCGAGGTAATGAGTATGCGTAGATTTTTAAAAATTATGAGATATTTACATGTGCATGACAATGAAAAGATGACACCTAGGGGCAACCTGGGTTATGATCGACTTTTCAAGATACGACCACTGTTGACACATTTTTCTAATATTTTTAGATCGGTATTCTGCCCTCATCGGCAATTGTCTATTGACGAAAGTATGATAGCTTTCAAAGGACGATCCACGTTGAAGCAGTATATGCCACACAAACCCATAAAACGCGGTTTCAAAGTATGGGTTATATGCTGCGCTGTAACGGGATATATGATGAATTTCGATGTATACGAAGGAAAACTACAGGGAGGTGAGCGAGAACTGGGTTTGGGCGAGTCAGTTGTTTTGAAATTGGCTGCAATGTTTGAACATTTGGGTTATTGCTTATTTTTTGACCGCTTTTTTACTTCTCTGCCTTTATTAGTGAAGATGTATAAGAAACTTTTTGGTGTTGGTACTATTATGCCTACAAGAAAATATTTTCCATCTAACAAATTTCCACAAGATAGAACTATGGCTTTGGGTGAAAGTACTTGCGCAATGACTAAATCCAATATTTCTATCTCTAAGTGGAAAAAGAAGTGGAAGAAGAAAAAGCTGTTTGTGTTGCTTCCAATATGCACAATCCAAACAAAAAAGGATTTGTGCACCGTACTTATAGTCGGGGTGATAAGGAACAAGTTGCATGTCCAGATGCTATTATTGATTACAATAAATACATGGGAGGAGTGGACAAATTTGATCAGTATATGGCATCTTTTTATAAGGATACCTGGGCGAAGGCTCGTTCTGGTGGTACAAAACCAATGACTCATTTGATGTTTAGGAGCAAACTGGCTGATGAGCTTATAGGAGACACGAAGCAGCCTGTGCTTCCATTTCGAGATAATAAAGAGAGTGATCATAAGCTAATGAAATCATCTAAGAAAAATTTGCGTAGATGTAGATACTGCAGTACCGCGTCAAAGCCAAAAAGAAGTGTCTATGAATGCGTTCAGTGTGATGTAGCCCTATGTGTAGAATGTTTTGTACCATTCCACAATGAAGGACAAATTAAAAAACGCAGGTAATCATTGAATAGATAAAAATATGAATCTGATTGCGAAAATAATATGAAAAATTAAACAAGAAGAAGTTTTGTTTTAGAAGTTATGTCAATTTTTTTTTTAATTAGAACTGATTGTCAATTATATATGTATTCTATGATTAAAGGTTGATTACGAAGTACATTTATTTTATTATTATTATCGTCTATTCCTAAAAATAAAGGAGATTTCATTAGTGTCCATTTTACTGGCCAGTGATATTCCTGTGATAATCAGTGAAGCAGAACGTTCAATGGCCAGTTTACTGGCCATATGTTTTTCATGATTTTCTCGAAAAATAAAGACTTTCAGGTCATTTTTATAAAAAAGTGATTTTGATTTACGGCACAAAATAAGAATTTATCACATAATATGAAAAAAACAAAAAAAAGTTATTGTGTGCGTTAAAGGGTTAAATTTTGCACATATAAGGCATTGTTCCACTAAATTCTTTATATCAGCTGACATACTCGGGCAATACAAAGATTCTCTAGCCAGTTTTAGACATTTATTTATTAATAAATGTCTAAAACTGGCTAGAGAATTTGGCTAGAGAGGAAAAAGAGAAAAAGAGAAGAAAAATGAACTTTTTCTAACATTTCTTTATACATAGACTGTGGTATTATTAATTTTGAACCTTTAAATAATAAATCTTTTACAACATGAATTTCAGCTTGAATATTCCAAAATGGCTTCACTAATGGACTGACTTTACTTTTATTACTTGGCCAAACTTCATAATAATATTTTTTTAACAACTGTAAAGTTTCATCTTTTTCAGTTTGTTGTGACAACTTTGTACTATATTCCTTTGTAACTGCTAAGCTAGCATACATAAAATTGACATGACAAGACATTTCTGACTCATAATCAGGTATATTATGGTCTTTTAAGGCTGCCCTTGACAAAGTATCTGAAATAACCATGTCTTTGCCAGGCACATGTGTAACCTCCAAATCATATTTTTGTAAAGTTAACATCATCCGTTGTAGTTTAGCCGGTACATCATGTAATGGCTTTTTGAATAAGTAAACTAAAGGTTCATGATCAGTGTGAACTGTTACTTTATGACCATATACATATTGGTGAAACTTTTCACAACCAAATTGAATAGCCAATAATTCCTTTTCAATTTGCGCATATCTAGACTGGGTTAATGTTAATGTTTTAGAACTGTAAGCAATGGGTTTGTTGTTTTGTAAGATAACTGCTCCCAACGCTGACTTTGACGAATCGACTGACAATACTAATGGAATTTTGGGGTTGTAGTGTACTGAAACAGGAGAATTAGTAATTTCATCCTTTAAGTTTTGAAGACATTTATCATGGTTTTCATCCCAAGTCCAGACTGAGTCTTTTTTTTAAAGATTTCTTAGTATTTGTGTTTTTTTTCTGACAAATTACTGATAAAAGGACCTAAATAATTAACCATACCTAATATTCTTTGTAACTCTTTGACATTTTGTGGTGTGGGCATGTTTGTAATTTCTTTGACTTTCTCTTGGTCAACCCTAGCACCATCTTTACTAAAAATACCCTAAAAAGCACTATACGATAATACCCTAAAAAGCACCCTAAAAGGCACTATGTTCACAATTAGATAACTCGCAGCCAGAAGAGCCTTTGATAGTACAATCATCATCACCCTTAGAACAAGAATTGACTGATGAATCTGAATGAAGATGAGTGACAGTCCTCAGACACGATACCACACGGCCGCGCTCGCTCATATTATTCATTGTCGGTACATCGCATAATATAAAATATTGTATTATTAACCATAAACATTATACAGCGTTAAAATACAGTCCACTAGTATCATTTAATTAATCCACTGAGTTATCGTCGGCACCACATCGCCATCAGATATATCTGACATTGAATACAATCTCCCAATGATGCAAAATTATCCAACAAAACGTGTTAGAATATATACGTCTTCTTCCAATTCCGATGAAGGAAATAATAACCCCATTCAGTCATATTTTTGATTTTCAGAAAAAAAATTGATGATGACATGCCACTATCAGAACTCGAAAATAATAAAAAACGATCTGACATTCAAGAGTCATTACTACATTCAAGTTTAAAAGAATTTCTTCCAACTCCCAATTATGCTCAAACTAAGGAAAAACCAAGGCGAAAAGCATTAAATTACGTCGGACAGAGGATAACCAAACAATTATTCAAAGACAAGTCAAGCAATAGTGCAAAAAACTCTGCCAAATAGACCAAAAATTACAAAAATACTACTAAAGAAGTAAATTCAAAAAGTCAAATAGCAAAGGCAAGAGCAAAGTCATCTCAAGTTCTAAAGAATAAACCTGACAAAATCAAAACTAAACAAAAAAATAAAACAATAGAAAATTCGGCCAAGGTAAAAAAAACAAAAACAAAATAAATGATAGAGAAAGCTGGTATTGCCCAGCTTGTAAAATGGATGTAAATACTAACAATGCGCCAATGGAGAACATGTAACATGTGGTACGAGTATTACGAAGAATGCGTGGGTCTTACCAAAGATGATTTAGATATATTTTTTGTCCAGATTGTGTGTAAAATGCGCTATGAATATTAACGTACCTAGTTTCTTTAATTTATTTGTACTTTGTTTATTTTGATATTATTTTTATTAGCGTGTAGTCAAACTATCACTGTTTGCTTTATTATTGAGCTTTACATTATTTGTCTGAAGTTATTAATTACTTTGATTTATATGATTGTTATATGTTCTCCCACAAGTTTACTTTTTGTTATTTGCTGATTAATGAGATTATTTTATGCCATTGTTGATTTATAAACGTTTATTTTGATTTTATTTGTGTTGGTTACAAATTAACAGAAAATATATATTGATCATCACACGTTTTCACCAACTATACTTAAATCATCTCCTTACTAGGAGTTCCGTAATATAGGTAACCCCTAAATACAACTCTTATCTAATTTCGTTTTCACCATGCTAAGTGACACCTAACTAAGGGTCTCCTATTTTGTAGGGGTTTCATAAACCGTAAATTTGCGTAAGTGTTTTCCTATTGTATTTTTTTGCAATATAAAATAATTAAAATAATTATTATTACCTACTTAATAAGAAAACATTATGTGAAATAAAATACTTTTTGTATATTTAAAGATTTAATTATCATCTTTTGTAATTTGGTGCTGAAAATGTAAATTCCAATGCTTCGAAGTGTCAAACTGACAACTGACAAAATAAATAGTCGTTGAGGTCTTAAAGTAAATGTAGTTAATATTTTTTAATACAATGGCCGAGAAAAAGAAACGTAGTCAAAACTTTACATCGGAAGAGAAAGACAAACTCGTGAAGTTATTAATGGATCATAAAAATACCATTCTAAACAAAAAAAACTGATGGATGTACGAACGAAGCCAAGATCTTAGCTTGGAATCAGCTTACGGCATCTTTTAATGCTACTGGCACTGTTTACAGGTATGTGTAAGATGCTTTTCAAAGTTATTTCATTGGGTTTGAACTTTTTATCTTAAGTATTTGTATTTTTTCCGTTTTAGGACAAAGGAATCACTTATAAAAGTATTGGAAAAAATGAAGAGTGAGAGCAAAGTTTACGAAGGAGTGCAGTTCAAACGGTGGACCGTCTTTAGTAAAGACTGACCCTATACTAGAACAGGTGTGCAGTATTCTAGGTCGGGGCTTTCTGGTATAGATGGGATAAATGACAGTGATGCTCCAACTTGTTTAGCTGAAACCACCATCAGTGTAGAGGACAGTGTTCCTAAAATCTTTTTTTTTTTATGACAACAAACAGTGGAACTATAAAGCTAGCAACTGAAGTTCCAGAAACGCCAGAGGTAATCATTCTATAAAATACTTCTTGTCCCGTGATCTGAGATACACTCCAACAAATGAACTTATTTCAATGAAGGTTTATTAATATTTTTTGTGTTGTAAATTGAATTTAAAAGCTATTGGTTTGTCAAAAAGAATATAAATTTACTTGTATACCAAGTAAATTTACATAAGATGTTATTGTTTTAGGATGAGGTTCCAAAAGAAAACTTTATTACCAGGACACCAGTGTGGTCAAGAAGACGGCCTGTATTATCTCAAACATATGAGAGATCTGATGCAATGAATACAATTTCTTCTAGTTATAAGAATGTAAATAAAAAAAAAAGAAGATGTGGAAAATCTTAAACTAATGATTCTCAAAGAAGAATTAGAAGCCAAACAAAAATTGAGCCAATTGCAACTTCAAGCGGCAGAAAAAGATATTGTTATTAAGGATCTAGAAATAGAAATAAAACAAGCTGTACTGGACCAAGTTACAGGTAATTTTATTTATTCATAATCATCTTCTATCTTATTAAAATTAATTCAAAATAACTTGTAATTTGGCTCCTTTGATAGCCGTATACTGGGTCATTATTAATCAAAGGTGGTAGAGATACTCGTATCTGTCCTGCTTGTATTAAATGTTCCAAATTTGGTATTACTCCATCATTTACTGGCTCAGGTTCTTGTCTTAAAATGCATATGTTGTGCAAAATGCAGCAGCATTTTGTAATTTGAGCCTTAATCACAAAGCCAGTACCGGGAACCTTCTTTTAAGAACACCATACTGACGCTCCACTACATTTCTGGGTGTGGGCTGTATTATAGCGTTGTTGACCTACTGTGGCTGGGTTCAAATATGGAGTCAGCAAATGGCTCTAAAAAAAATTAATATGACCTACGAGTATTATTATCTATATTAACAGATTTAATTTCAAAGTAAAAACATACACTGATTTTTATAATAATAATAGTATTATTTGTTTTCAGGTGGTGGCTTAGCTTAGCTTATTTAAGTGGTCTTTGGACCATTTAAATCAATGTTGAAAATTGCTTTCATTAATTGAACAATGAACCCAGGCAAAGCATTGACAATTTATAATATTCCAAAAGCTTGCGAAAATTGCATTTTTCGAATCATTCACCGCAAAAAATATCACAAGCGGGTTTAATAAACCCGGAATACGGCCTCTTAATGAATTTTAATGCCCTTAGGGACGAAGATTTTGCTCCAACTGACAAGGGGACCTTACGGCAATCGGATTTTTGTAATTTTTCATACTCATGGTACGTAAAGTTCAGACCCCCAATATTAAGATCCCAAAGCAGCTCGACGCCATATTCAGAAATTCTCGAGAAAATGGAGTTTGAAGTTTTCGAGCGCGCTCTTATACCATAAAGATTACACCGGTTTTCGAGCCGGGCTCGTGGTGTAGTCGGTAGCGGCCGAGACTAGTAATCGCGGGGTCGCTGGATCGAGTCTCACTCGGACCTTTTTTTTTTTTTTTTTTTCTTTTTTTTTAATTCGCATCGCATTCGCATCGCAAACAACAAAAATTTATCGGAATATTTAAATGAAAGAGGTTTTCATTTAAATATTCCGATAAATTTTTGTTGTTTATAATCACATATTATTACATATAATTAATATATTATATCTATATATGTTTAACCGTAGGCGACGCGCGGCAGCAGCACCCGGCTACGCGAATAAGTGGACAAGGGTTGTTGCACCACCCGAGGCGGGTGCAACGTAAGAAGCAAGCCCGAGAGGTGAGGATGAGGTATGCAAGTTGGAATGTAGGGACTATGACTGGAAGAGCGAGAGAGCTAGCAGATGTGTTGAAAAGAAGAAGAATAAACGTGGCATGCTTGCAAGAAACAAAATGGAAGGGTACGAAAGCAAGAGAGATAGGAGAGGGGTACAAGTTTTATTACTGCGGAAGTGATGGGCAGAGAAATGGAGTGGGCGTAGTATTGGATAGTGCCCTGAAAGAGTGTGTGACGGATGTAAAGAGAGTGAACGATAGAATAATAGTATTAAAATTAGTATGGGAGAGCGTAATTATTAATATTGTTAGCGTGTATGCACCTCAAGCTGGATGCAAGGATGAAGTGAAAGAAAAATTTTGGGCCGATTTTGACATGGTTTTGATAGGTATCCCTGAAAGTGAAGAACTTTTGATAGGTGGAGATTTTAATGGTCATGTGGGAACAACGAATGAGGATTATGAAAGAGTACATGGAGGAAGGGGGTTCGGAAATAGAAACATTGATGGTGAGTCTCTGCTCCAGTTTTCCTCTTCGTTTGATCTGGCAATAGTTAACACATGGTTCCAAAAACGTCACGAACATCTGATCACGTATAAAAGTGGTAGCCACGCGACACAGATCGACTACTTTCTCATAAAAAGAAGTAAGTTGGTTTGTGTCCGAGACGGCAAAGTGGTGCCCGGGGAACCCGTAGTATCGCAACATAGATTGCTAGTAATGGAGGTCAAATGGAAGAGTTTGAGTAAGAGTAGGAAGAACCGACCTTCTCCAAGAATCAGGTGGCGAATGTTAGAGAAAGAAGAGTATGCAAGTAACTTTAAGGTAAAGGTGGTAGAAAAAATGATTGAAATGAATGCAAGGCTAGATAAGTCTGTGGATGGATGGTGGAGTGAAATGGCAAATTATATACGAAAGATAGCGAGAGAAGTACTTGGGGAAACAAAAGGAAAAGGCATTATTGAAAGAGAGACATGGTGGTGGAGTGATGAGGTACAGAAAGCTCTAAAAGAAAAGAAGGATGCCTTTAAAGCGTGGAAAAATGAAAAGGTCTGTGAGAGAATGAAGGAAGTCAAAATGAATGAATATAAAGAGTGGAAGAAAAAGGCAAAAAAAGCGGTAGCGGTAGCCAGAGCTAAAGCTCAATATAACATATTTAAACACCTACATGAACCTAGCGGTCAAAAAGAACTCTACCGCATTACAAAGAACAGGGAAGAAAGAGCAAAAGACCTGAAGCATGTGAGATGTATAAAAGATGAAATGGGGAGAGTGTTGGTTAAAGATGAAGATATAAAAAAGCGATGGAAATCTTACTTTGAAAAACTTATGAATGAAGAGAATAAATGGAGCGGAGTGCTAAAGCATGTGGATGTGAATGTCTGACTGGTGAACGAGATTAGTATAGATGAAGTTAGATTGGCAGTACGAAGTATGAAAAATGGAAAAGCAGTTGGCCCCGACGGTATACCAGTGGAAGTTTGGAAGCTACTGAAAGAAGACGGATATAAGTGGCTGACTCTATTCTTCAATATGTTGTTGCTTGAAGAGGTAATCCCAAAGGAATGGTGTCAAACCCAACTCGTACCCATTTTCAAAAACAAAGGAGATGTTCAGGAATGCAACAACTATCGAGGAATAAAGCTCATGTCACATACTATGAAAGTCTGGGAGAAAGTGATTGAGAGAAGAATAAGAGATGAGAGTCAGATAACCCAAAGTCAATTTGGGTTTATGCCAGGACGCGGGACAACAGATGCTATATTTGCAATGCGCCAACTATGTGAGAAATACAGGAGTGCGCACAAAAACTTGCATATAGTGTTTGTGGATCTCGAAAAGGCATATGATAGGGTACCCCGAGAGGTTTTGTGGTGGGCTTTGAAAGAAGAAAGAGTGCCTGTTAAGTATGTAGAATTGATTCGTGCTATGTACAGAGAGTCTAGCACTCATGTAAGGTCGGTCACGGGAAACACTGATCAATTCAGTGTCTCTGTAGGCTTGCACCAGGGATCAGCTCTGAGCCCATACCTCTTCCTGTTGATAATGGATGCTCTGACATCGGACATACAGGAGGAGGCACCTTGGTGCATGCTATTTGCAGATGACATTGTGTTGGTCGGTGAGGATGGGGTTGAGGTCCAGAGCAGACTGGAAAAATGGCAACAAAGGCTGGAGAATGTTGGCTTGAAAATCAGCAGAACCAAAACTGAGTACATGTTCTGCGATTTCGGCGGTCTCTCCAGTCCTGAAACCATTTCGCTGGATGGGATAGCGATAACAGTCTGCTCCAATTTCAAGTACCTCGGCTCCCTCTTACAATGTGATGGTGAGATTGATCGAACTGTACAGCATCGAATCAATACGGGATGGATGAAGTGGCGGCAGGTAACGGGAACAACTTGTGACCCCAGTTTCCCCTTAAAACTGAAGGGACAAATTTATAAAACTATTATCAGACCTGCCGTACTGTATGGTTCTGAAAGTTGGCCCATTAAGAGAACGGATGAGAGACGCCTGAACGTAGCCGAAATGCGAATGCTGAGATGGATGTGTGGTGTGACTCAGATGGACAAGGTTAGGAATGAGTATATACGAGGGAGTCTGAAAGTAGCGCCACTGGATGAAAAGTTAAGAAGTAATAGGTTATCTTGGTATGGACATGTCATGCGGAGGGATGAGGAAAATGTGGCGAAGAAAGTTTTAGGTATGAGAGTTGAAGGGTATAAGAGAAGAGGCAGACCGAAGAAAAGGTGGATGGACTGCGTGAGGGAGGATATGGCTAGCAAGGGAGTAAACAGTGAGATGACGCATGACAGAGTAGAATGGAAAAATCATACATACTGCGCCGACCCCAAATAAAATTGGGAAAAGGGTAGGCAGATGATGATCTATATATGTTTAATATATGTACAAAATTCATTATATTATATATTTTCTCATATATGATAATATATTATTTATATATAACAATAGGTGATTATTTATAAAAAAATAAATAAATAATCCCGGGATAAAAATCATAAAACCTATGCTAATTCACATATATGTAATTATAATTGTCAATGATCAATGCAAGTCTTATTTTTGATTATCTCTTGCTTAAAATTGCGAATGGGCGACATTAAAATATCCAGTAATAATTTTCACATAAACTCCCTTGTAAATTAATAGGAATAGAAGAATAAATGTTTAAATATGTGAATATAACGGTTTCTTTGGCAACCGTCGAAATTGTGAATAAAATTTCTGGGTACATCGTTTGCCTTTTGTCCTGAACAACTACCTGCGAAGCGGGAACAGCTGCTTGTGCCCAAAAGATTTCTGGGAATTCCAGAATGGGTGGAAGGGATACGGCGTCTTTCGCAAGTAATGCCTGTTTGAACTAGCATTCGACCGTTGGTTTTCGGAGCAGCAAGTACTGTTTTTTGGTGTGTGCACGATTTTGTAAAATATTCGATAAATAAAGATCAAAATGTCGGGCGTGGGAGACGACAAAGTGCCAGGGCCTTCGACGGCGCAAGACGATATTGCACATTCTTTGTGCAGTGAAGTTTCAAAATTACGATTGAAAGATGCTCTCGTATATTACGAGCAAATTCTTACACAAAATAATCTTGTGGCACCTACACCATCGGAGGTAATTACTGAACAGTATTGGGCAAAATTTATTCGAATGACGAATAACGAATAAATAAATTACTATTTCGTTATTCACGAATAATAAATAATTTCTTTTATTCAAAGGAAAATTATTCGAATGACGAATAAATTATTTTATTCGTTAGTCGGTTAATGAATAAAAATAAAACAAGGAATAATGGAATTTAAATCAAATATTTATTTACTTTCAATTATCATGTATTTACAGTTATGATTGTTTTTTTAATATTCGTTTTCATCACTACTCTTTCTTCAAACATGTTGTCAGACAATCTGCTTGACTTTGGCACGTTTATCATAGTGGCGTAAGAAAAAAAGATGTTCTACTGATGCAGATGAAGGCAATGGTGTATTGTATTTTTTAAATATAGTTTTTATTTCAGGATAGTGATCTAAAACATTGAAAGTACGATCTTCTTCAGTAAAATATTGAGATACTATTACATCAGCCCTGGTTTTCAGTGATTGCTTTTGTATGTCAGCTTCGCTTCCCGAGTCTGATTCGAAATCAAAAAATGAGTTTTCTGGATCAGCAGCAACTCTATTTTCAGAATACGAAAGATTCTTGGACACTTCTTTTGCTATTTCATGTTTAAATAATGTTTTGATTCTTCTTTGTTCATGTGGTGTAATGCAACTAAACCATTTGTTCTTGAATCTCGGGTAGGACAACGTCGCAATTATAGCATGTTGACCTTTAGACGTAAACAGTTTAAAAAACTCGTCGAATCTTCTTTCAACGCTTTGCCTGTATGCTGCTGCTAAATCATGGCAGTACGTTAATGGAATGTTCTCTAATTTTTGCAGTTTCTTGCGTAAAGCCATTAAACATGGAATCAGAAGTCCATAATACATTATTGTTTCTCCTTGCAGTATATCTAAAGCCTCGGCAATAGGACATGAACATGTGATGTATTCGTTTATATATTCATATTCACGGTTACTGATATAATTTCTGAGGCACAAAGCTCTATGCAGTTGAATGTTCTTGTCTTTGATGGAGTAAATTTGCTTCATAGCGTCATATAAGCTATTCCATCTTTTAACGCCAGGTTTGCTAAGTGTATGTTCTAAAACACCTTGAATGATTTCTGCTGTCTTGGGACGTCCAGCAGCATTCCACAATATGTTACATTTTTCAATAGCATTATGATGCATTTCAGATAATGATGTATTATTATCTACTTTAAGTATTCGATTAGCATCTTTAGTAGCAGACAAATTCAGAGTATGAGCAGCGCATCTGAAATGACACGCTAATTGAAAATCAAGTGGATCAATAATTTCTCGTAAATCATCTTCTTCATTATCCAAATCATCTTCTTCTAAATCAATCGAATCTGAGTTTAAAATTGATATACCAAATTCTTTGAATGCTTCGATGAAGTCGGAACCATTATCAGTAACTGTTTCGACTATCTTCGTGGAATTCAGATTAAATTCAGTGTGAATTTCGTCAAGTATCATGGCAATTCGTTCATAATTATGAATTCCAGGAAACCTCCTGCAAGATAGTGTTTTGCATTGTCGGCTGAGATCCGCATCTATCCAATGAGCAGTTACTCCAAGAAAACTTCGTTTACGACTCCACCATATATCAACAACAGTGCATATATATTGTGCAGCTTCTAACGTCGATTTGATCGCGGACATTTGCAGCGCATGTTCAGCATCAATACTTCTGCTCAATGTTCTTCGGCTGATGACATGTATTCCGCGGTTTTGTAACCCCAAATTATTTAACATCGTAATAAAAAATGGATCTTCTACTGCATTCAGTGGAATCATTGAATTAATGAAGAATAGTACCAAATCATGTTCAAAGTTTGTTTGGGAAATTGTGTTTGACTTTGAAGTTAAAAATTTCCGCTTCCAATATCGGCACTATGACTTCTCTTTTGTTTAATCTTCTTGGCATACTCGTGATATTCAGCAACGGCTTCATCCCCATGTTTTCTTTTTAAATGGCTCAAATAGCTTGACGACGAGTTTGGACAACCTTTAATTTTTACAACTTTAGGTTCACACTTCACACAGGTCATCAGAATGCTTTTTCCACTCGACTGGCCATCTAACAAAGTTAATGTCGTTTTTACATTGTTTTGATTTACCGAAACATTGGCAACATTTTCATTAGAACTTTCCAGATTGATTGAACTAATTTGATTTGATTGAGAATTATCCTGAGAGTCCAAACTCTCTAACTCCATAATTTCGATGAATAAATCACACACTTTCAAAATCCAAGAATACCACAATATAATACTTGTGATTTGATTAGCCGCACCGCTCTGGTAAACAGATTCAGAATGACTGGGGAGAGTACCCAGAATATTAGCAATTTACCTAAACAAAATAATTCTTTTGTGACCACAACTGATAAGAAAGTGCGCTCTCTCTCACACTTAAATACAAGTCTCGCTCTCTCGTATTGTAATGATCCCTTTCTTGTGCCGCTATTATTCATTAAATTCCGGAAATCAGGCAGGCAGTTGACGATAGGATTCCATAAATCCACATGGGTATGGCTGTCATATAACACCAATGTCATGTACCGGGTCATGGTGTACTCATGGAGCCTCTTGCGCATGGTATAGGTGGGAAATACAACCTGTTGGTAATAGGATACCAGTGTACCATATACATTCACAGACATGGGAAGCACAGCTAACAATAACATACAAAGAAATTAAGAAAGTAATCAAGTTAAGTACAAATAATCCTAAATATGATATTAATGATATAATGAATGAGGTGATGAATCATATGCCAATATCTATAAGTGCAGTAGACTATGAGAAAATAACATTAAGGAGAGTACAAAACGTCGTTGAAGATTTGTTAGCACCTACTCCGCAGCCAAGTGTCTCTGATATCTGAGAACTCTCTACTTCTGGAACAAAGGATTTGTTAGAGGTTCCGCGAGAATCTACACATTGGTAACTTATGATGATGAACTACAAAGGTGTAATTTAGATGCTTGTGAACCAGACGCTTTCAATAATTCACCAATCCATCAAATAGTTGCTCCTTTGAAGACAGTTTTCACATAAGAGGCAATTCGACCCTATCCGACTGTTGTAAGAAGTAATAAAACAAACAAAGGACGGCCAGGAAAAACTATAAAAAAATGTATTTTATTTTTGTTTAATAGAAGTTAAATCTTTATTTTTGTGTTTAATTTCATTGCTAATAAACGAATTTTGATTTATATGTATCGTTTTAATCGCACGTACGGAACTACCCCACAGCGTCCGAAGGTTCCCCCAACACATGTATATACTCGTAGGTGCCCGTTGTTGGGGCAGATTAGTACAAATTCCAGATTCTGTTTAAATCATAATTATGGTTAAAACATCAGATGAAATCATCTGTCATTTTTTTTTATGAATCTCAGATAGTTAGACTATAAATTTAAGCTTGGTAAGTGATTGATTCATGAAAAAAATATATGTAGAAACCATACGAAGGGTCCCCACTTTCCCCTGCATTTCCCACCTTACACATGCATTTCTCAGCTTCGGTTTTGAGAGTATTTTTAAGTTTAGTTTTTTTTAACAGGTACACATGCATTTAAAACTAGAGTAGGTTCCGCATCTTCTAACAATCACCAGTTAAGAACTGCTCGTGACTTGAGTCAAATACAGAGTGTAAAAATGCCTATTGAGGAGCAGCTTTCGGCAATGTTAAATGATACTGATGATGGTGAGCGAGAAAATAACGCAAGTGAACAATTTCGGGTGCCACAACTTTCAGATTAACAACTTCTGAACATACTTGAAGCTTCTGATGACAATTTCGATGATGAGGTTCTAGATGAAGACTTTCTTCACAATTTTGAAGATTCTGACTCAGATGATGATAATGTGATACCAACTGAAATTTTCGTACCTTCAACTAGTGATGGCGAGTGTTTAAATTGGTCAGACCAAACATATCTCATAAAAGATATTGATTTTGAAGGAAATCCAATGGGGTTAAACGTACCACCAGAAGCAACTGAACCGATCCATTTTTTTAACTTAATTATGACTGATGATTTAATTCAGGATATAATTGAAAAAACCAATCGTAATGCAAGCAATATACTTGCAAAAAGTTTACCAGGGAGTCGAATACAATATTGGAAAAATGTTACTGTGTCAGAGTTCAGAGTATTTCTGGTTCTACTTTTCCATATGGGTACGATAAAATTAAATAGGATACAAGATTACTGGAAAAAGCACAGATTATTTAACCAGACCTGTTTTCGTGAACACATGAGTCGGAATCGTTTTTTACTAATTCTAAGAGCAATGCACTTTGGAAATTTAGAATCAGGAGATAACAGATTGGCGAAAATTTCACCTTTGGTTATGTTTTTCAATAATAGGATGAGAGAAATATACAACCCTTTACAGAATTTATGCATTGATGAGTCCCTTGTATTGTGGCGTGGTCGACAATACATCAAAATTAAGAATAATAAATATGGCATAAACTTATATATTCTGACCGATGCAAACGGCATTATACTAAAACAAATAGTGTATGCCGGCACAGGAGACCCAATTGTAGGTGGAGTGAATCATTCCTCAAAAGTGGTTTTAAATCTATTACATGATTTTTTTAATAAAGGTTACTCTGTCTATATGGACAATTTTTATAATTCTGTGGATCTGACAGAAAAGCTTTTGTCTGAAAGGACATACTGCACGGGAAAATTACGATTAAATCGAAAAAAGAACCCAAAGGACGTTACGACTAAAAAGTTAAAGAAAGGCGAATGTGTCTCGCAGTACAACCAAAATGGTGTTTGTGTCATGAAATGGCGGGATAACAGAGATGTTACTATGATATCATCACAATTTAATTCGCAAATGATTACTACCACTACAAGAAGAAATACAGAGGTGTCAAAGCTTAAAATGGTCGTCCAATATAATCGTAACATGGGTGGTATAGATCATCAAGATCAAATGATAGCGTACTATTGCTGCGAACACAAGTCTATCAGGTGGTACATAAAATTGGGAGTCCACCTATTCCAACAAATTCTGTACAATTCATTCACCTTGTCTAATTTGTTTTCTGGCAAAAAATTAAGTTACTACGAATTCAGGCAACAATTGTAGAAAATTTACTTCCCGAGAAGGTTCAAAATTTGGAAGAGTCCGCAAGGGTTAGTAAAATCAAATTCAAAATAGTTTTCAGTCGAGGTCTCATAAGATCTCCTGAGCCATTTTGGTTAATGCTTGCCAGAAAGGTTTATTGGAAAAATCTTTCAAAAAAACTGAGAGGTAAGAGATTGCTTCCTGTATAGACTCTAAGGATATAAATAACACTAATTTTAACTTTAAAGTAGCTTGTAAAAACAACTCTAGGAAAGTAGTTAGTATTATATTTAGATTCATAAGATTCTTATTGATATTATTGTTTAGTCATACAACGTGTCCCAAAATTCAACGATAAGCCGGTACCGGTGTATGGTCGGGTCAATAACCACCCATGGAAAAATAATAAAAAAAATCCAGCGTTTTTTTTTTCAAAGTTACATTATCTTTTTTGAAGAAACGGGTGAATTTATTGGCGGTCAAATTATAAGTATCATCAATGAAATCGGCCCTGCCAAATTTATAGTGGTTGTTACTGACAACGCCAGAAATATGAAAGCAGCGTGGAGAATTATCAAGAGTGAATTCCCTCATATTTCCTGCGTTGGCTGTGTAAGTCACACTCTAAATTTAATATATAAAGATGTTATTAATGAAATTGATGTTTTCAAAACAACATTGGATAAAATTATTCAGGTTATTAAATATATCAAGCAGACGCACGTCGTATTGGCAGCGTTCGAAAACTACCAGACAGAAAAATATGGAAATAAAGATTGCACTTGCACCTTAAAACTGTTTTGTAGGACCCGATGGAGTGGAGCCTATATTACCATGGAATCGTATTTAAAAAATAGGGAAGCATTGGAACTTTTGGCTATATCGCATGAAGTCACAATCACACAAGAAATCAAAACTATTATTTTGAATACCGATATATGGGTAAAGCTAGACGAGATTGTAAATATTTTACAGCCACTTGCGACGGCCATTCTTTCAACAGAGAGAGACACATCTGTACTTTCTGATGTTTATTACACTTTTGAAAATTTAAAAAAGGGCCTGTCACAGGTATTGGATGAGTCTGTGTTTTTAGATGCCGAAGACAAAAATCTACTACTAGGTCATGTTAGCAGTCGAAAAGATTTTTGCATGCAATCTATACATTTTGCTGTCTATCTGTTGGATCCGAGACATTGCGGCAACGGGTTGAGTGATGAAGACATTTCAAAGGCAACTGAATACATTCAGGAATACTGTGTATCTAGCGGCTTAGATGTAACAAATGTTCTGACGAACATGGCAGAGTTTACAACAAAAACGAATTTTTTTCAAGAATCAAAGCCTATTTGGTCTCCAGCGAAGAAGCTACAACCCAGAATATGGTGGCAAACATTTGCCTTAAATCAAAGTGTTGGTGCTATAGCTATAAAAATTTTAAGTGTACCGCCATCATCTGCGGCTTCGGAAAGAAACTGGAGTATGTTTGCTCACACACACACAAAATTAAGAAACCGCTTGAAACAATCGAGAGTTCTCAAACTAATAAGTATCAGGTCGAATCTTAATTTATTGAAAAAGAAAGATGAGAAGATTTTATATAATGATTCTGAAGATGAGGATAGTAAAGATGGCGAGGTTGAACATGTGACTACAAGTAACACTGATCCCCTTGTTTAAATACAAAAATAATAAGAACGAAGCAATATCTTGTTACATGATCTTAAGGAAATTTTTGAACGTTCATTTTATTGTGAAGTTTTGAATTAATATTATTGAAATAATTCTATTTAACTGTTGATTATTATTGATTTTATCTTCTTAGTATATTTCGAATATTATTTTCATTATAGTTAATTATTCTATATCACAAAATTGCCACGTTTCAAAATGATTGTGATTTCATTGTGACAGTAGTTTCTAGTACCAAATTTATATTTATAATACTAAATTATTATATATTAGAATAAAAGAAACAATTATCAGTCACTTTATTATTTAACTGATTAAACACTAGTAACTCTTAAAATATGATTTTATTACTCGATCGATTTGTTATGATACACCTAAAAAAATCTGATAAACCTGAAAAAATACCTTTTGGTTCTTCAGGGTATGGGAAACTTGATGACATAATGAATAATGGGATCATATTAATAAAACATAGTTTTCAACCGTTTTAAACCAAAAATTTTGGTTTAAAATGTTTTAAACGAAAAAAATGGTTTTAAACCGAGTACATAGTTGAATTGGTTTTAAACCGGCTTTACATCTATACGCACGTAGACACGTAACTATTTATATGGAAAATAATTTGTCCGTCCCAACTCCTTCTTGTAATCCAACTTTCTGTTTATGGCTGTTTTTGAAAATGACATGTTCATGATTTGTATATTTGCCTACAGGTTTTATAGACCATGAATAGGAAAAATAGGATAATTCAAAGCAAGGCGCAGTTAGAAGCCATCGTCGAGAACCTGTCAGATTTATCTGATATTGACTCTGACGATGATGCCTATTATCAGACAGCCGCTGTTAACGGCCCAGCGGATGACCTTAATTTTACTGAAGATACCATTATTGAAAGTTGTCTTGAGGAAATGTTAGGTGCTTCTCATATTTTAGAAGAAAATATTGAATGTACAGAATTATATTCGGAAAATTCTCTGAGAAATGTTCTGAAAGAAAACAGCACGATTAGTAGAGTAAGTGAGAGATCAGAACAACAAATTGAGGGTTCACCAACCCAGATCATAAATGAACACATAGAGACACAAGAAGAATGGAGAGAAATAGTGAATCTCACTGATAGAGAAATCGAAATAGAGCAATGTTTTGATGAGATATTTCACGAATCCAGTTACGATTATCCCATTCAGAAAGATGATACAAGTGCGGGACCTTCTAACCACAATGTTACTGAAATAGTAAATCAAGCTTCGGAACATCATTCAAGGCAAAGAAGAGCTATCAATGTATCCAGGCCAAGACAACCACGGGAGTGGAAAATTGAAAAAGAAATACATTATATTTGGGAATTCATTAATACAATTAAACCAAAATCTGCATATAATCTTAAAACTCGGCTCATTGATGTTTTTAAGAAGTCTTTTCCTGAATATTTGGTTTAAATCCTAGTTAAACAAACCAATAGATAAGCAAATCAGCAAAACAGTAACCATTATACACCAGTATCAGCAGAAGAAATTAAGGCGTACCTTGGGATATTAATTATGATGGGCCTAAACCCGTTGCTCGATATGGAACTCTACTGGTCAAATGATCCTTTTTATAACAATCCTGAAATATCAAAAATTATGCTAGTCAAAAGATTAAAAAAAAATACGGAAAATTTGCACATCAATGACAATGAACCGAAAAGGGACTCACTAGAATATGACAAATTATACAAATTAAGACCAATGATAACGGAACTGAATAAGGTGTTCCAGCAGGAAACAGTTAATTCTAGTACACAGTCAATAGATAAATGTATGGTCAAATTTAAAGGACGATCAAGCTTAAGACAATACATGCCCAAAAAACCCGTTAAACGTGGATTTAAGGTCTGGGCGCGTTGTGATTCAAAAACAGGCTACCTCTATCAATTTGAGGTTTATAGGGGAAAGGGGACAACATGGAAGACGAAGGACTAGAATACAACGTGGTTTCTAAACTTTCTACTGACCTTCCTGAGGACACACTTCTTGCATTTGATAATTTCTTTACGAGCTGCAATTTGCTGGAACATTTGTATGAAAGAAAAATCTTTTCTGTAGGCACGGTAAGAACAAATAGAAAAGATCTTCCAGATATATTGAAGAAATCTCAGCCTAAGCATCTAAAACTGGAAAAGAATCAATTTGCAGCTATAACTGCAAAACCTATCACAGCCATTAAGTGGCTTGATACCCGAGATGTTACTGTTCTCACTACAGCTCACCATCCAACTGACACAATATTTGTTAAAAGAACTCAAAAAGATGGGACAAGGAAAGAAGTTCTCTGCCCCAAAGCTATTGCAAGCTACACGCTTGTCATGGGAGGTGTAGATCACTTCGATCACTTTCGATCTTCATATCCCATCAATCGTAAGTGTAGAAAAATTTGGATGAGACTCTTCTTTTTCATGTTCGATGCGTCAATAATAAACTGTTACATTACCTACAACACTGTCCACGTTGTAAATACGCATTCGCATAGACAATTTAGATTACGATTGGCTCGTGAGATGATTTCCCACTATTCAAGCAAAAAAATGGGCAAGTTGTTTACAAGAACAAAAAAGGGTCAAACTTCGGCGTGCCTGATGAGATCCGCCTCCTCAACGTTGGAATCCATCTCCCTGAGGAAGGCTATAAAAGGTGTCGTTTCTGTAGCACCAAGAAGGAGGAAAAGAGAACTAAAATAATGTGTTCAACCTGTCAAGTAGCACTATGTGCAAAAAACTGTTTTAAATCCTTTCATGAGGTTTCACCTCAAGATTAATTAAAAATTTAATGTTGCTTATAAAGAAATTCCATATTGGTCGTTTTTCTTTTATCAATATCTAAAACCAAATAAATAATTAATAAAAATATATAACAACCGAAGCCAGGAAGAAACACTTGTATTAGAATACCAACGAAAATACGATAAATGTACATAACCATAACAGGCAAGGGGAATTATATTCCCACTTCGACCCAGAGTGTACGGACATAATCGGGCAAGGGGAATTAATATCCCACCGAAAAAAGGGGGTTTTCCTGTCCTCCCCCTTATTAAAATATACTTTTTTGAATTCAGTGGTATCCATATACCCTAAATTCACCTTCAATTTTGTAGTTACTTTCACACAGTTTTGCGCCGTATTAAGGGTTAAAAAAGGTGGCATCGAATGGGTTAATTTTAAGAAAAGTCTTTTAAGTTTTGTTTTACATAAGAAAAGCTATGTAATTTTTGTTGACTATAAGAAAAGTATTTTATTTTTGTTTAATAGAAGTTAAATCTTTATTTTTGTGTTTACAGTAGAATCCGTTTATTATGACTCCGCCTATATTGACCAGCCGGTTATTATGACGTAATTGCACTACGAAGTTTGGTTTTCATATGAAATTCTTTATAAAAAAGTCGGATATAATGACTTCCCTTACAGTGACATGTCGCTTATTATGACCCATTTTTAATAAATTATGTCCGGTAATAATGACCGACATGATTCTTTACACCTTCGGTATTGTTCGTTGATTCCCGACGACGTTCGGCACGTGGCTCGTTTTTGTTTTGAATCTCAGTGAGTAATTGTCGGTTGAAGGTCACGCATTGTTTTTCGTTTGTTACTGTGAAAAAAATGTCATCTCAACGACGTAAAGCATTTACAATTGAGGAGAAAGGTGCAATAATATGCAGATTAGAAATTGGAGAATCTAACTCATGTCTCGCAAAGGAATTTGGCGTGGGTCATTCGACAATCTCAATGATTTTTAAAAACAAGAACCGCATTAAGGAATCGTTCAATTCAAATGTTTTGAAACCGAAGAGGCTTCGAAAATCACGACAAGAAAATGTTGATCAAGCATTAATTCAGTGGTTTAAAAACATAAGAAACAAAGGAATACCTATCAGCGGTCCTATGCTACAGGAAAAGGCAAATGGTTTTGCCGCGCGTTTTGGTATTCTCGACTTCAATTGTTCTGCAAGCTGGATCAGTCGTTTTAAAGTTCGACATAACATTGTGGCGGGAAAAATTGTCGGTGAATCTTCGTCTGTAGATCAAAATTCAACAACAAACTGGTTAATATCTGTGTGGCCGAATTTACGAAGACAATTCTCTGATGACGAGATATTTAATGCTGATGAAACTGGACTTTTTTCAAATTAATGCCGGATAAAACTTTAAAATTTAAAGGTGAAAATTGTAGTGGAGGTAAGTTAAAATGATCTAAAATATGAGTGAGAAACATGAATCCAAATGTCTGAGTTTCTTCAGACATTTGGATTAATTCCACAATTGCAATTATTATCATTCATTTTGCTGCTTCTAAAATTGTATCTCAAATTCAGATTCAATTTTCATCAGAATTGTCCTTAATTTATTTATGTCTTTTCCAACAATTAGTCCATCATCAACGTACAAGGCTAAAATGATGTCATGCTCATCATTTTTGAAGACACATGGGTCTGACTTGGTTGGTTTAAGATTGACATCCTTCAAAAATTTTTGAATTTTTGATTCCATTTTAGTGATGCTTGCTTTAATCCGCATAGTGATTTTAATAGTTAACAAATTTTTCCTGTCTTCTTATATCCTTCTGGAAGCTCCATAAAAATATCTTCATCAATTTCACCATATAAAAATGCGGTTTTGATGTCGAATTTTATGATGCGATAGTCCTTAGCGGCTGCCAATGCAAAAATTATTCGCATCGAGCTGGAGTTGATCACGGGGCTGAAAGTCTCTTCGTGGTTTAGTCCGTATTCCTGTTCAAATCCACGAATAACAAGTCTAGCGCGGTATCTACCATCATCTTTCTGTTTGAAAACCCATTTATTGGTCAGGATTTTATTTGTAAGGGCTTCTTCTCGATTTACTAAAATCCATGTCTGATTTTTCTCAAGCGAATCTTTCTCATCTTGGATAGCTTCTAGCCATTTGTCTTTATCTGATGCAGATACAGCTTCAGCGAAAGTTAACAAAGCATAATTCTGAAGATATGCTGGCACTTTCCTGATCCTCTTCCTACGTCCAAGTACTTCTGGCTCTTGTATTTCATTTGGTGAATTTTCTCCTTCAGGTGGTGTCTGAAAGCTTAAATGGTTTTCACCTTCAATCTCTTCTTCGCTTTCTTCTTGATGTTCTATTTCTTGATTTTCTTCAGATAATGTTACTGTGCCTTGGTTTTCTTGATTTTTTTCTTCATTTTCTTCATTCAATGTTGGTACCGTTGTGTCATGATCTTTATACTCCTCTAAGTCTAAAACTCTTATATTTTCATAATTTTCATTGTTTGACTTTGAGGCTATTTCATCTTCGAAAATCACATCTCTGGCGTAGATGATTTTCCTGGAGTTTGAGTCAAATAGACGATAAAAATTAGGTTGGTAACCAACATGGATAAGCTTTTTACTGCGGCTGTCTAACTTCTTTAGTTGATTTAAAATTTTAACATGGGCGATACACCCAAATAAATGCATTCTCTCAAGGTCTGGCTTCTTGGAGAACCACATTTCATACGGGGTCTTGCCATCAGGGAGTGCTGCTGTCTGGCAACGGTTCAAAATGTAACATGAAACTCTTGATGCTTCACCCCACATTTCGGCTGACAATCCACTATCAAGTGAGGTCCAAACTATTGAGAAATTGCTCCATCTAAAAGAGAGATCATTTAAGTCACAACTTTGGCAATGCTCTTCCACCAAGGCTGACCAACTCCGGAAACAATCATGGAAGGAGGAAGTAGTTGGAGCAACAGTTCCTCATCCTATGGAACTTTTATCAGGTGCGATCATACAAGATGGAGTTTGTGGTCCATGTGAAGATCAAGAACCCTATTCATTCTATGTTTCCGTATTGGTTCCAAAAGGATTGTCAGAATATAAGAATTCAAGAGGACCATATAAAGCTTATTTAGGGTCTAAAACATCTGAAGCAACAAGTGTCCTGAGACCTTGGGAAAGAGAAACTAAAATCCCATTAATTAAAAGAGCTGCCAAATTGCGAGCCGCTATCGGATGGTTTGTCTAAGATGGCTCTAAACTTGGTGAGGGGATACTTCTGAATTTGGAAGCTCTGACAGGTGAGAGATGGGATAACAAGATAGCTGGTTCAAAAAGAACAGGATCAGCATTACACCGTTTCTCCTGCTCAAGAGCTAGTGCAGCCGGATAGGCCGCTCAAAGTCCAACAAAGCTCACTTGGATGTGTATGACCACTGATACTTTGTCCACATTAAATACAATAAATCATGACTTTATGCATCAGACCTTGCTTTTATACTCACAAGCTATGGTTTCTGAGTGTTTTGATAGAAGCACTACACAAGGATTCTTTCATTTTCATATTGAGTGCAGAGACTGTCTCAGAGAGATTCCTGAAATTGCATTGGAAACAGAAAGAGACTTCACACATAAAGATGTGTCATTTATTCTAGAAAAATGAAAACCTGATGATGTTGGATGGTCAGTTGATTACCCCATACAAGAAATAAGAGAAAGTGATTGGTCATCAGTATCTCCACTTGAACAAAGTCATCACATTGGACGTGCATGTGGGTTCTTATATGGAGACCTCAAGTTGTCTTCTGATCCTAGGTCAGAAGATACATCAATATTCCCACTTAGCATTCAGAATAAGGTATTTCCTAAAAGTTTTATTAATGGAATAATAGAAGGTCTCATCAGGGCTGCAGCAATTCATTGTGCATCTAGGAGGTCTATAGTAAATTTGTCACGTCCTCGAGAAGCACTATTAGGAACGGCTCTTTATCTGATCAATCAAGTAAATGATACTGCTAGCCTAGTGACAATGTGGAGAGCTGAGAACTTCCACAACTTATTCCTCACAGTCCCTACTAAGATCCCTCCTTCTTACCCACTCTCAAATAAAGATCTCGGCTCGTTGGGGAGATCCTACATGAGGAGTGTTTATATCCACTATTATGTAGATTCTCCCTCTAGAGGACTATTCATTTATCAAGATATATGGATATTTGCAGATATAAACGATGTTAAAACATTTGGAATGCTAGCAATATCAACTAAATTGACACAGGTTCTGTATTCCAATCAGATTCGCAAGCACACCAAAGACATTATAAGAGGAAGTAAAGATCTGATCATTAATCTGAGGGATCCAGAAAGAACTCATCACAACATCAATATTGATTTGTCAAGGCTTAAAAGAGTCAATGAGGAGGTCAGACACGCAAGTAGAAGTATAGTTAAATCTAGGAATCTAGACAGAGAAAGAAATCTTCCATGGGGGAGTGAGCTTGCAGTACCTATTAAAGAAATCCAGGTACCTTATGTAGCAGTGGGTTCAAAAGAGCGTCAAGATCTCTCAAAAGTGAAAATTCCAAGGATACAGAATCCCCTTATATCTGGATTAAGATGTTTTCAGTTTGCAACAGGAAGTCATTACAAAATTCAATCTATTCTGAAGAATCTAAATATTAAGTACAAGGATTGTCTAGCAGGTGGTGACGGCTCCGGAGGGATAGGATCCTTGTTGCTGAGGAGTTCAAGAAATTCAAGATTGATATTCAATAGTTTGTTAGACCTAGATGGAGTAGATTTAAGGGGCTCCACTCCATCTCCTCCTTCCGCAATTTCTGCTTTGGGATCCGCATCAAGAAGATGTGTAAACTTTAATGATTCCTGGAGAAATCCTAGTGATTTAAGGAATAAAGAAACTTGGGAGTATTTCTTAAATGTGAAACATCAGAATCAAATGAGAATTGACTTAATAACTTTGGATATGGAGTGCAATTCCGATGAAATATCAGATTCTATAGAACTCCAATTATCAGAATATATATTCAAAATTCTGGATGATCATGGAACTTTGATTTATAAGACCTTTTTAGAGAGATTATGCAAGCAAAGCATATTATTAAGTGCCGTAGGTAATCAATTCAAAAATGTCAGCTTTGTTGTGACAGATATTACATCTCCACAGAGTTCAGAGATTTATGTTGTAATGAGGGGGAAGAATAATAGTACAATACCTAAAGAACCGGATCTAGAAACATTCAGTAAAGATTTGAATGATCTTCCAGTTATGAGAGGGATAGATAAAGAATTCGGTAGAGCTGTTTCGCTATTGTATAAGAACATCTGTGTGTATTATCTCTAAAGGACGAGTTGCTCTGATCCTTTTGGATGGGAATGGCAGGCGTGTCTATTTAGCTTTGACGCATATCTCACAAACTTTATTATTGTTGGCAACATTTGGGGATAGTCCGCGAGTATTGTCTTCATCAAGTTTCTTTAGATTTTTATAGCTCAGATGGCCAAAAATTTGGTGCCAGTACTCATCGTTTTCAATGGTTTTTGATGCTCGAAGACACTGCACTCTGGTGGATTTATCTGGAACTAGGACTACTTTGTACAAGCCATTGTACTGTCTGTCCCCTCTTATCACACTGTTTCCCTTGGTGATTAATACCCAGTTCTTGGTCAATTTGACATTTCCTCCATTTTTTGTGATCGCTCCTACTGATATTAGGTTGCTGTCTAGACCAAGAACTAGCAATGTATTTTTCATGATACATTCTGTCATGTCTAATGTACCAGACCCTGTGGATTTTATGGCGACATCCTTCTGAGCAACCTGAATCACATCATGACCTTTCTTGAAATCACTCAGCAATGAAGCATCATTAATCATGTGGTGAGACAAGCCTGAATCTACAAAAAATGCAACACCAGTTTTACATTTATTAGTGTCGTTGTTGGTGGTGTGCGACAGGTATGCTATCTTCTCTTTCTTTTCTGGTTCCCTTTTCTCATATCTTTCTCTAAAATAACAATGTTCTGATTTATGGTTTTGTTTCTTACAATATTTACAGCGCTTTATGTTTGGATTCTTGGGACATGTTCGGACGAGATGGGATTCTGATTCACAGAGATGACACTTCAATCTGGGTAGATTTTTCTCACCTTTTCTGTTTTTGTAGCCATCTTTCTTCTTTGTAGTTTTGAAAGCAACTTTGTCATCATTCTCTGGGTTCTCGCGTTGCTTATTGGACCTCTCTAAAGCCATCAAACGTGTGGTGAGATGTGACACTGTTCTTTCATCTTTAGGTGCTGACTGCCATGAAGGTATAAAATATTGATAGGTCTCGGGGAGTGCAGAAAGTATTCTCTGGACCATTTCGGCATCTTCAATTTCATGACCTGCATTTTTCAAACGAATTTTTAGGTTTTCGAGATCAGCGATCCCCTTGGCTATATCAGTCGTCATGCGGAAATTGAAATACTCCTTTAAAAGTTCTCCTTTCAACGCCTCAGTATCTCCTTCATATAGGTCACACAACTTTCTATACATCGCGTTGGCACTGTTACACGACATAATTATCTGCTGATTTCTCTTGCTAATCGTTGTAGCAATAGCTTTCTGCGCCTTTGCATCTTTCTTAAGGTCATCAGATGATTCCAACGCTTCTAATGCACACGCGGCATTTAATCTAGTTGGAATTTCCATAAAGTGAAGTTTTCTGGGCCGTCCAACAACTCGAGGCTACTGCCAAAATCGTTTTTACTTGACTCCCTAGTCATCTTTTTTCGATTTGTCGACAAAATATGCGAAACACGGGTTCTTGTACTGCCGTGCTTATTATAACCGCCGTATCCAACATTTTTTACCAAATTGAGTTAGTTACATATTCGGAATCGCCGTATCGAGATCTATAACTTTGTATTTCACGGTTTGTAAAAAAATGCTTGTTTGATATGATTTTTGATTTGTATAAGCGCAGTAACTACAAAAAGGAAAATAATTTCCTTAATATCTCAGCCGCAAGTGCTGGATACTGCTATAGATTTCTAAAGCGCCAGATTATTATTCATGTAGTACTTATCTTAACCGCGGTATCGGTTAACACTGCTCTGATATTAATGCAATCCCTATTATTGATGAGTCTTTTTCCTTAACATAAGTGCTTTAATCGCCACTTACGGCGATTATAATAAGAAAACTGTATTAATTGGTTTCCATTGAGTTACAATAATAACAGCCGTATGTGCACTTACGACGCTTATTACAAGAAATTGGAATGCAATAGATACGTTGTTTTATTTTCATGAGCGACAACTGCGTGTTACTGCGGTAATAATAAGGAAACTTCTCTTATAAGTTAATTGTAACCGTGCGTCGCGCGTCGTGTACGGCTCTTTTGGCAAGGTACTCGAAATTAAATCACTACCCCGTTTGTGTTATTGCGCGGTGTTTTGCATTAAAAATGGGGGCAGAGGAAGCGGAGGAGCGGGAGTCGCGCAACAACGATCTTTCATTTCATTCGTTCAGTTGCTTGTTGACAAGCCCAAGAGCACGTTGTTGCGTGCGGTGATCTGGCGGAATTGGCGGTAAAAAATTATTTCGTAAGTATAATCAATACTATTAAAATAAATAAAAATGCATTTTCTTAAAGAAACAACGCATACAATGATGCATGAAAATTTTTGCTCTACAAGGCCGGATATAAAAGTTTCTCTTGAAGTTTATAGAAAAGTAGTAAGAAATGACCTGAACATTTCTTTTGCACACCTTGGTAATGAAGAATGTGAACAATGTGAATATTTTAAGCGTCACAATCGATTAGACCATCAAGAAGAATCTTGCGAGATATGCCAAAATTATAATATGCAACACAAGCCCAGATACATAGAGTCCCGCAAAGAATACAACGAAGATAGAGAGAAAGCAAAGACTGACACAGAAGTAATTTATTATTCCGTTGACCTTCAAAAAATGATTATGTTGCCAAGAATGGATCAATTCAAGACTGCCATTTTTTGCCCGCGGTTAATTGCTTTCAATGAAAGCTTTGTACCACTAGGACCCGCAACTAAGGATAACAAACCGTATGCTGTGTTATGGAACGAGAGTGTTGCCGGTCGTAGTCAAGAGGATATAATTTCTACTTTCAAGGCATTTTTGAACATTAAAAGGGACCAAAAAAATATTGTACTCTGGCTCGATAACTGTTCTGCGCAAAACAAAAACTGGTCACTTCTATGTTTTATGGTACAAATAGTGAATAGTACAGACATTTTAGCTGAGAGTATAACATTAAAATATTTTGAACCGGGACATACATTTATGTCCGCAGACAGTTTCCATCACCAAGTGGAACAATCCCTGACAAAAAAGGGAAAGGTTTATGATTTCGACGATTTTGTTGAGTGTGTCGGCAACGCCAATAAAAGGAAGAATATAGTAAAAGTAATGAATGTTGATGACTTTATCGCCTATGAAGATTTATCTTCTCAGCACAAATTGCGGAAAAATAACCCACGCGTTTATTTAACGAATATAATGGCTGTGAGGGTTGAACGAGGCCTTTTCAAATTAAAATACAAATTTAATCATGCTGATCAATACAAATCAGAACCTTTAGATTTTCTTTAAGTAAAAATCATGAAAAATGAACAATTCCCTGAAATTCAAAGAAAAACTTTGCCAAGGAGTATAGCTGAAGAACGCAAAGCAGCCATTATTGAAAAGTTAGTCCCGTTAATGCCGGCAAACAGGAAACAGTTCTGGATTAACGTACCAACAAATGAGACTGTTAAAAATCTTTTGGAAGAGCTTTATATAACGGCCTAGAATTTCCAAAGACTTATTTTATTTTTTGTTTTTATAAGATATTATAAGTAGTGTTATTTTTTTTTAGATTTTTAAGCGTCGAACAAACTATAAGATTTAACAGATGATTAATAATTATTACCGATTTTATAATTATATTCTTGTAAAAGGGAGCCATGCCACGTCCTTAAATGTGTATTTACTAAGCTTATTAAAATAAGATTAATTAGTAATTTCACTGAATACTTTAAAAAAGTACATATATGTAAGACTGCCAAGTTACTGTGATCTCAGAAAGTGCCAATAATAGAATTAAGTCGTTGTTTTTAATTGTAAGATGTACGAGGTAATTTCGTTTCAAAATGTTACTTTAATAAATTCCGTTTTAATACACACATAAAAATTGATTGTTTTATTAGTGTATACAATATTTACAAATGTAATTATTATAATATCAGTCGGTTTATCCATACATTGACAGCTGAAAGTTGGCATATTTGCACTCGGTGCCGTAAACGCACAGAAAATTAGTACTTTGAGTTTCTTACCATAAGAGCCCTAAATGTCAACGTTACGGCGGTTATGCTTATCATTACTTATAGTCCAAGATCCCAGAGCGATAAGACACAACTTATTTTCACATAAATGAAACCTCATGTTCTCAGTAGTGTCTTATGTGCTCAGAATACCTGCGCGCTTGTGGAGCTTGCCGAGTGACACCTGGGCAGGTACCAGGTGTGAAAGGTAACTAAAATTAATAGTTACCTAACTTAAATTTTCATAACTGATTTTTAAATATATTTTGTAGAGTGTTATTATAAAGTTATACCATAAGCGTCAGACACTTTTCGTGGGCCAGTACTTTTGTCAGACGCTTTAAAGCTCTACAAAAAATAAATTAACTTAACTTATTTTTACATGTCTGACATTTAAATATGTTGTTCAGACAATTGTTACGAAGTTATATTTAATTAGTCAGACAAAATTGATTGACCAAACACCCCCTAAACAGCAAAATTATTCTGCCGTGAGTATGAGCGCGAAAGCATTATAGGTGCGTTTCGGAGCGAGTTAGACGGTCTTACTAACTCAGTTCCCCTTCTCTCATTCGTGTAATTCTTCTGTGTATTGTGTATGTGTCCTTTGGGTACAACCTAATAGTATACAGTATAGTTTGGATCTGTGAGACCACATGTTTTTGTTGTTTACGTCGTGTGATTTGTGAGTTATTTACATTACTTATTAACGTGAAAATCATGGAAGAAACAGAACCAGCAAAATTAACGTGTACATTTTGTGAAAAATCTAGTGATAAATTAATATTATTTACCGAGATAACATTAAAAAAGTGTAAAATTATTTTACAACAGCGAGTGACACATAACCTAAAATTTAAAGACGTAGTTTTACCTGAAGATTTATATGATAAAGGTTATCATAGGGAATGCTATAAAAATTTTACTGCTCTGCCCAAAAAATATTATTCTGAGATTCCAGAAAAAACTAAAATCAGTAAAAATAAAAGTTCTCCGAGCATTGTTGACAAACCATTTGTTGCATCGACATCAATTTTACCTAGTAGTACAAGTACTAATAGTGATCCATCCACAGCATCTACCTCAACTGAACAACATAATTCTACTGTTGCCGATTCAGATTTAGTGTCCAACTCAATTTCAGCTAGTGCTACTCTTGAACCTTTTGTAATATCTGAGCCAAATGTCGATCAAGGTATTGAATTTGAATCAGTTGAACCGGTGTCTTGTAATTCTGGAGATTCTTGTGTGGCAGGTGAAAATGATTTTCATTTGTCTACCAATCAAGTCCCATTTGAAAATAATATAAATAATGACGATAATGAAAAGTGTATATTTTGTGATAGAAAAACTAAAAGACATAAATTAAAAAGACTCCCATTGCATACGTGCAATAAATATGATTTAAAAAAAAAAAAAAATGAGAAGACTCCGCGGAATTTATAGAGAAAGTGCAAGATGTACTAGAGTCAACAATCTATTATCACCAAAAATGTCAATTGGAATATTTCTATCAAATATCGTCAACGAAGAATACTGTTCAAACGTCTTGGCATGATCTTCGTCAACACCATCAAGCTGTTTCTGATGAAATTTGCAATTTTATTCAGCAAAATGTCATCGAAAAAGGTCGATGTTATTTTCTCACCTATCTCCACAGATATTATTTAGAATTATTCGACGACAAAATAGATAACTCTAAAAATATTATGGGCAATTTTACTCCTCAAAACTTGGAGAGTAAAATAACCAAAACATTTTCGAAGGAGATTAAGTTTATGATGTGTCAAAACAAAAAGCTACTTGCTCAAAAAAATATTTCTGTAATTGATGAGGAGTTATTAGAAATCATAAAGGATCAGGACATTATTAATAAAGCTGCTTTAATATTAAGAAAATCAGTGTTAAAAGTTGATAAAAAAAAATTGCCCAATAATTTATCCGTAGAGGGCCTTGAAAATGGTGAAATTTCAGTGCCAGAAGACCTATCCCAGTTTTATTCGACTCTTATTGCGGGAAGTAACAACAAACGAAAAACCAATGATAAATGTGTTCGGATAGTTGAATCTTTGAGCCAGGATGCTGTATATGCCATTTTTAATGGCAAATACAAAACGTCGAAACACATCAAGCTTGGAATAGCTTTAAAAAGCTTAACAAGTAGTCGTAATATAATCGATATTATCCACAGATATGGCCATTGTATTAGCTATCCAGGTGTTGAGGAGCTGGAAACTGAAACCACTTATTATGCTATGAAGAAATCATCTAGATGTCCTGAAGCAATAAAAAAAAATCCGAATCTATGTACTGGAGTGGCGTTTGATAATTTTGATAGGTTTGTGGAAACTAAAAGCGGGAAAGACACGTTACATGATACCGTCGGTATAATTTATCAAAACGAGGACTCAAATGCTTCACATGAATTGGACACTCCACATCTGTCTTCTGTCGCCAGCGAAGAATCATCACCACCGAGAAAACGACGACGAAGAACACTAGAGGTTACTGAGGTAGAAGCTACACCATACATGAAAAAACCCAAAATGACAAAAACTTTACAAGTTTCTGTTCATGAAGCTGAAGAAACACCGCCTAAAAATTTGCAATTATACAAATCGATTGATGTAGTCTGGATGTCATGTATACAATTTATCAAATCTTCCAATGTGGGTCGGCTACAATTGTTTAATAAGCAATAATGAAAATAATCCAAAGCAAGTGGTTTCGTATCTAACTCCAATCAATCTATCGCCCACAAACACATCGGTTGTTTTGGAAACCATGGAGCAAAGCTTAAAAATTTGTAATGATATATACGATTATAAGTATAGTAGATTGCGGCTTGTCCAACGTCATGGTGCAAAGTGGTTTGCTAGCTTCGGGGTCAGTTGCTGGATTTCAGGATGGCAAACACTTCAATCGGTGTAAGAGGCTTCATCCGTTGATGTCTTTAGGTCTACAAATTTTACATTTTAAATCTTTCTTAGATATTAATAATGTAGAAGTATCAAGTGAAAGTATTGAAGAAATTACGCGTCTACAAAATACTCCAATGTCATCTTTTGAAATTGAAAATGATGAGTTAAAACAACTATTAAATAGTTATGACGTTTACAAACAGCAGACTCTGAACATGGAAAAACACCACAATTTTATTTAATATATATAAACCTGATCGACTATTATTTAACTCTATCCAGAAGTATTCGTATTGGAGATTTTGACCTGTTCAAGTACATACTACCCAAGATTACAAATTTGTTTTTTATCTTTAATCAACCTAACTATGCTCGTTGGACTGTTAGATATTGCTCAAATTTATTGAACGTTTCTGAAACTCATCCTAATCTGTATGAAGAATTCCAAGAAGGTTTTTTCGGTATTCGAAGAACCAATAAACCTTTTTCTAAACAACCAATTGATCTAGTTCTAGAGCAAACAATAAACGCTGATGCAGCTAGGAAACTAACTGGAATAATACATTGTAACGGTGCATTTCGCACCATTACAGTAAATTGAATAGTCAACGTGTTTTATGGTTTGTTAGCTGAATTTTGTGACGATTCATGCGATGCCGATGGTCGTTGGGGTGGACGAGAGTAATAGTCGATGCTGTTCGTCTATGATAATTTATCGATTTAGTTTTTCTTGTCCTGGCAACATTTTTTGTCACGTTCGAGGTAGTGACGGAGCCTTTGCTCTGGCCACCCAAGATGGCGTCACATTAGCTTTGGTCCGGGTCGAAGAAGGATTAGATTTTTAAAATGTAGTCTTTTTGTTGTAACGAGGGCATATTTCTTATTTTTATTATTTGGCCAACCTCGTTAAAGACTCAATTATATTGTTGGAATTGTTATTTTCATTAAAAGGTAAGTCTTGTTAAGCCACGTGCTTCATACTTGGCTTGTCAAGATTAGTTGTTCTAAATCTTTGTTTATTTGGTTACAGGAGATAATTATAATGCCGCTGCTTAGTTTGTGAAACATTTTGGGACCCTGGTGAGTAAACTATTGTATCTTACCAGCTTTAGGATTCATCTTTTGAGATAGGCAAGTAACCTATAATTCTCATTTGTTGCAGATGAATCAGGGTTTTTTTTTTAGTTTAAATCTAAGTTTTTTTAGTTTAAATCTAAATCTTTTGTTTAAATCTAAATTTTCTAATTATACCCTAATTTTCCTTTTATACCTAAATTTCTTTACGTTCAAATTATACCTTACTTTCTTATTGGATAGTAATGTCATTGCGTGGCATTCGGATTTTGCCTCTCCGCCGGCCTGACCCCAGGAATTTAGTTTGCTGTTTAGCACCTATAATGGTAGAAAAAGCTGCTTAGCTGCATGCCATTGTCAGGAGCCAGGGAATGCTAACCCGCCTCTTCCACCACGTGGGAACCGGAGTGAGAAGTCTTTCGGAGTTGGTTTGCTTTCATTTCATTCGGACTGAACCAAGGTCATTGGTATGTGTTTTATTAATTTGCTTGGCGTCGTGGCATTGGATACTGCAGGTCCCCAAGGGGTGTTATTTTTTTATTAGAAAGTAGGTCAATGCTACGACTACCCTTAGATTGTATTGTGTTTTCTATTAAGTCTTTATGCGACTTTTTTAAAACCTATGCGGGTCCCCAAGGGGTGTTATTTTTATTAAGGGAGTAGGACGATGCTACAACTACCCTTAGATTCATTTCTTATTGAGTCTTTATGTGACTCTTAAAACATATTTAATCTTATATTGGTTTTTTTTATTATTGGAAGAGGATTGCATTAGCGACAGTACTAATTGGAGTATAAGAGTTACCTATTGTAATTAGAGTCCTAAGATACTTTGTACTCTACAGACACTACGGGATAATAAACTGCCACTAGAACTTAACATCTTTGTATTTATTAGCTGCCCCCCGTCCTAGATTAAAGGTCTAGCGCTGACCGAGTTGTCCGAGGCATTTGTTGTGTTTGTGGTTGGTTCTGTGTTCTTTTAAGGTGGTATCTGGCGTCCGAGTTGTTAGTTGGTTAGTTTGTTAGTATTTGTGATGCCACCAGTTAGTTTTGTTTGTTTAACCCGGCGTCTGCTAGGTTGGGTCATAATGACCCGTGATGATTTTAAATGCGGGTATTTAAGAAAATAATAGTGTAACGTTATCACGCTTCTCAGTAGCTGCAGTTAGTGCCCCGCCTCCTTCGTTTCTTATGTCAACTTAGACGGTATGCGCCTGCACAGGAAGATAGATGCGGTCAAACAACAAAAAGGTAAATATGACCCAACTATACATTCGATGATACCATTTCGTGCCAATTACGTTGACTTCATTATTTGATTATTTCGTTTATTTATTTGTACCGACATTACGTATATTACATTATATTTTGTTATTTTAAGGTTATATTTGAATAATGGATAAAGAGGAACGCGAAAGGCAGCGAATTCTGACAATATTAGAAGAAAGCGACTCGGAAGAAGGTGAAAATTCTTCGGAATGCGAGGAAGATTATCACGTTAGCGAGCGTTCTCAACAGAGTGATACCGAGCAAGAGGCATCAGAAAATGATGATGATGATGTACCTTTGAGTGTCATCCAACGTCAAGTGTATTCCTCCGTACGTAGATCTAATCAGCACAATTCATCGGATGCAGAAACATCGAATTATGAGGTACTGATTTCAACTTATTCTGGTAAAGATGGTACAATATGGCACAAAAAACCTTTTAGACAAAATGTTCGCATCCGATCAGAAAATATTATTACTTTTACGCCAGGAGTTCAGTCTGGAGCTGGATGTGCTAAATCTAAAAAGGAGTGCTGGAACATTTTTTTCGATAGTGAATTGTTGGACGCTATTCTCAGATATACCAATTCACGAATCAGAGTAAAGATAATGTCTTGCTCTTATAAATGATCACTTGAGCGCTCGCAAGGAGATGCGCAAAAGAATAAGAGAGTTTACAGGAGAAACATCAGAGGAGCCCCCTGCTAAAGTTCGTGGTGTTCGTAAACGATGCCAGATATGCCCCGCTGAAAATGACAAGAAAACTACCCATACCTGTCAAAGATGCAACAAATTCATCTGCCCTGAACATATAATTTCCTTCTGTGGCGGTTGCGTAGATGACGAGGCTAATAGTGATTAACACTAAGATTCTTTAAAACTTTTACAAATACTTTCTTAAAGATCTCATATTTGTCATTCCAAAAAGTTAAAAATAAGTGTTATTTAGTCTTTTTTTTTATTTTTTATTAATAAGTTTCTATTTTTTTTTGTAAATTTTTTACCGACTTCTTAAATACATAAAAAAATCTTTATATTACTTATTTTTTTTATTTTGTCATCAAAATATTATAACTTAAGAACTATTCTTCAAGTTAAACACAAATTTGCTCGAAATGTCATTGAAATGGTAAAAATCAGCTACGGTTTAAAATCTGGGTAATTATGACCCATCATGCAGTTGTTGTACCTATTTTCTACCATGCTGACGCCGGGTTAAAACACAGCCACACACCCATAAAAAGAATTTTTTAATTTTTTATTATTACAACATTTTACCAATTCTATTTCTGCACGTCAACGGTGGGCCCGAAGTCATGATATCAGATCCACAATAATTAGTTCTGTTTATAAAGATTTGGACCTTCAAAAGGATCAAGACGTTTCGGCCGAACTCACTAATCATGCTATAAAAAACAATGCTAAGCAGTTGCGAAAATTTGTTGAAACTTTTGATTTATTCATAAACCCATTTGACTCACAAGTGCCAAAAGATCTGATAATGAATATTTCATCGGGTAAAGCTGCGTCGGAACCAGTAGAAAAATTTTTGCTTAACGTCGAAAAAAATGGTGAAGCTAAACGTCTAACTTTTATTGCTGAGTGTGATTTAAGTATTAGCAGATTCGAGAAAAGTATTCAGAAAACACCTATTCACTAACAGAAAAACTAATTGCTTTTTAATTGCCATTTTGGCGACGCAGGCGGCGAGATAAGGGAACAACAAAAGAAAGAAATTCGGAGAACTTATCTAAAGATTTACAGCGACCTCCCGACCGGTTGTTATGACATTTTAACATTAGCAAATGACATTTTAGATAAGAATGGGTATAAAATGCGTACAAGCTGAGGCATACATCATTGTTAGTAAAACTTTCAAGCTGGACGCGTTTGTTAGTGAAGTTTTTAATACTCTTGTAAAAACTAAAGATGGAAAACTCCAAGCAATTAAATCGCTCAGAGGACGACACCGAGTTACAATACAATCAGGACAGCAGTCAAGAATGCATCATTACTACGGAACTAGTCGAAAGCGAGGAAGAAACGGACAACCGTACGAACGACGTGGACATCATGGCGAATACACAACAGACGTTCGAACTGCCCAAGATATCGAAGAGGAGCAACAACAAACCAAAAGGAAAAGGTATGGGCAAGAAGAGTGCGAATCATCAGAGGAAAATTGTGGAGACGCTGGGTTTCATGATATGGTTGAAAGATTTTTGGGACAACGAGCACACCATAAAACTGATGGGCCAATTTCTGACGAAGCTTCGCGACTATTGTTATCGCAACAACGAACACAAGATGTTGAAAATAGTACGACCCATGAAGGAGGTATTCAAGGCGATCATAATCGATATGGAGAAGCAAAAGCAATCCTTAAAAAGCATTTCTTGGGATCTTTTCGAACAATGGGCCTTAAATGCAGGATTATACACGATGTATACGAATTGCCATCAGATGGTTTGGGAAACAGATTTCGAAGAGACGTTATTCAGAATATTCGGGGAAATCTACAGCCAGGATGCCCAAGAAGGGTCGGAAATCAGCGAGGACGAGGAATGCTCATTATTGCCGAGCATCAAGACCACATCCACGTTATCCACGACTGTACGTACGGAGGAGGATCCTGCCGATGTAGATATATGCGATATCTCAGTGAATACACGACCGAGGACCAAGAAAACAGTGAAATTCAGCTCACCCCCTGGTCACAGATCGAGCGAAGTGTTGACCTCGAAGTTGAAAATGAGCTCGAAAAAATTCAATACGGACTCGGAGAAGCGGCCTGCCAAACGTCGCATCTCATCAGACACGGAAGAGGAGGAGCTTGTACTAACGGTCAAGAAACCAATGAAGAGCAACAATCCACCACCCGTAGAAGAGAACAACACGGACAGCGATGCCTCAGACAACTTAGAAGGTTTGCTCGACGGAGTTGTCCAACAGCAATCATTACGCTTGACCACTGGTGCAATCTCACAGAATATCTCGGTAAAGCACCTCGATCAATTAGTTATTTTGAAGTCGCGGGGAGAACGTGGGTTGAAGGTGGTGAAATTAGAAATATACAGCGATTGTTTGAGGAAACCAAAAACGGAATGGTGGAAGAGTGCGGAATTCCGCGGAACCTTCCTGTCCTATGGAGCCGAATCGCGTGTACAGAAGTTGACCAATCAACTGAAAACGGAGGCCTACAAACAAGTAGCCAAAACAAAGGACGTGGAAATGGAGACTTTACACTGGATTACTCTAAAAAGAAAAAAAGCAAATTAGGTGGTAAAATACAAGAGATAAGAATGCAAAGAGATTTGTTTGGGCGTATTCTTGGGATATCTTTAGATTACAAAGTTGATATAGAAAAAGTGTTGTCTTATCCAATTACTCCTATGCCATTATCCATGTGTCATATTGATGAAGCCATTTGTAAAACCCAGAAATCGTCTGTGATGAAATCTTTAGAGAATGGAGTAGAGCACATTGCACCTGATCGAGTTGATATTTTATTAATAGATGGTTTCTTTTTACTACATACTATGAAAAATGTCCCAAAAACATTCGGAGGTATCTCTAAAAAAATGCTCCTACTGGTAACACAGTTTGCAGCCACAAGATACGACGTTATTTTTGATCAATATCTATCTCCTTCGATCAAAGATTACGAAAGAGATCTTCGCCGAGAGTCGACTCAACTGGATTTTAACATTACTGGCCCCGATCAAGTTAGACCATCAGATTTTTTGAAAGGATTAAAAAATATTCATTTTAAAGAAACCCTCGTAGAGTTTTTTATTCAACACTATGCATCTGATGAAATGGTACCATTCGTTGAGAATAAACACATACTTATTAACTTTAAGCAATGTCATTCCTACGTAGTTGATGATAACAAAATTGTGTCAACTGTAGATGACAGTTTATCATGTCCAGAGCATGAAGAGGCAGACACAAAAATCGTCTTTCATATTTGTAATATTGACGTTCAGGAAAATTTTGTTGTAAGATGTTCTGATACCGATATAGCGATTATTATGTTAGGACATATGCATAATTTGAAAGACGATGGTTCCAATGTATGGTTAAACGCAGGCACCGGAAACAACCAAAGATATATTAATTTGACAAAATTGTACGAGAACTTGGGATCATCTTTGTGTCGAAGTTTGCCAGGATTTCATGCATTAACCATCCGGTTAATGCATGAAATCCTGCAAACCTTTTTTAAAAAAGGCAGGATTATAGTCACATCCGTGACTATAATCCTGCCTTTTTTAAAAAAGGTAAACAAAGATCATTTAAAATATTAATGAAGAGACCTGAGTATCAGCAAGCTTTGATGCACTTTGGTGATCCTGAATTATTAACCGATGAGCACAGACAAGATATTTTCAAGACTATTCAAAAGTTTATCTGTGAAATCTATAGTGTTCCTGATACATACGATGTTAACGCTGCCCGTCTTCAGCTATTTTTAAATAATTACAGCGTATCTAATATAAATGAAGAATTTAACCACAAAAATTTAAAAAACTTTGATGCAAGCAGCTTACCACCGTGTAAAACTGAGCTATTTCAACAATTTCTACGAGCTACAGTAGAATCCCGATTATCCGAACATCGATTATCCGAATATCCGATTATCCGGACTCATTCGTCTCGGCTCTAATTATTAATTTAAAAATGTTTTGACGGCGCAACGAGACATGTTACGACAAGTTTATTCCCGCCTCCAACGGTGTACTCCCGCTCTCATTTGTTTGCGGGATAGTGTTTGTTATTGTTTCATTTTCTTTGATAGCGTTCAACTAAAAGGTTGTCTTTTATTTTTGTTTACGTTTTGTGTTGGAAATTTAAAATGTCCAAGCGAAAAAGAGTAGTGTTGTCTCTTAAAGACAAAATGAAGATAATTGAGAGTATAAAAAATGGTGAATCTGGCAGTAAGTTGGCACAAACATATGGTGTCGGAACTTCTACGATATCAGACATTAAAAAGAATTCTGATTCCATAATGAAATTCACCTGTGCGCTTGAGCAAGAAGATGGAAGTTCGCAACGTAAAGTCATGAAAAAATCTCAAAATGAAATTCTGGAGAATGCAGTTTTTACTTGGTTCTTACAAAAGAGAGCATGCGGTCAGCCCATATCTGGACCTCTGTTATGTGAAAAAGCATTGGATTTTAATCAAAAACTTGGTGGTGATACTTCTTTCAAGGCGAGCTGTGGATGGTTAGCAAGATTCAAATCCAGACATGGAATTCGAGAACTGGAGATTCAAGGAGAAAAACTGTCTGCTAACGTTGCATCAGCCGACTCTTTTGTAGACGAGTTAAAAGAATTTCTAGATGAAAAAAAATACGATTTAGATTTTGTATACAATGCGGACGAAACAGGTCTTAATTGGAAAGCTCTACCAAGCAGATCATTAGCATCGCGACGTGAAAATGCAGCACCGGGGCACAAAGTGAGTAAGGACAGAGTTACAGTTATGGTTTGCGCAAACGCTAAAGGAACACATCGATTGCCACTGCTACTTATTGGTAAATCAAAAAATCCACGCTGTTTCAAAAATGTTAAAATACCCTTAACTTACGCTAACCAACAAAAAGCGTGGATGAACACAGATATTTTTCTTACTTGGTATGAAAATACGTTTATTCCTGAGGTGAAGAAATTTCAAAAGGACGTGGGAAAAGAGGGCGATGTATTGTTGTTATTAGATAATGCGCCAACGCACCCTTCCGCTGAAACACTAAATCGAGAAAATGGGAAGTTCACGGTTAAGTTTTTGCCCCCTAACGTTACATCGATATTGCAACCTATGGACCAAAGTGTCATTGAAACTTTAAAACGTTTATACAGAAAGCAGCTACTGCGTCGTCTTTTATCAGCAGACGACAGTGGAATAGAAACGTTGTTAAAGTTTTTTAAAGAAATTAATTTAAAAGATTGTTGTTATATGCTGGTAGAAGCGTGGAATTCTGTGGAATTGCAAACATTAAAAAGGGCATGGAATAAATTATTAAAATTAACTCTATCTGATTCTTCAATTAAACCGCACGACGATTTTAAAGAAATAACCGAAGCAATGAAAATTCTTAGCATTGGCGACGGGTGCGATGAAGAGAATATTATGGAGTGGCTGAACTGCGATAGTGAAGACCCTGGATTCCAAATATTAACTGATGAAGAAATCATTGAGGATTTAAACAGTAACGAGAGAGAAGATGAAGAAGAGACTAAAACTGGGGATGTATGTCAAGTACCATCTCACGCAGAAGCTTTTGAAGCTCTAGATGTTGCTTTCAAGTGGTTTGAAAGACAGGACGAATCGGATCCCATACAGTTGTTACAACTGAAGCGCATCAGGGACTTGGCTGCGAGAAAAAGATGTGATTCATTACGTCAAAAATCTATCACAAGTTATTTCCAACCAAAATTTTAAATTACATAGGTATTATGTAATTAATTATCTATCGTTATAGCTCGTTTTTTATATATCGTATTATCTAAGTAAAACCCATTACATAATAAAAAATTATTAGAACTTAAATATTATTTGATTTGCTTTGAAATCGGTTAACCGGATTTTCGATTATACGGAATACCCCTGGTTTTAATTGATCCGGATAATCGGGATTCTACTGTAATTACATTTCTAGCATATGGAATTATACTCATGAAAAACAACCAACCATTTTTACTCCTGAACAAAATGGATGGAGGTTAGGGGAAAACCAGTTTCACTTTCATTGGTTTGATGGTGACCAATTACCAAGGGACGTTGGTGAATCTCTTCAACAATCAGGTACTATAATTAGAGTTCAAGATTAAAATTTATTTAACTAGTAATTTTATGTATTTTAATTCTTTTGATTATTTCTTGCAGAAGAAGATGTCAGCAACAACATAACTGATGACGATGAAGATGATGACTTAGTTGGACAGTATCGTGATTGGTTAAATGATGAAAATTCAAATAATTGTTATGATGATTGCAATGATTAAACAATAAAATAAATGCTTATTTTAATTAATTATGGGTAAATTTTTTTTTACAAAAATGATTTTGTAAAAAAAAAAATTTCAAATGATATTTTTAACAATGAAATAAAAAAAATTCTAAGAAAAAATAGCTCTGAACAGATTAATTATACCAGAAATATTAAATGAATTAATTTACTTTCATACTGACTAATTATTACGTTAATATTGAAATAGAGATGCAAAAATTTTATATCGGAAGCTGTACCGTAAGTATTTTTCATATATTTACTCTAAGACGCATGCGCATAATGCTTTCGCGCTCATACTCACGGCAGAATAATTTTGCTGTTTAGGGGGTGTTTGGTCAATCAATTTTGTCTGACTAATTAAATATAACTTCGTAACAATTGTCTGAACAACATATTTAAATGTCAGACATGTAAAAATAAGTTAAGTTAATTTATTTTCTGTAGAGCTTTAAAGCGTCTGACAAAAGTACTGGCCCACGAAAAGTGTCTGACGCTTATGGTAAAACTTTATAATAACACTCTACAAAATATATTTAAAAATCAGCTATGAAAATTTAAGTTAGGTAACTATTAATTTTAGTTACCTTTCACACCTGGTACCTGCCCAGGTGTCACTCGGCAAGCTCCACAAGCGCGCAGGTATTCTGAGCACATAAGACACTACTGAGAACATGAGGTTTCATTTATGTGAAAATAAGTTGTGTCTTATCGCTCTGGGATCTTACTCTATTATACTCAGTACTCATTTTTCGCTGTCAAAAGCGCCATAAAATAAGTTCCATAGTATAAGCGCACTATCTGTGTTACTTACGACGCTTTATTATAAGTATTTGTTTTAAAACATACGTCGCATTTCCTTGTCATATCACATTTTTATATCTTTTTTATTATCAATTTATTACTTAAAGTTCTTAAATAGCAATGAATACAAAATACCACCTTTTAACTACGGTAAGAATACAACAAATTTTAAATAAACAATATTTTTATATCCATAATCGAAGAATTAATTTTTAAAACTTTAGGCGCCATTTTCTAGGAACTTGCTGTCATGCACTTGTCGCTCTTATCTTTAGCACGGCAGTGTATAGGCGGCAAAATGACGGAGTTACCTAGTCACTTTTACGCACTGTTCACAAGTTTTTATCACTTGTAATCAAACAATTGTCACATTATATGATACACTATTGTCCTGGGCCCATAACCTGTTGAGGTGATGAGTAATAACGCAGTTGATTTTAGTTTTAAGTTTTAATTCTGAGATTTTGGCGTTGCACATTTCACATGTTATGTCAAAGTTTTTAGAGAGCTAAGTAGTGTTGCTACATAAAAATAGTGTTATACCATTATTATACTAGAGAGGGACTTGGCGAATATTCTTATAAAATTTACTAAATCATACATAAAGGTCATATTTAACATATAATACATAAAGGTTTAAACTACTTTAAATTTGGAATGTCTGTTTTATTTGTTCAGACTAAATTGTAATATTCTTGGTCATTATTATTGTCATAGCTTGAAGCAGAAACATGTGTATTTTTTATAAATTATATCTATAAATAAATTTAAAATGTTAAGTTCAAAATAAATAGTTTAGAAGTCTTTAAGTGCCTTTTTTGGTTTGAAAGTGATCCCATTAGCCACATCCACCGTTCAACACTTACATCTCTCAAATATTTTTTTGCAAAGTGTGCACTGTGTGTGTCAATGCAACTACCTCCCAAATATCGATTAAAACCTAAAAGTACAGCAGCCTGAAAAATGGCTTAGATTTTCTTTAAACGACATTATCTTCACCTTTTTGGAAGCAGCAAAGTGAATGATAATAATTGCAATTGTGGAATGAATCCAAATGTTTAGATCATTTTAAAGTTTTGAATAGCTACGTCTTTTTGTTAATGTTTCTGCAATTCTTTAGAAAATATTTAAAAATTGATTCAGAAAAACGACAACAGACGAAGGCGACAGCGACACAGACTCATTAGCATAGATAAAACACAATAAATCCTAATCCTAACTCATTAGTAACTCATTAGATTTACAGCAACTCTTTTGTTCTAACCGTCTCTGTGTTAGATGTTTCACATACAAAATTAAGAACTCATGAATAAAATAGTTTTTTTATTGACACTTATTTTTAAATAAAATTAATCGGAAATAAATTATAACGGTTAGAAATATGATAAATCCAGTTCCCTCTTTAGTACAGTAGGAGAAAAATGAGGTAAAAATAGGTATACACCATTTTAAATAGGGAAGCACCACGGACACAATACGTTACTAAATTTCTTTTACATATTGAAATTATAGCGAATTTTTATACGGGTCACCTAAGCCCAACCCTACTATATTTATTACATATTTCGACTAATGATGATAACTGATGCCGGGTGACGTTTAGATTTAGATTTGTAATAAGTGTAGTACCTACCTATCTTGTTCGAAATTACTAAATATCGTATGGGTATACGAAGGTCAGAGTAAATAAACGTTGATGACGTTGTAAATAAATATGATGTTATATAGCCTTCTTCGATAAAATACCTCTATTTTCAGTATACAGCAGGACACTTTTTCAACCCAAGATAAAGAAATAAAAGTATTTCTTTATCTTAGTTATTACAGAAATAAGTTATTATAGAAATAAAGGTATTTCTTTATCTTAGTTATTACAGAAATAAGTTATTATAGAAATAAAGGTATTTCTTTATCTTAGTTTTCAACTTTCTCCCGAAATGATAGTTCTCAGATCTTCTTCTTGTCTTGGATTTATAGTATGCCCTTGCCTCTACCCTCCATAACGTAAACAAAGAAGTTGACATGACATCTATAATAATTTGACAACTTGACAACTGAATAGTGATGCGCAAAATGTATCACTGAGCTGAAAAGATTGATACATATCATTTCGCTCTAAAGATATATATCACTCATCTAGCTCACTAGCTCATTTACCTCACTAACTCATTTAGCTCACCAACTCATTTAGCTCACCAACTCATTTAGCTCACTAGCTCATTGATCCGATTCAATTGATTGGTCTCTCAATTAATTCATTTCTTCATCTAAGCCTTTAAGCCACTTTAAGCCTCTCTCGCCATACAAACCTTTCTTTATTTTCATATTAACCTAAATTCAGTTTTTGAAACTACATTCTTAACCTTTTATTTTAGATTAAATTAATTCATTTTGATAAGATTACATAATTATTAACACCCTTTTATATAATATTTAAAAAAAGAAATTATTTCTTGTACTTTTTTTAGGTTGTATAATAGACATCGTACATAATTTGATTTTCCTTATACTTGGCAGGCTTAATTCTTAAGTAATATTAAACTTTGATCCTATAGAAATAATGTACATTTTGCATAAAGAAACTTGCGTGAACTCAACCATCACCTATCTCACTCATTTATCTTTAGTCTCACTCGCTCATGAAACAATGATCGGCGTCGTTGAGCTAGTGATCTAGTGAGCTAGTACTGAGTTACTGATATATTCGGAGCTAGTGTGAGTGAGTGATACATTTTATCGTCGTGAATGATATATATCTTTTATATCACTCATTCAGGAGCTACACAACTCTACAACTGAAGGCGGCACCGCAACATACAGGATATTTTCATTAGATTTAGATTAGACAAGAAAGTAAATAGAGTAAATCAATGTTGCACCCTTGGTAGTAAAGTTAAGAAATCACTAGCTAAATAGGCTTAATCGTAATCTCAGTAATCTGTCATGACATTTGAGATATGCCTCGCAAGCAGTGTTATTGGACGCGTAAGTTGGAATTAGAATTAGTTGAATTTGTTCGTCAGAGAGACTTTATTTGGCGACCAGTTGGTAATACAAACCATCATATTCAGCAGAAATATAAAGCGTATGCTGAATTCGCCTCTCGGTTAGGTAGAGGGTTTACAGGTAAGTACTAAATTGCACCTTTTTTATTTCACTGGTCCCCACAGTTCCATTTTGCATTTATAACCACTGACCCACTTCTGAGATTCGCAGTTGTCTGGCTTCTATGTCTTATCATTTTTCTCAATAAATACTCTGTGCAATACAAAAGAATCTTTAAGTTCTGATTGATAGCTGCATAGATTATAGAAGTATTTAAACAAACAAATAAAAACCTGTTTAACTTTATTATATTAGCATAGATGGCTATCTATGCTAATATAATAAAGTAAAACAGGATTTTATACCTAAACTTCTTTTCACTTATGCTAATAGATTTATGTTATTTAATAGAGACTAGAGATTTTATAGAGATAAGCATATCTCTATAAAATCTCTAGTCTCTATGTCAATGAAATTAACTTGTACAATGCTTTGTACAAGTTAATTTCATTGACAATGCATAAACTTTTGTACTGTAACAGGTCAAAATATATATGTACCCCTATAGTTTAATACAGCCATCCATATACTAATATTATAGATGCAAAAATGTGTGTCTATCTGTCTGTTATTTTCATGCTTAAAACACTGAACCGATTAAGATGAAATTTTGTACAGAGATAGTTTAAGTACCGGGAAAGGACATAGGATATTTTTATCCCAGTAATCATCCTTTAAGAGGGTAAAAGGGGGGGGGGGGGGAAGTTGATATGGTGACTCAAAAACTGCTCAAAAATTGATTTAAATGAAATTGGGTATTAAGATAGTTTGACTCTTGAGAAAAGACATAGGATAACCGACATACATACAGACGGCAGTTTGTATAAAATATTTAACTATATAGAACATAACGTTAAAAATTTAAGCCTTCTGCACTTCTACATATAAATGTCAAGTATTTAAAATAATTGAAAAGTAGAGCAAACAGGTTACAGTCTGGTATCTAACTAGGAAGCCGAGCCACTAAGCAATATGATTGTTTTTTTGTTCAGACAGAAAACAATGGAGAGGGTTGAAGGTGGCTATCGCCGTAAGGCAAACCAAATAAGTGTAGTTTAAGTTTATTAAGACACAATATGTAAAATGTGATCATCATCTCACCCGAAAGACATCCAATACTAGAGACAGGCCTCCTCCAAGATTTGCCACAAAAACCGGTGTTCTGCCTTCATCCAAAGACTTCCATCGATCTTCATCAGATTATCAGATCTTGTAAAAAAATTATATAACTTTAATAGATAACTTACTTTTAACTTTAATATATTTACAGCACGGTCAGTTCGAGATCGCTGGGTTAACATCCGTAGCACTTTCAACCACAATTTGAGAAGGGTAGACAAGTCCAAGGAGACAGCTAAGAGTCCTGCAGACATATACGTACCATGCTGGCCACTTTGGAAGCCTTTACAGTTCCTGAGAGAGACATCCAAGAAAGACGAATTTAGTTTTGATGTAAGTCCTATTGTTGTGTCTTAAAAAAATTGGATTCCTAGGCTTCAGAAAATTATTTTTCAACTGCATCATGAAATTTAATATCTTAAAAGACAGCTACAAGGTGCCCTCCATCGTACATCATCATGTTTTCATATCACTAATGACAGGCCGGCAACGCGTTTGTGATTCCTGAGTTGCAGAAGTTAATGGGTGGCGTGCCATGGCGATGGGCACTTTCCATCAGGTGACCCGTCTGCTCGTTTGCCCCTCTAACATAAAAAATATATATCTTCAAATGAAAATTAAATGTAATGATTTGACAATAGGACTAGGTAGGACATCATGTCATAATATTTCATACAAAAATATACCATGACTACCGTTTTGACTTAAATCACGTGAGCGAAAACGCGGGCATGAGCTACTTTGGAATAATTTTCATCAAATGCGATTAACATAAGTTCTAAACTCCTACAAGACTCAAAGTAAACTTTCATAACTTATCACTTAACAATACCTTACGCAATCTAGTAGCCAAAATATAATGATACTGATTTGTCTAGACAGTCATTTACCCCTTTTTTTTTTTCGTGCGGAAATCCCCTCGGATACCACCTATAGGTGGCATGTCGGACTCGAACCGACTAAAACCGCACGCCGTCTCGGGTACTAATACCAGGTATACCCTAGAAAGGAAGTCCCTGGTGCAGACAGTCATTTACCCTATTGCTTGCCCCAAGTTGCAAGCAATAGAGAGGAATAATAATATATAATAATTCCTAATAATTATAGGAAGATCATCCCGAGATGAATAATTAACGTTCATTTTTCAAAATGTCCATTTTATCAATTAGTCCATTTATGAAAATGTCCACTTACCAAGTAGTCCACTTTGTCACAATGTCTACCATAAAATAATATCAAAACTTGAAATCCAAAATCAATATTTATCAATATTTTTTCCCTCTTTTTAACTAGGTCCTAAAGGAATGTGAACCTTGTGATAGTGTGGACTTTAAGATATGTAGATCTTATGAGACCTTAGACCTTTTGATGCTGAGGACATTTGGAAACAGTGGACTTTTTGTGACTAAAGGAGTCTGTTAGAACTCGAAATTTATTTATTTATTTTTGTTCCCTTCAGTTTTGTCAGTAGCATATAACGAAATAAATGTATTCAACTAAAACACAATCTATAGAAGTATATTGAAATAAATATAACAAGCCACACTCATTTCAGAACTATGATGCTGTTCCTGGCTTCTTCAAGGAGCTATCAAGTAATCTGAATGTAAAAGAAGAACTTCAATCAGAAGTTGATGACGTGGAGATAGGTATAAGGCAACGTGGCCAACGCACAGACAGACCGCGCAAAAAAAATAAAGGAATAAGAAAATCCAGCAACGCCAGGAATAAATGTAAGCAAGTCATAAATGAACTTCTTCAAGCTATGAGGCCGCTAGGTGCAGATGCGCCACCCGAACAGCCATATTGGTTCTTCGCGAAACATGTTGTCGGGAGACTGAGCTCTATGCGGAAAGTTGATGCAGATTGTGCAGCTACTGACATTCTTAAACTATTGGATGTCAACATGGATGATATCGCTTTGAAATCTGAATGAATTTTGACAATCCACCATCGGATTTGCGATCAAGTCGTTATCCACAATGGGACTTGCAGTATAGTCGTTGCAGGTTCGAACCCCAACCAGTGTACTAGACGTGAACCCACTCGTGACACGAGGTTTGCTTAGCTGGAGGGGTTCTGCTTGGTAGTGCCATGGTTCAGCAGGACTGAGGACACGCAAAACGTCACAGCGACAGCGACAAACCACCTGAAACCAGAGGCTGGCCGTGCGTTTCTTCGGAACGCCAGGCATGCGCCGAAGCCCACCACCAGCCTTAAGGCCAAACAAAAAAGCCACCGCGCCAAGCGTCTGCCCCTCGCGCTCCGCAGGCTTCGGCGTCCCTCGTTCTTGCCAGCGTAGAATGTGTAGGCACGCATCGTATTCCCGCGGACGCGTCCGTCCACTTCGTGGAGGAGTTGCAGGAGGACACCCCCTATATGCGAGATTTAAAGCAGAGGCATGGCAGGACGGCCAACGCCTGTCCCTTTGGAAGGGGCTTACGGTTCACCCCGAAGGACGACCAGGAGTACTGACTCGTCCAGCGGTACCTGACGGCGCTGGAGAAGAACGAGGGTATCTAGGTTAGAATTAGAGAGGTTAGAATTCGTAAACCAGGCAATTGAGAGCTTACAAACGTTTACCAATATCTTGTTTTAGGATAAAGCTCATTTTCACCTTAATGGCCACGTAAATAAGCAAAACTGGCTTGAACTTTCTGAACTGAGCTGAACTTTCCTGGCTATAACCAAAGAACGTGGTTCCAGCAGGATGGAGCAACTTCACGCACTTAGTGTAACGGTGCATTTCGCACCGTTACAGAAAAGTTCTTCTTCTTCTTCCTTTAATTCAGTGGCTCCATCGGATGTCGATGATTTTGCCAATGTCTAGGTGGGAGGTAGATTTATTAGTTAATAGGTTGAAAATATTTTGAATACCAAGAGGGAATTGTTGTGATTTCAATAGTTTCTGTTTGTGGTTCTGTGGGACAGTAGAAAAAAAAAAAAAAAAAAAAAGGACATTAGAAAAAAATATAGCAGTAAAGGTATTAGGAAACTTTATAAATTTATTTTATTTATACGAATAAAATGGTAAAGAATCCTGACAAATGGGGTATATACTAGAGTTAAGAGATAAGCCAAATTAACGGGTCGGGATATTTGTTGAGGGAGTAGATCATACAGAGGTACGACCAATTTAGGACAAGAAAAGAAAATATGTTCCAGAGTGCCTTCATCGAGACCACACTCACATAGAGAGTGATCACGAACTCGAATTTTGGCAAGAAAAACTGGGGTACTGACAAATCCTAATCGTAAACGAATTATAGTAGAGGTGGCTGACTTATTAACATGTTTTTGTTTGAAGAACCAGGATCTAGCAGGAATTAAGGGTTGTAGAGAGCCGTAAAATTTACCCTTGATCATTCTACTGCTTTGCCATGTGTTATTCCAGGACTCAGTCAAGGAAAGTTTGGCTAGGGAGCGCAGATCTCGGGCGAAGCAGAATTTGTGGCTAGCGCATCCAGTCTGAGCTGCTATTTTTGCGCAGGAGTCCGCAGTTTCATTGCCTGCTATACCTGAATGACTGGGGATCCATGCTAGAACTACTTCAATACCAGACAATAGGCATCTGTGAAGAACCTCTTTAATTTTAAGAATTATAGGGAAATTATTGCGAGCTTTGAAAGGATTTTTTAAAAGATCTTGTAGGCAGCTCAAGGAGTCTGATAAAATAAGGGCCTTATCAAGCTTATGAGATTCCACATAAGAGACCGCTTCTAATAAGGCAATAGATTCTCCTGAAAAGATAGAGTTGTAGGAAGAGCATTTATAACTTAGTATAATTTTAAATTTGGGAATCCAAACTGCAGAACCAACAAAGGCATCTGAAGAAAGTTTTGATGCATCTGTATAAAGCGTAACCCAATCAGACCAATCCTCCGCAATGATGTGGAGAAAGTTTTGGTTGGCTGCCGGAGATTGTTTATAGATGCCAAAATCAAGGATGATTTTTGGTAGGAAGGTTAACGCATTATAGTCGAGCTCAAAAAGAGGATTTAAAGAAGATTGAAAGATAGGATCAGATAGATTTTTCATTTTTATAAAGGAATTAAGGAGCAAAGGGAGGGACTTGTGTCTCCAGTACAATGAGATAGTGACCAGACTAGAAAGTTGAGACAGAATTGGAAGAAGGGGATGGGAATTAATTTGGACTGCATTAAAGAAGTATCTGTCAGCTAAGAATTGGCGGCGAAGATGAAGGGGAGGTTCCAAGCATTCGACTTGGAGGGCATTCACTGGAGAGCATTTCATAGCCCCAGTTATGATTCGAAGGCACTTAGACTGGATCAGCTGAAGCTTAGACAGAGCAACTCTATTACATGGTTCCAGAACGAAAGAACCATAATCAAAGTGACTCCGAACTATGGCATTGTACAAAAGTTTCTGGCAAAAGGGGTGAGAGCCCCAGCGGACCCCAGATAAGGCCCGCATAACGTTCACACCCCCCTCGCTCTTTTTAATAACATGGTTTAGATGGTGAATACCAGATAATTTAGAATCAAGAATGAGGCCTAAAAACTTTATGGAATCTTTTATTGGAATTAGTTCGCCTGCAACAGAAAGGTTGATATCAGGGATATTACGTTTGCGAGAGAAAACAAGAGCACTACATTTAGAAACAGACAGAGAAAGATTGTGGTCCAATAGCCAAACGTTTAAATAATAAAGAGCGGAATTCAAACGGGAAGTGGCAGTAGAGAAGGAGGATGACGAAAAATATATGGCAACATCATCAGCATATTGAAGAACTTTACAAAAAGAACTGACAGACTGGTCTAGGTCGAAAGTATAAATATTATAAAGAATGGGACTAAGCACTGAACCCTGCGGAAGGCCCTTCCATACAAGACGAGGAGGGAGAAAAGAACCTTGATGACGAATAGAGATAGTACGACACATGAGCATATTGCAGATGACGTGAACCATCCTCGCTGGAATACTCAGATGTAGCATTTTCTGCCTGAGAAGAGGAAGATGTACGTTGTCATAGGCTGCAGAGATGTCCAAGAAAACACCGATTACATTCTCGTTACGAGAAAATGCAAGGCGAATTTCAGAGGAGAGGATGCTGAGGCTATCTAAAGTTCCTAAACCTTTTCTAAAGCCATACTGGTTTTTGGCTAACAATTCGTTGTGTTCTAGAAACCATTCGAGTCTGAATTTAATTAAGGTTTCCATTATTTTAGCTAGTACCGAGGAGAGCGCAATAGGGCGATAGGAAGACGAATTTCTGGGATCTCTACCAGGTTTCAGGACAGGAATGACAATTTGGGTCTTCCAAGATTCAGGTATTTGACCATAATAAAAGATGGCATTGAGGATACTGAGGAAGAAAATTTTGGAAGAATTGGAGGATTTACGAATAAAAGAGTAAGGGATACCGTCAATGCCGGGAGAGGAATCATGGAGATTATCTAGAGCAAAGGATAGTTCTGTGAAAGAGAAGGGATCATCCATGGTATTTTGAGAGGAATCTGGAATAAACGGATGGGAAGGTGGGAAACAATCGAAACCTGGAGCATATGGAGGAGCCAGTTGGCTAAGGAAGTCGTGTAGGAATGAATGAGGGTCATTGCTAGAGATATTTGTTACGTCAAGACTTTTTCGGAATGACTTGAATTTTTTCCAGACAAGTGAGAGACTAGAGCGAGGAGATAAGGACTCACAAAATGAACGCCATCCTAAAGATTTTTTAGCAGAAAGAAGTCTGGTTGTGCTAGCAGCAATTTTTTTAAAATTGAGGAAATCCGACATAGAAAGGGATGCAGCAAACTTGTTCTCAGCCTCCCTGCGCTTCTTAACACTGGCAGTACATTCAGAATCCCACCAAGGGGGAGAAGCAGTCAATTTATTGGAAGGAAGTTTGAGGGGAATAGAGCAATCAGCAGCTGAGTTAATTGCAGAGATAAATTGGTCATAGAGGACAAGAAAATTAAAAGAATTTGTTTGGGGGAGAGTGGTTAAATTTAGATCTAGTGATGTTGCAAATTGCTCCCAATTGGCTTGGGAAACTCTGTATTTGAGGAGGGGATGTAGGGTTTGGGGAACATATGAAGTAGAGTATGAGATTAAAATAGGGAAGTGATCACTACCAAGGGAGTTTGGCAGGGGGGACCAGGATAGGAGGGAGACTAGGGAAGGAGAAGATAGTGTTAAATCTGGAACACTAATATTTTGGCATGGAGAAACTCTACGAGTTGCAGATCCATCATTAAGGATGCACAAGTTGCAATCATCCATAACGTCAAGTAAGACAGAGGAGCATGAGTCAATACAGTGAGATCCCCATAGAGTGTGACGGCAGTTAAAGTCTCCTAAAACAATCATAGGGGAGGGGATTGTTGAAAGAATTGTTTTTAATTCAAGAAGAATGCTTGTGTTGGGATGGGGAATATAGACAGAGACAAAGGAAACATTAAAAGCTCTAAGGGCCACTATATTTAAGCCAAGAGAGTGGTTTGGTAATAAGATTAGAGAGAATGTAATATTCCTATTGACCAATAAGGCACAACCAGCATAACCATCACTTCTATCGTCCCTAAGACAAGAGAAACCAGGAATTCTAAAATGGAATTCGGGCTTTAACCACGTTTCGGAAACTGCAAAAACAACAGGTTTATGTTGATTGATCAAGTAAGAGATATCTTGTTTGTTACGTCGGATACTCCTACAGTTCCATTGGAGGACCTGGAGAGCCATTGGAAGCATTATTTTTTGTGATAACAGAAAGTAGTTGTTCAACAAGAACTGCAACGTCGTACGGTAAGGCATCTGACATTTTAGACAGCATATTAATTAAAGAGCAAAGAAGGAGCTGTACAAGATTGTCATTAGGAGTAGCAAGAGGAGTTGTTTCAGTAGGGGGGATAAGACAACAACCATTAGGGTGGATAGAAGTTGGGGACTGAGTAATTGCATTATGGGCATGAATATCATATGTCTTCCCAGACATAGATATACGGCGAGGGGGAAGGTTAACTGTTTTTTTGTATGATTTAGAGGGAGAAGCAGATGGGAGAGGTACGATGGATGGATGAGTTTGAGGGTTTAGAGGGAAATTAGCAGGGGATTTGGGACTGGCAGCAGCCTCAGAATATAGCCGCTTGGCAAACTGTGGAAATCTAGCTGATGCTTCCATATAGCTGAGGTTTTCCTGAGACATGACACTTTTGATGGATTTTTGTCTGTTATGTTCGGGACATCTGTTATCAGTAGCACAATGGCTACCACCATGACATAAAAAACAAGATATCTCCGAGTCAGGAACCAGGCAGGAGTCACCAGAATGCGGCTGAGCACATTTATAGCAGCGGGGCTGGGACCTACATTGTTTGGCAATGTGGCCGAACCGACAACAATTCCTACATTGTATGGTAGGTAACTGGTAAAGCGACACTGGCAATGATGCATTAAAACAAAAAATTTTTTCTGGCAGACTCTGTCCTAGAAAAGTTAGGACCACAGAGTTCGATGGGACCCAAACGGATACTCCATCTTTTTTATTCTTAACATTAAGACGTCTAGCTCGAACAACTTCGCCACAATTCTTAGGGACAGATATTCCAGATACTAGTTCCTCTAGAGTCCACTCAGTAGGGATATCCCTAACAACACCCATACGAAATACTTGGAAGCGAGGAATATTTGCCACATAGTTATATTGTCTGACAATTGGGGAGTTAACAAAATTATTCGCTGAGATAGCGGACACAAATTCCACACAGACTTTGTTACGACCCATATTTTTAATGGTTCCCTCTACAATATCAGGTATTTTGTTTTTGTATAAGAACTGGGCGAGTTTGAGTGCCTTAAGGGACAGGCCGGATGATGGATCAGGTTCAAGCCTAGAAACATACACAGAATATGGACCCTTGTCTGATACCGAGTATTCGAGCCTGGAATCAGACTCAAATCCAGGTTTTGAGAAAATTGACTGAATCGATTCAGCTGGTGAACGTATTTTCTTTCCATCGAAGTCAACGGGAAAGACTGAGTCCGATTGTCGCTTTATAGCTTTGGGTTTATCGGGGGGTAATACACCGCCCCCATCAGGGGGGTCTTCCGCGCTCATTTCCGTAGAAATGAGCGCGGTTGTTAATATTCACTAACCTTGTTAAGGAATATTCCTGCCACAGAACCACACAAACACTATTACGAAAACACAATATGAAATTATATGCCAAAATTCAGAAAATAACCTAAAAACTCACTACTGTCGCTTCAACACACCAGAGACAATCTTTTTCTACAGAAAAGTTAATTATCGACGTGTTTTTAGTTTGACGGTTGAAGTTTTTGACGTTTCAGTAAGGCTCGGAGAGATGGCGTCACAGTCGAGATTTTTTAAGTCTATTTTGATTGACTGTGTTATTGATTCGGTCTATGGAATTATTTAATCTGTGGAAGTATTCATTCGATTCGAGTTGTTAGCACTCTTTGCTCTGGCAACATTTTTTGTCGCATTCCTGGGCGAAGCTGAACTTTTGCTCTGGCCTCACTATTTTTGTCACTTTGGTATTTGGCTGAGTCGGAGTAATCATGTTTGTGATTTTTGAAAGATGGAAATGAAATCCGTTTCCATTTGTTGTAATCAGAGGATTAATTCACCTTTTATTGTTGGCCAGTCTTGTTAAGGAAACGAGTTGTTTATTGGAAATGTTATTTTACCTTTTTTGGAATTATTAGTATAATGCCTCTGATTTATTTGTGAGACGTTTTGGAACCCTGTGCCAAACAGGTTTTTTTTTATTTCTGGTTCTTTCTTATAGTTTTGGTTTTTCTTATTAGATTGTAATGTCCTTACGTTACAATTAGTTTTTTACCTCACTACCTGCCTGATCCAAGGATTTAGTTTGCTTAGGAGAGTGGATTTCCAATCCTAAGTACCTCTAATGGCAAGAAAAGTCCTCTGACTGTAGCCCATTATTAGGATTCACTTGGGACAGGAACCGGGAAGATTGGATTACTTACCCCGCCATTACAACCACTTGGGGAGCAAGAGTGAGCGTTTTAAAGAGTTAGTTTTACCATAGTTCCAAACAGACTGTGCCGGAGTTTTGGTATGTTCTTTTGTTGTTTATAAATTTTTATTGGCGTTGTCTAAGGGGCGTTATGATAACTACCTTTAGTTTCTTATTTATTGAACAGTCTTTATGAGACTTTTAAAGATATTTTACTTTAAATTTGTATTATCAAGGTCAACTGATTGCATTAATGACAGTACTAATTTGAGAATAAGAATTACATTTGTAATTAGACCTATAATATACCATGTACTCTACAGACACTATGGGATAAATAAACTGCCACTTAAGCTTATAACATCTCTTTATTTAATAGCTGCCCCCCACCCTAGATTAAAGGTCTAAGCGCTGACCGAGCTGTTCGAGGTATTCATTGTTTTTGTTATTAGTTGTCTATGTTCATTTAAGCCGGCACCTGGCGCCCGAGATTATTAGTTTTGTTAGAAAAACAAATTCCCAAGCGTATTTTCATATTTAATAAAAAAAAAACACAATCGCCTTTTTTTATCGCTTTTTACATAAAAACTTTCTTAGACACCTTGTATTTGATATGACATGTCATGAAGTCTATACAAAAATAGTTCAAGTTAGGCCAACTAAGACATTTAAAATTGTTAATAATAAATTACTAAATAGTAATATAATCAGGTTTCAGGAAATTATCGTTTTGTACGAAAGCTTTGAACCTGATTGGTCAGGATGCGGGCTTTGGTCGGTGCGTCACTATTTCCTCAACGCGAATGAACCATAGGAATTGTTTAATCAAAATAGTGAAACAATAGGACACTTTTATAACAATAATTTAATCTTTAATATTGCACATTACAGTTACTTAAAATTAATTTTCTGGTACGAAACATGTTTTTGCTGATTTGTAGCATCTTAAAACTCCTTTCGGCTGAAACAAAGTTGTAAGAGTTGAATAGTCATTTTTTAAATCATCAAGTTAAATCAAGTACGCCACGTTTGTTTAGGGCAAAACTGAGGGGTCCGTGTGGTGACGGATTGATAGTCACCACCCCTATTCATCCCGTGGGTGTCGTAAGAGCCAACTAATGAAGCTAAATACGCTGTAAACAACAGCATTGCAAAGAGAAGGAAACTTGAAAGATACCTTGTACCAACCCGTCTGCCCTATGTCAGGAGGCCTATGTCTCAATACCAGCAGTCTGGAGACCATACTACGGGCTCTGCCTAGTTTCGGATCAGATTGCCGTATGTAAGATTAAGCTTTTAATATTATTAATATAATTGTATTATTAATATAAGCCAAGAAATAGTTGAGAACTGACTTACTTTTTGATGCAAGCAGTTTCTACATAAGAATCCTTTTCAGCTTTGAAGACACATATAGCTTGAGGGAAGCCCAGCAAATCGGCGAGCAAATCTATGTCCTTGTAGGTAGGCTGGGCTCGGAGCAACTGGGGATTGCCAAATTAACTTATTTAATTATATATATATACAATGATGACGGATAGTGGGCAAAAATTTAACAAAGGACGTAATGGAATCGTACCCTAGGAATGGGAAGAGACAAAAAGGAAGTCAAATTAAAAGAGGGGAGAATAATTTTCATTTTGGGAAAAGATGCAGAAGAATAGCTCGAGATAGAGGGAAGAGGAAGGAAGTGGGGGGAGGCCCTATGTCGAAAAAAACCTTAGTGGTTGCTAGACAAAATATTATTAATAAAAAGTAGTATATAAGTTAAAATCCGTCATATCGTCAGTAAAATTATTATACTTTAGTTATTAGACACTTCAGCTAAATGGACATTATTTTTCCAAGCCTAAGCTAAACGTAGCTTAAATTATACGTTAAAGGGTCTATGTCGCATCTTTGTGTCTAATCTTCTTTTAATCGAGAAGAAAACACGGATAAACGCATTTTTTTACACTATCTCGTACCCCTAGTACGATCTATAGAATAACACGGATTGCACGGAAGGCGTAGTGGTTTAAGCGGTCGCCACGCCACTTACTACCACGCTGAGTGTTGTGGGTCCGTTGTGGGTGGGTACACTTTGTGTGATCCACAAATTGTTGTTCTGAGTCTGGGTGTTCTTTGTGTCCGTTTCATGTATGTTTGTAAAGACCCCCGCGACACAGGATATATTCCTAATGCGGGAGTTTATAAAAAAAAGGGAGAATAACACTCCTAAGGAAAATGACTTCAATACGCCTACTTTCTTTAAAAGTAAGTGTACATTAGTTATTATGATTACCTATGTATTATAAACCGTGGGGTGACGGATTAAGAATACAAAGTGTCACCACCCCTATTCATCTCTTGGGTGTCGTATGAGCCTTCTAAGGTAGAAAACTACGCAGAACAGTACTGCAGAGAGAAGGAAAACTTGACACAAACCCTATACCAAACCGTCTGGCCAGCGTGGTATAGTAGGCGAAAACCTCCTTTCTAAGGAGAGGCCTATATCCAGCAGTGGACTATTAAAGGCTGATGATGATGATTATTATGTAGTCTGAAAATTCGAACATAAGATTGAAATCTATTCTACACTCGAAAATAATTGCTTTACCAAAGATTTTGAAAAAAATTGGTTACACATTTCTAAAACATCATTAAGTAAGTCCTGAAAACTCAGATTAGTGCACTTAGTTAGTTTTCACAGTAAACATTGAATATACTGTTTATTTGACTAAGAAAAATAGTTTACCTCTGTAGCAACCTCTACTCTGTCTTCAATCGGAGGCGTCATGTTCCAAAACACAAAGCCAGTGACGATTTCATCCCGAAGATAGAATAACAGTCCGTTTCTGTACTTGGCTTCATACTCGCCGCCCCTATAACGAAATACAACCCAATTTATTAAACAGGTAACGTAAAAATTGCAAGGACAAAGTTATTTTCGTATATTTTTGGGAGATTTTTCAATTTGATATGTACGCATTCGAGAGTGGGTCATGTCTAACGTGACTCCTTCCCCCCTCCCCCTCTCTGGTCCGCGCCTGTGTAGACGACATAACAGTATCACAGTAGGTAGTTGTCACCGATATAGCTGTTAGTCCTTAAACATGAACCCTGGAGTTGCGTGAATACCGTAAGGAGCAGAGTAAGTCCCAGTCCCTGGAAGCCTGGATACCTACGTTTTGTAACAGGGTCTTTTGTCATCACCCTTCGCGTTGTCGGGGAAGTATGACGTGTCCACCTTACACTCTTTGAAAAGTCCAACGGTAGGCATACAAGCGCCTACTTCGCCTACGACCTACGAAAGAGAAGACAATGCAAATTAACAAGTATATTCAGTCAGGATTTCCTAAAACACTTCCATTACTGTTACCTCAGCAGCAATCATGAGGTCATCTTAGCAAAGCGGGAGATGAATTCCAAAGAAAATTTCATGAAAGTTTTATTTGATTCATAGTTTAGACATAACAAAAGGTTGATTAAATATCAAATATAGTTCAATTTATTAAAACATTTCTATCATACGAGTATAATAACCAACTGATATTTGTGTTTACGTGTGCTCTTTAGGGAGTACAACGGGAACACCGTATTTCCCACACACGAGTGGGTCATCTACAAGCCGTAGATGGCCCGGGGTACCAGGGTTTTTTTAGAGCAGGGTACATCTGGTACACCGGTAGGTGGTATCCGAGTGCATTTCCGCACAGAAAAAAGGGGATGGTGAAGTGTATGTATGTGAACTCTCAACAACAACTCTCCGTGGAAGTTCCCACGTAGGGTCGTTGTTGAGTTCTCGTTACCGATTCTTATACTTTTGTAGTTCCTCAGTAAGAATAAATTATAGTTTTGGGTGACCTCATTCATTATTTCTCTCCTGCACACACCGTACACGCAGAACAATAGTGACCTTTTTTTTTCCGTGCGGAAATCCTCTCGGATACCACCTATTGTTGGCATGTCGGTCTTGAACCGACTAAAACCGCACGCCGTCTCGGGTACCAATAGCCGGGGAACCAGGTATACCCTAGAAAGGAAGTCCCTGGTGCAAAACAATAGTGACCTGTACCTTACAGGGCCAGTATACACAACACCGGTATCCAACTCCTCCAATTTTCTTCCGATTAATTTCGTTGCGGGTTCCAAGACAGTTTAATTTCTTCCTGGGACTTCCCGAGTGTATATCCCATAACTCGGTGTGTTCGTGGATCACTGCTGTGGATCCTGGTGTACAGGAGTTACAGTGGTGGGCGTGTGGGTGGGATTAGTCCCTATCCAAAGGTAACGGTAACGGTAGCTACCATGGCAAAATAAGAATTGTTCTCTATCAAAACCTGTTACTTCCATCTGAACCATTTGTACATGGCCATTAACTTGGAATATTATTGTATGTATATATCCTGAATTGGTGTACAATAAAGATTATTCTATTCTATTCTAACCATACCTCCATTTCCAGGTCGTCACCCAGCATCACTTTATAATGCGGTTCGATATTGCACGGGGTCCAGTAACCGGTCATGTTGGCCCCTGCGATGTAGCCCTGCTCCTCCGCATTGGCGTAATGTTCCATTCGCATGCGCTGGTCCTTCCATTGCGAGTAGTAGCTCGCCGCATCACCAGCCTAGCCAGTACAATAATATATTTGAAAACGCACGATTTACTCAATTTGGTGTAAGCAGACAAGAGCTCGCCACGGACATACCTCCTCTACTTCTTTTGTCTGCTAGATAGTTATTTCTCTTCAAAACTTATTGCGCAAAAGCCATGTGCAATTTAACAGAGACATATCTCCATATGCTGAGATATTATAATAATTATTTTATAATTTAAACAGACATCAGCAAAAAGGAGGAGGATCTCAATTCGTTTTTTGTGTGTTACCTCAGAACTCCGTCAATTACCTTTGAACTGATTTGGAAAATTCTGTTTTTATAAAAGATACGTATACCTACCCACTTTCCGTTAGGTCTTAGTCAAATTTAAAGAAATTACAGGTGAAAATTAATATAATAATAACCTCACACATCTCACACACGGCCTTCTGATCCCAAACTAGGCAGAGCCTGTACTATGGTAACCAGACTGCTGATAAACATACTTATATTATATTATAGATAAATGGCACCCAGACACAGAACAAATGACCGTGCTCATCACACAATATTTATCCTGGATGGGAATCGAACCCACGACCTCCGGCTTAGCAGTCAGGGCCACTAACCACTAGACCAACAGGCCCGTGATTTTTCATCATGATTTAGGCGTATTGTAGTCGATGATACTTAATAAGTTAATGTCTCTGAATTCTGTCTTTATTTGCACATCTGATACGCGTGCAGTCGCCAATGTTACGATACGAAGATACCAGGATACTTACGACGTAAAGATGTGTTCTCGCTTTTAGCTCGGTATTGACCAAAAACCCGCCGTTTTCACGATCCTTCTCCAGGAACGAGGGATGCGCTATTTCAGTTCGAGGTTCCGCCCCCACCGCCAACAAAGCCTGTATTAGCATTTTACTTATTTATATATGATGTATTTTTTGTTAAGAGGATATTATAATTTTTAAATACCATGCTCCATTTTTAATGGAAGCCTGGGAGTCCATGACATTGCTGAGAAGCTGCTAGAGAGTAGGATGAGGTGGTATGAATATGTCAGGAGTAGACTACCTGATTACTTTGGAAACCAGGAACTAGAACTGAACTATACGTTCCTGTAGCACGCTCTAGAGGAAGACCCAAGACCACATGGATAGATATGTTGCGGAGAGACACGAAGACATGCAATGTTTTGAGGACGAAGTCAGGTACAGAGCGAAGTGGAAGTAGTACACGAAGAGGGCTGACCCCACCACCATGTGGGACGATTAGTCAGGAAGAGAGAGATACTCTATTTTTATAATATAGGGGGCAAACGAGCAGATGGATCGCCTGATGGTAAGTGACTACCTTCACCTGCGGGTCAAGTCAAAAGTGTGTTGGCAACCTTTGAGAGTAAAGCAGGCAGGAAACCGCAGTCATGAAATGCGACTAAAGGGTTGTTTAACACGCCATGAATCACGCCATGTCCGTGTGGTGACGGATTAAGAATACAGAGTGTCACCACCCCTATTCATCCCGTGGGTGTCGTAAGAGCCGACTAAGGGAGCAAACTACGCAGGACAACAGCACTGCAGAGAGAAGGAAAACTTGACACAAACCCTATACCAAACCGTCTGGCCAGCGTGGTGTAGTAGGCCAAAACCTCCTTTCTAATAAGAGGCCTATGTCCAGCAGTGGACTAGTAAAGGCTGTCGATGATGATGATGAATCATGCTTGAGCACAAATGGGACTGCTCGACTGGTATGATATAACGGCCTCACAGAAAGCCTTGTCCTTTCATTGTTTTTCGCTGACTGAGTGAGATTACTGGAGGTTCACTCAGGTCAGGCGAAAAGAATAATGACACTCAGAGGGTGGCAGTCCTTGACCAGATGACCCGTGTGCTCGTTTCGGTCTTATATCGAAAACTCTAACCCAAATTAAGTGTAAAATATTTAAAATAATTACATAATCTGTCACTATAGTTTTTCCATTAGAGAGGGTGAGCTGGAGGCGTCCATCGGGTGATTCGTACGCATCGTATACTTGCGCTGTAAATAAACAAATTATATTAATAAAAAAAAAATGTTTAAAAAAAAAAAAAAAAATTAAGTGCTGATTATCCGTGTCTTGACGGATCAAGAATACGGATTGTCACCACCCCTATTCATCCCGTGGGTGTCCTAAGAGCCGACTAAGGGAGCAAACTACGCAGAACAACAGCACTGCAATGAGAAGGAAATCTTGAAACAAACCCTGTGCCAACCCGTCTGGCCAGCGTGGTACATTAGGCCAAAACCTCGTTTCCAAGGAGAGGTCTATGTCCAGCAGTGGACTATTAAAGGCCCGTTGATGAAGTGCTGAAGTGTTGAACAAAACCAAATACTTGTGATTACTTTTATAGTCATACTCTTCAGATACTCACTCTTGGGCATGAGAGTAACACCTTGGCAGCGCACCTTCTCAGCAGCCCACTCGCCCAGGTATTCAGGCAACACGCCTGCCAGAATGCCTCCGTCCTTGTAAATATGTACCACGTCGAGGGGCGGCTGCTCTAGGTCAGTCTTAGAGAAGTGTACTTTGTCTATGGTAGAAGGAGATAAGAAATAGATTAATTAAATTAAAATTAATTAAGGAGAAAAGCCTGTATACTCTGTATAGTAGTAGCATATTACACCTACCATTGGATGGCTAACTGAAGTTTTTCAAATCAAATCATTTATTTGTTTAAATACGTGTATGCATAAAGCATTAGGCATGGTAATTAAAAAATAAATTTGTTCCAACGTGTTTAGCCGTTTCTTGTACGGCGTACAAATTACAAAAATCCTTTTTTTTAAATTAAGAATACACAAATTATTATATTATTATTATTATTTATTAATATTTTATAATTATTTATGTGAGTGTTGAGCTCAACATCTCGACTTTTGTCGGTTTTATAAATACCCCGTCCCGTACCACACGGGAAAAAAGATATCTATGTCTCCAACAACTTCAAATTGATAAAGTTAGATATGAATTATGAGAATTATTTACTGTAATTTAATTTTTAATGTGTAGTTTCATTGTATGAGAGGAACCTAACTAGTGTGTGTCTGTCGTGTGGTGCGTGTTATTTGCGGCCCTTCTCCTTCCTCGTCCTCTCCCTCTTACCCGTTGTATGCTTAATGTATGTTGTGTGTCCAGTGTAAGTGCTATGGTTGTGGGTCCTGGGACTGATGCATGTTTTGCGATTCCTGTGCGTTTTGTGTATGTTGAATACCGTATCTCCCAAAACTTTACTGAGTATGGTCACTGTGTGTATGGCTACTTGTTTTTGAAGGATGTTTATGATAATAATTATTTATTATTATTACATTATTTAAGTATTTACCGAATACAATATGACAAAAAATCTGTAAAACTATAGTATGCCTTTTGTATAAGAAAGTCCTTCAGGCGATTTTTGAATGCAATATTATTCAACCTCTGCCAGTCTTTGGGTAATTTATTAAAATATATTGGAGCCATGCAGATGACACGTTTGCGCATAGACTAGACTTGTGTAAACGGAGTCTAGTATTATCTCGCCTATTGGGAAATAAGTAAGGATTCGATGTCACAAACACTGCCACCTCAAAGACGTATAGGCTAGGTAGCGTTAGTATTTTGAAAATACGCTTTACAACTATCTGGAATTCTTAACTTAAACATTGATATAATGCACCTTTTTGGCATTTTAATGCCATTACTGCGTCAGTTGAGTTACCCCGGAAGATCACTCCATAACGTAAGAGGGATGCGTTCATTGATCTAATCAAATATCGTGCGCTTCTCCTGCTTCCTGTTACACAATTCCGTCCCTTTTCACGTAATCATTGCCCACAGACTTCAGTAAAGCGGAACCAACACTTGTGTCGGTGTCCATGGGCGGCTTGCCATCGAGTGATCCGTCTGCTTGTTTACCACTTATACTATAAAAATACCTATATTATAAATATATCAAGGAACAAGTTATCTTTAAAAAAAAACTTACTCATTCGCCCGATATGGTACGCTAACTCGGTGCCCAGTGGGCCGCCACCAATTACTACGATGTGTCTCGCTTCTCTCACCTTCCTGCAGAGAAATTAAATAGATATCTTAATATCTTTGTTAAATACAATGTCTATATAACATACGTGCATAATTCTTCGTATCCCTTCTTACACAAATATGGCGGCGAAAGTCTATCATATTTGGACATTAGAAGTGGTATCTATGGTATGTCCGAAGAGTTCCTTTATCGTCTAGAGCCTTAGATGCACACATATAATAAACGATAAATAATATTTTACACACAACGGAGTCTATGCTAATTAGCACTTATATCAAACTAGCTTTTGCCCGTCTCCGCCTGTGTAAATGTCGGTTATTACGGTAAAATACCAAAACCATACCAAATTTCATCTAAATCGATTCAGCGGTTATTGATTCCCCACAACAACAAGAAAGAAAGAAAGACAGATAGACAGACAGACACACTTTTGTATTTATAATATTAGTATGGATTACGCCCATCCCCGCTCGTAACTTCGGCCGGTCCCGCCTACTTCGCGTTTTAGCCTATTCTTTGTTCTGTGCTATTTATTTAGAAGTGCAGAACGCTAACATGTTTAAACAATAATGTGGTGTAAAGTAAAAAAATATTTTAAAACATACTACTATTGAGGCCCACTACATATTTTGAACTGTCATGGCATAAAAGTTCAAGTAATAGTTAAGAGTTGACCACTTGAACCACTAAACCGATTTTGAAGAATGATTTTTTCTAAAGAATGCAAGAAGTGTTCTACCTTCGACCAACTTTATGGTGAGTAGTCAAATTTCAATGGTATTCACTAGCTGCGGTATCATGTGTTACGCAATGTTACCTGTACGCAATCTCCAAATCCCTGATGGTACGGATCCTGGTGACGCGGTCCCGAACCGGCTTCGGAGCCGTCTTGAACATGTCCAAGTTTCTGGCTTTAGAACCTGAAAAAAAAGTATTATTATTGCTCTACAGGTGATATATTATTACTAAAAATGTAACGTGCTTACAGATATGAGAATATGAGTAAACGAGATTTCTGCTTCAGACGTATGAGCCATGTAAATAACAATAATCTGATTGTCGTAGCAGATCCATGCTTGGATCCGGCTCAAATGGGCCGGTCCGATCAGGGTTTTACCAAGGCCTCACAGAAAATCGGTACTAAGCAATTATATCATTTCTATGCATTGAGTGAGTGAAGTTAACGTAGCCCCAACCTCCCATCCTGTTAACTGGTGTTAAGCACTTCTTTCCTTGCTATTCAACGAGTGACTGAAAAAGAGTGAGTGTGTGTGTTGAAGATCCGTGTGGTGACGGATTATGAATACGGAGCGTCACCACCCCTATTCATCCCGTGGGTGTCGTAAGAGCCGACTAAGGAAGCAAACTACGCAGGACAACAGCACTGCAAAGATAAGGAAGTTTGACACAAACACTATGTATATCAACCCGTTTGGCCAAAGTGGTATAGTAGACCAAAACCTTCTTTCTAAGGAAGAAGCCTATGTCCAGCAGTGGACTAGTAAAGGCTGTTGAGGTGATGATGTGAGTGAGTGTGCTTTTCTCATGTGTTTTTTTTTATGTTAGAGGGGCAGACGCGCAGACGGGTCCCCTGATGGAAAGTGACCATCGCCGCCCATGAACGTCTACAACTCAGGAGTCACAAACGCGTTGCCGGTCTTTTAAGAAGGAGTACGCTCTTTTCTTGAAGGTTTGAAGGTCTTACCGGACCGCACCGCAGACGATAACCCGTTCCACAGATTGGTTGTGCGGGGCAAAAATGCCTTCATATTTAAATAAACGTTTTATTTTCTTTCTCTCTGTCTCGTACACCGAGTGTTGTTACGTACCAAGAGCCAAAAGACACCTCTCGTAGTAGATAGGCTGTTCGCCGCACATTGTTTTAACCCATGCAACATGATCGTCAGCGTCGACACGCAACACGCACCACCCGCTCGCTATTGAAACAGCCGGACCTTTCTTCTTGCGATAAAATTTCACAGGGTCCATGAAAGATTTGCACTCTGCTAAGTACATACTAGAAAAAAAAAAACAAAAAAGAAAGTATGTATGTATATTTGTCCTATTGTTTCTGTGTAACTTTTCAATTCTTTAAAAAAAATGACTTAGTAAGATAGACTGGAAGAAAACGTCTGTGGTTTCAAGAACGCCATTGTACAATTTTCATTTGCAATTGCAAGTGGACCTCGGCACTGAGAATCGGCATATCCTGCCTTTCAAATATTTCAAACATGGTTTTGATGCTATTCTGAATATATCTATATTAATTGAATTTAGTCAGTTATTAGTATATTGATATTAGTCAGTTTTTTTTTAACACAGCTCAGCAGGTTGGCAGACCAGCGTCCATAAACCAAGGACAAACCGCGTCACACCACCACACATCTATAGTTTTTGACAAGCAGTTTGAGCGCTTCCATAGTCTTGCATTGCGCTTGCGTAATGGTTGCTTTTCAAGGAATGAATGACTTAAAAATAAAAACTGCACACTTCTTATACTCGGTTGTCTGATTCTAAACTAGGCCGAGACTGTGCTATGGTAACCAGACTGCTGATAAACAAACTTTAATATATGTCTTAATTAATGAATAAAGAATTTTACTTGTTTTTTTTTCAGTTTCACGACACACACACAGTTTCGTTTTCTACAATCTAAAACACTACTCTTAATACGTTAGCTATTAAGAGTCTAGTGTTCTATCTAGTCCTATTGATTGTAAACATATATTTGATACGTACGTTTTCCTCCTCCTACCATAGTCAACGTATGTTAGTTTATTTATGTCAGGTGGCTCCGGGTTCCACCACATCTCTGCTGACATCGGTGGACGTCTATACGGAATAATATCTTCTTTTGTTATGAAGAACACCTGCAGAACAATAATAATAATAATATTCTACCACATTCACACAACGCCATCTAGTCCCAAACTAAGCAGAGCTTGTACTATGGGTACTAGACAACTGATATAAATACATATATACTTTTTTTTTGTAAATATATACATATTATACATAGAAACACCCAGACCAAATCAAACATTAAATGTTCATACACACAAATGTTTGATTTGAGCGGGAATCGAACCCGCGACCTTTGGAATAGCAGTCCGTTATACAAACCACTACGCCATCCGGTCGTCAATGTTTAAGTATACGTCAGAACATCCATACTGAGGTATATTAGAAATGTAATAAACCGATTTTTAAAAAATCCTAAAAAATCCGCGAGCAAAAGCTTGTAAACTATACTAAGTATACCTTGAACAAAACCGATATTGAGCAATTCTCTCGTTGCGTTAGCGGAGCTCTAACTTCACCCCCACCCCTCAAGGAGATAATGACCTTCAATTCCCGTGTACTTCGGGAATTGAAGACCATTGTAATCAGTACCAATACTTAGGCGGTAATGTCACTGGCTGGTATTGCCACCAACCCCCTATGGAATACAACGTTGTGACTAGGTTAAATTTACCTTGGCAGTTTTATCATGTTCCATAATGGCCCTGTAGGCAGCCCAGCCGGCGGCACCGGTCCCCACGATGAGATACTGCACACAAGCTGGGAGATCCTTGTCATGGTACGGACGCTTGTTTTTACGCCGTGGACGCCCTATATGCGGTAACAATTTATTTTGTTAAATTTAGTTTACAAACGGTCCATTAAAAAAGGAACAACCTATCTTAGTTTATGTTTGTTTGACCTTTAGCGTATAATCCTTCTGCTATTGACTTGCCTTCGTATTGACGGTATTCTGGGTCAGTGCCTACATTACCCATGTGCCCCCACTCATAACACAAGCTTTTAGTTTACTTGTAAATATTAATATATTTTATTTTAAGTACATAATTCAATATATCATGTTTTAATTGATAATGGTGTTATGATTTTATTGCATTCTTCTTTAAGTGTACTTGTTAGACTTAGTGCATGTTTGACTTTGTGCATTTTTTATCTTTAGCGTATGATCCTTCTGCTGTTGCCTTGCCTTCGTATCACGGTATATTCTGGGTTAGAGTAAACCTCACTCATAACACAAGCTTTTAGTTTACTTGTAAGAATTTCCTAGAAATATTTATGATACACTCAATAACTCAGAATTCAGTTTAACCTTCGAAAGAGAACCCTACCAATAGAATCGTTTTTTGCTACTTACAAACTTTTTCCTTTGAGTTTAAATGTACTTACATATATTCTTACTGTCAGCTGTTTTGAGACTCTCTTCTCTCCATAAATATAATCTATACATCTGCAAAATAAAAATAAATCAACTTCCTTCTAGAAATACCTACGAAGAATTATGGTAACTGTGATTTAACCACTGATGTAGATTAGTGTAACTAGTCCCAATCTAGATATATATATAATTATGTTTACATTAAGTACATACTTTTGAAATGCCTGACATTTCACCAGGTTGCACTAGCAGACCAGACCCTGTGCAGTCAGCCTGCGACCAAGGCCAACCGTAAACATAATTACATTACGGAACGCGAAGATTTGACATTAAAAAATAAACTATTATGTCTACGTCTGGCTGTAAGATAGGCCAAGTTCAATGGCCGTCGGAGTGCTGTGTCCTAGATTTTAGTCGGCTCAAGTGGGGTTGTGCTTTCACAATTTAAAAAAAACAGTGCAGCAAGAGGGACTATTGCCTAAATGCTCTAGTGTCTTTTTAGTACGAGATCCGGGTTCAGAATCAATGAACTCATCGAGTATGTGCTAAAAACCCGCATATTTATGATTAGGAGATATAAATATCTAAAATTGGTTGCCTATCAAAATGAGGCGGCTAGTATTTTTAATTAAATTTTAGTTAATTAATTTTTTGGAAAACATTTCGTTCACTTGTTTTTTTTTTTAAATATCGTCCACTTCACGGCAATACATATAAAGACGCACTCGGCCGCACCTCTTCGCAGCCAGGTGTAACACGAATGATTTTGATACATTTATACGTTCATAAGGTAAATTGTTCAAGCTATTTGTTTCTGTTTATTATGATATACGGTTGCCTAATTAAATCTGGCCGCAAATAAGGGTTTCTGGCTGTTAAAGATGGTAAATATTTAAGGTAGAGTGAAAGAGAAATAGCGCGTAACATCACTAGTGAGACGAGGACAGCGATTGCACGACGACGCATTAAAGCCATTGCCAAGTCGAATACTAGTATTTTCAACTTACAGATTACCCTCTAACACTTACAGATTCCGCATACAGAGCCACAAAGGCACGCAACACCTAATTGTTGTAGCTAGCTTACGACGTAACGCTAAGAATGACTACTTAGTAACTTTAGAAGTACTAGAAGTTTTGAAAGCAAGTTTTCAAATTTCATAAATTGAATGTTTATTATTCTTGTAGATTGCTTTTAAACTTTAAATTCTGCATATATACTCTTAGTATAAATATAATAATGGTATATGCAGCACTCATAAATTCAATTAGTTAATAGCTAAACACCACAATCTACGGATTTTTCTGTTTAGCAATGGTTTCTGCACTACTTACCACACCGAAAGTCCCGAAGAATGTCAATATACCTAATATTAAAGCCCAGGGGAGTGGCTTCGGCGGCGGCGGGGGGCACGGAGGGGGAGGCGGTACTGGGGGCACGGTGCAAGGTCCTTTTATTATTTTGCAGTCCAGCATTGGCTGAAAACAGTGTATAGAATAAAATCAATTCATCTAACAAATGAACTTTAGAATGGACACTTATGTACTACTTATTATCCTTGTGCAAAATATAAATTCCATCAGACGAAATTCCTAACAGGCAGCGCCATATATTTTAACTGGGTTTATAGATAAGGAACGTCCCTATGAAATACCTCCAATTTAAAGGGTCGGAACACTTTTTTAACATTTTTATGTTAATCTGCTACCGGAAATATTAAAGTCTGCCAATATTTGTTGTGAATAATTGTAATACGAGCATAATGCCGAAAAAATCTAAAATGTATTTTGTTAAAAATTATCCTACATCATGAAACTTTCGTCTATGAAACTACCATATTTTTACAAAAAATTATTGCAAACTGAAAAAATGCAATTATTTATTATCAAATGTTTAATTCTATCTTACCCAGTTTTCGTTATCACAAATGACTTTACCTCAGCGAATTTTTCCGTTTTTACATCTATTTACCGATCCGTTACTGGCTAAACCTTTTTTTATTTTTTCAATAATAAATTCGATTTTTTCGGGCAGTGTTTTTTGCCAGTATCTTTCAAACGAATCATCGGGAACATATCGGCATTCAACTTACGTGTTCTTGTAGCTGGTATTTTTTCACGAATTTAAAAGATTGTTTATTGGTCGAAATATTCTTTTTAATTGTTTATTACACCATTTGTTAATTAAGTAACAGAAACATTTAAAATTGACAAGGTAGTTCAGGACTTCAACTTTATAATTCCGCAAACTGACTTGCAAAATTTGATGTTTTATATTGTCTTTTTTTCAATGTTAACAAGTCAAGTTTTAAATGAGTCCTCGGCACCTGCTTCGATTTTCCATTTTGAACTTTTGAACGTGGAACGAATGTCTTAACGAGCTACACTTTTTTTTCCGTGGGGCAATCCCCTCTGATACCACCTATCGGTGGCATGTCGGACTCGAACCGACTAAAACCGCACGCCGTCTCGGGTACTAATAGCCGGGGAACCAGGTATACCCTAGAAAGGAAGTCTCTGGTGCCTCGACATACCTCGGGCCATCTACAGACGAGTAGACGACCCCAAGCGCGTGGGAACCCCATGTTCCCTCTGCTCCCTGGAAGCGAGCGCGCTTCGCAACGCGCTCGCCGTCACCCCGGCCTGCTTCTGCTAGGGTGACAGATGGCCTCACCTGTCACCCCCAGGCCTAAACTAGCTACCCTGTTAATTTTAAATGTTTCTGTTACTTAATAAACAAATGACGTAATAAGCAATTGAAAGAAATATCTCGGCCCATAAACATCTTACAACAATCTATGTTATTTTTAATTAGTGAAAAAAACCAGCTACAAGAATACGTAACTTGAATGCCGATATGACAATTAGTTTGAAAGATTAGTAAAAAACACTACCCGAAAAAGTCAAAAAATCAAAGTTTGTAATGGCATTTTATTATAAAAAAATAATAAAAAAAGTTTAGCTAGCAACGGATCAGTAAACTAGACGTAAAACGAAAAAAAAATGCTATGGTAAAGTCATTTTTGATAACGGGAACTGGGTAAGATATAATTAAACATTTGACACCTTTTTAATAATAAAATGCATTTTTTTTCAACGGCGCAATATATATTTATTAAATATTATGGTCGTTTGAAATTAAAAAAACACTTTTTTCTCTTTTTAAGGTGGACATAAAGGAGTGATAGTGTGGACTTTATGATCCCACGGACCATTTGATACTAAAGGACATTTTGATACAGTGGACCTAGAGACTAAAGGAAAATAAGCCAAGCTGCAATACTATCGCAATAGCCAAGTCAGAGATCTCAGAGCCATTAACTTTGACATTGTAGTGAAGTCTGGATGCTTCGTAAATATAGTCTCAAAATAGGAGCTAAAACATTGATGTTTCACACTTTGCAGTTTTTTTATAAACACTAATAATAATGAAAATGTCATTATTATACAGACGACCGGATGGCGTAGTGGTTTGTGTAACGGACTGCTATTCCAAAGGTCGCGGGTTCAATTCCCGCTCAAGTCAAACATTTGTGTGCATGAACATGTAATGTTTGATTTAGTCTGGGTGTTTCTATGTATAATATGATGTATTTACAAAAAAATATATATATATATATATATATATATATATATATATATATATAATAATATATATATATATATATATATATTATATGTATTTATATCAGTTGTCTAGTACCCATAGTACAAGCTCTGCTTAGTTTGGGACTAGATGGCGTTGTGTAAATGTTTTAGAACATTATTATTATTAAATATTATAATCATTACAAGTACTTACCAGTAAAAATTCGTGATGTTGTAATATTATTCTCAAAAAATAGGTACACTAGAATAACTAAAGAAAACTGCTCCAGGATCCCTCAGGATGTCGAATGTTACCGAAACCGAGGAAGTGAGGTTACCAAAGCCCAAACAACTGAGGGGAGAGCCTCAAAGAGTGGAAAGCACTTGTCATTTTTTAGCTGCAGGTGGTCATGGGTAGCAGAAGTCACTTGCCATTAGGTGGCCGTGTCTGCTCGTTTGCGCCTCTGTACCATGAAAATCACCAATTACTGAACTGAATAGTGTTTAATGAACCGATTACCATATAGCACACTCTGCCTAATTTAACATCAGCCGTGTGTGAGGTGTCCAGTTGATGTTACTCAATTTTTTGGGACCGAGCAACTTTTTGCAACCTTGATATCCTTGTCAAGATTACAAAACTCAGCAAAGCAAAGACTTAACTGTTTATATAATAATGCTTGTTGCTGCAGACTGGTATTTATATAGTACTTACCATTTCCTAAAAAAATTAATAGACCAGAATTGCTCCAAAAAAAGTTTTCGAAAGTCTTTCTCTACGTCGACCGAAAATTATAAATCAAAAATTTAAAATTTCATATCAATAATTAGACCATTGATTCATTTAAAAAGACATTGCGCAATGACAATATCGACTCTTTAAATCATCAAGCTTAATATATGAAAGAAGAGTACTCGCGGTTTGACGCAAAGAAATTAATCTTTTCAGGATAATCTTAGGTCAATCAGGTCCAGAACTAGTCGAACATAGAAAGTTTGAAATAAACCGACTAAAATGACGGTATGCTAGACAAGCAAGACTACATTTTGACTACAGTAACAACCACGTGCTTTAGACATGAAGACAATTTATTTTGGAAACCATGCGACATTGCAAGAAGATATGTAAATAGTTTATTGCATTAAGAAATCAGAGCCCGTGGAATGTCTATGAGGTTTGTTTCTCTGCCTCCTTGGCGTCACCACTAGCTCCATCCAATTGTTCCTCCTTCTCGGCCTGTGCTAACAAGGTCATACGATCCAGTGGCCTCCATGGCTCGTGGAAGGCGTACTTATATTTGTTTCTCCCGTGATAGCCCAGTTTAGGCAACACTTCCTTAGCCGCTTCAGTTAGTTTCTTCACTGGCTTATCTTTCCAGTAATCGGGGTGTACATACGGTGAGTTCTGGAATAGATCTTGGACGCGACAGGCACACGATTGGAATTCAGATTGTAAGTTCATTTCCACATTTTTAAACAGCTCTCCCGCGTCCTCACTAGGTACTTCCTGTCAAAAAACGTTATCTATTCACTGACTATCGGAAGACGGGTGTTACAAGTGCGTTCGACGAAACCATATTGCCTCATAATTAGGACTAAAATGAAACTAATTTAACCTAGTTGGTAAACATCTATTTCATTAAAATTCGAGTTCACCATGAGAAACGTAATGGGGGCGACGTGTCACCATCGGTAAATCCACTGGAAATCTCGAGAATCCAGCATCATCGCATCACCTTCTCCCTTCTTTTTGCCTCCTCCTAGTTTTTCTAGGAAGCCCTTCAGTAAGCCCATGAAGCCCTCTTTTTTGCCAGCATCCTCCTCAACGGTCTCTTCGGATTGCATTCCCATCTGTTTCTGATACTGCTGCTGCTCCGTTCGCTGTCTGGCCTCGGCGTCTCGGTCAGTGGTCATGAACACCATGCCGCTCCACTGATGAAGAAAGCACAAACTGGATTTCATTAGATACTTTATCATGGCGAGGGGCTCTGATTTCGTCAAACGCACTATTGAACACCACTTTTGTAATGTCGCAAGGTTTGGCCTAAAGTCTAAGAGAGCTGATATCAAATATGTATATGTACCTTGGCGTTGCTCGGTGGCATTGGCGGCACGACTACGTCGGGAACCTTGATCCTGTAGGGGTCATTGTTGGGCGGCTGTGGTTCCGAAGGGCACTCGCAGCGCCACGCTGGTGGCGGCGGGTCGGGCTTTGGCCAAACTTCTACTTTTCTCCCAGACGTTTGCGGGACATTCTCGCAGCATGTCTTTTGACCTTTGTTTTTTGAGTAATACAATCGGTTGGCTGGAAAAAACAATTTATTATTTTTTCATTAATATCGTTTCAAACGTCTGCATAGTAAGGATTTTAATTTTTAGGACTTCACCAGGAGATTATTTTAGTTTTAAATTTGACAAAGGTTACACTTTGTAATACACCTACGTAATAATTCAGAGTTTTGGTGTCTTACTTATTTAGGCACACAATTATAAAATAATAATACTTCAACGTCAAACCGACAGTAGTCGAGGTGGCGGAAGTTAGCGAAGTGATACCTACAATAAAGTTTTGACGATTACTATATCTTTTTTGAAGTCTGGTGACAATTTGAAAGCCACGTAACCTTATTATATAGAGTTTAAAATAGTATTAAGCGTATGTATTAATTATAACTTAGCTGTGGTGGTTAGCAGACACTCTCCTGGAATGTAAATTAAATTAATAACTGCAGAACCAGCCCATAGTTAGGGTAGAGCTAGATTGAAGCTTTTCATCATCAGCCAAGGAGCGCCAACTATCCCGGTCTTGAACAGTTCTTAAAGCTTTTACTTCACATACATTTATTTCGATTCTATCTTTAACCCACTTGTACTTTATATCATCATTATAGTATTACCAGTCTTCACCACCGTTAATGCAGTAGTCCATTACTGTAACTCTGACAACGGGTATGCAAAACTGTCATTATGAGTTCATTAGGTGTGAAATGGTACCGGATCTCGAAACATTGCCCCTTATTTTTGCTGGATATAGGCGCAATATGCTGTTTGGCTCCTTGCCACCTGGGGCTGCTCACGTGGTCTGTAGTGGTCTCTTTACCCGGGAGCTGGGTCCAGATCTGACTAGGGTTCTCAACGATTCATGGTAAAAATAAACAAAATGTATTTACGTACCGATTCCAGTAACTACCCTGCTGACGTTACTGTTCAAAGTCAGTACGCTCTGTGTTATGTGTAAGGTCGGGCCGCAAAATCTTGAGCCTATCATTTTGACCAAATACTATAATTTAAGTATTTATATTTAAGAAAAAAAAAACACGAAATTTTAACTTGTATTTTGAAAATAAATGGTCTACATTGTTTTTGTGATATTCGTCATTCTTGCTTTTGAATGATCTTTTTTTATACTGACAGTTTTTTGAAAATCAGAATTTGGTTGATTCAATTTTATTTTTAATTTTACTTATGGTATTTGTAGATCTGTAAAAAGGTAGAATCATAGGAACCAGTCCTATAAGTGTTTATTTAGATGTTTTAATAGCAATAAATTGATTAAAGCGGGATGGTAACGTAATGACTGAATATGATCACATTTTAAACAAAAAGATTTTATGTTGAACGGCATCCATAATGCGCCTTATCACGAAATGAATTCGGATAGAATGAAACAAGATCAAGAATCGACAAATTTGGCGAATTCGTCTGTCCACGTCGATTTACAACCCGAAATCAGGACCTGAACAGATTATTTTGCTGTATCTCTTGTATATTTGTAAGCGTCTTCTTAAGTTTAGAACGCACTAGCGGTTAGCCGTTATGCGGCACATACGGTCAGCCGCAACGGCATGCCGTATTCCGACTAAATGTGTCGTCTTGGTTATATTGCGGCCTGCCGCAATCGTCAGAAACTTTATTCTAAAAAAGACAACTCCTGTATTAGGAATATATCTTTTACAAACATACATGAAACGGACATTAAGAACACTCAGACTCAGGACAACAGTTTGTAGATCACACAAAGTGTCGTCCCATGTGGGGATCGGACCCACAACACTCAGCGTAGTAAGCGGCGTGGCGACCGCTTAAACCACTACGCCATCCGTGCAGTCGGTGCTTCTAAAAGTAGTGGACATATACGTGAGGGGACGTTCTTTGACTTCTAAAGTAAACTTTTCCGTGTCATGAACCATGTGACGGCCAATTCAAAATCAGAATAACAACCGCAACTATAGACGGCTGACCGCTCATTAGTGCGTCGTCATCATCCTTTTTCATATAAAACTTGATGTGCGGTGAGCCGTAACGGCATACCGCATCGCTGCTAACTACAAATGCGCCTTAGATAGGAGAAAGGAAACACGCGTTGTTAATATTTCGAGATCGACTGCATCACGGCAAGTCATCAGATTTGTCCACCATCTGTCTCTCTCTCTCTTTTTATTTTAGGTATAAGGGCCAAATGAAGAGACGAGAGATTCACGTGGTGATTCACGGTAACCGCGTTCGGCGCTGTGATTGGCCCTTACTGAATCGTATTGTACTTATGAATCACAAGGCCGAACGCGCTCACTATCGAGAGCTAGTTGATGTGAAATAAACTTACTCTGTGTCCTCTGACTACCGGCTCCCCTGAAGCCCTGCTACTCAAGTCACAGATGTGTAGAGACCTTACTTACTAGATGAAATGTAATATCATGTATGCATGTTAGGCCCACATTTGCTACTGCATGGCTGTCTCGCACTTAAAAAGCTCGTTAAGCCAATTCCAGTTGTAACATTCTTAAAAAACTAAATAAATAAATTCTAATCGTGCTATGATAAGACTCACTATTTGTTATATTGAAAATGTTCACCGATATGAACCTAATACTGACATAAATATTAAGCATAGGGTCAGCAAAGACAGAGAGGAATAACCCTCGCGCGGTCTTAGGCATTTTGGGTCTTGGACGACGAACACAATAAATCCCAATAAAATTCTTGCGTGGCTTCGAGGCCGCGGGAGCATTTCAAATCCCATATATGTTAACTGTAAGAGAGTCATGCTTCGGCACATATTCGGCCTCCTCCTACGAAAAAAAAAAAACGAGCCGAAGTGGTAATACGAAATTACTTTTGAGTTCCAGGTGTCCATAAATGGGGGGAGTCACTGACCCTCAGACGATCCGTCTCCTCTTTTGCCCCTATACGAAAGAAATAACCAGACTGCTCTAAAAAAAACAACTCTTCGGTACATTCTGAACATATTTAATCTTTGTACAAAGTAACAAATAATAATTTAATACAATACCATTGCTTTATAAAAATACTTTAATCATTGCACATTCACAACTGAAATACAACGTGGAATGGTGTACAAGGAAACAACATTTACGCGTTAGTATGGTACAGTACAGTTTTATGAAACAATAATAATCTATACTAATATTATAAAGCTGAAGAGTTTGTTTGTTTGGTTGTTTGTTTGTTTGTTTGAACGCGCTAATCTCAGGAACTACTGGTCCGATTTGAAAAATTCTTTCAGTGTTAGATAGCCCATTTATCGAGGAAGGCTATAGGCTATATATCATCACGCTAAGACCAATAGGAGCGGAGCACCAATGAAGAATGTTTCAAAAACGGAGAAAATTTATTCCTATTGAGAGACGCAGACGAAGTTGCGCAGGTCAGCTAGTATAATATATTCTACCACACATACTCATACACACAACGCCATCTAGTCCCAAACTAAGCAGAGCTTGTACTATGGGTACTAGACAACTGATATAAATACATATATACTTTTTTTTTGTAAATACATACATATTATACATAGAAACACCCAGACCAAATCAAACATCAAATGTTCATGCACACAAATGTTTGACTTGAGCGGGAATCGAACCCGCGACCTTTAGCAGTCCGTTACACAAACCACTACGCCATCCAGTCGTTATTATACACAATACTAACAAATGACGTCATAAGTCAGTAGAAAAACGTATTCAGACGTTAGAGTGACGAAAACAAACGAAGAGGGCTGTGTGCAAGTTTATTTCACATGGACTAGCTATTGACGGTGAGAGCGTTTAGCGTTGCGATTGGTGGAGATTTCTGTGCTGGCCAATCGTAGCGTCGAACGCGGTCACCGTGACGATCGGGTAGATGTAAAATAAACTCGCACTTGGCCCTCAGACGTGTCGTTTCTTTTGGTTTTGTTGACCTTGCATGAACATAATGAATCTTTTTTCTCATTGTGACAATATTTTTAGATGGTGTGGTGTATTGCATACTAGCAATTGTCCGCGGCTTCGGTCGCATTAATATACATTTTGCTAATCAATTTTTGTTTTTATCTAAACAAATAAATAAAATTGGAGTGTCTGTTTGTAATATTAAAATAACCGCTTTTTACTAAATGCATATGTATGTTTACACGGTACATATGCCACAATAACATTTTTTTAAATTTGTCTGTCTGTCTGTCTGTTTGTTCCGGGTAATCTCTGGAACGGCTGGACCGATTTCGACGGGACTTTCACTAGCAGATAGCTGATGACATAAGGAGTAACTTAAGCTACTTTTTTAGACTAGCTTCGCCCCGCGGCGTTGTCCGCGGTTATAACAACAAACGCGGGTAACACCGCGGGTCTCAGCTAGTGGAATATATTAATTGTGCATTGAGAAGTTAAGAAACAAATGAACGAACTCACATTCGTGTTTATAATATTAGGTAAAAGATAATGTTATTGTTTTATTATAGATTTTTCTGATAAGCTGTACAACATGTTTTATAAGAGATAAAAAATATTGCATGTACTAACGTAACACCACTATATATAAAAATTACATACACACTATTTCGGATATCTGACACACAACGCCATCTAGTTTCAAACTAAGCAGAGCTTGTACCCTTTTTTTTTTTACTGACGCAGGTGATCACTGGGAAAGGATGTTCCCGGTGCTCCCTGGAAGCGAGCGCGCTTCGCAACGCGCTCGCCGCCACCCCGGCCTGCTTCTGCTAAGGTGACAGATGGCCTCACCTGTCACCCCCAGGCCTGCGCTTATGGAGGACGGATCACCTGCGTCAGTCGGTATGAGAGGGTCCCGTGACGCCTCTCGAGCCAATCCTCCATAACGGGTCTTACCGCCGCGATGACGGCGTGCCCGAGAGCTTGTACCCTGAAAGCTAGATTGATTTATATACTTTTTTTTTTGTAAATACATACATATTATAGATAGAAAACACACAAACTCCGAAACAAATATTTGCAGATCATACAAACATTTGGTCCGACCCCGGCATCGAACCCGAGACCTCCGCATAGCAGCCGCATTCGCCACCACTGCGCCACCGAGGCAGACAAGTATACTTTAATAATAATATTAATAAATCACACAATATATTATTAATTATTTACACAGAATGCACACAACTATTCACTATTTAATATTTACACAACATAGTGTTGTAGTTAAAAATATACAGACGCAATTATTTGTCGATAGTTTTAACAAATCTTTTTTTTCTTTTTTAATATTTGTTTACATTAGGAATATATCCTGTGTCGCGGGGGACTTTACAAACATACATGAAACGGACACAAAGAACACCCAGACTCAGATCAACAATTTGTGGATCACACAAAGTGTCGTCCCATGTGGGGATCGGACCCACAACACTCAGCGTAGTAGTAAGCGGCGTGGTGACCGGTTAAACCACTACGCCAACCGTGCAGTTGATGATCAATGGATGAACTGCGACCATCTGGAATAGAAAGCTCCGATAGGCGAATGCAACCGCTTAACATCAAATGATTAGTGTAAGTAAGCCCCAAGACCTTGTTCTAAGATGTAGGTAGCTCGAATATTTTTGGGCCCGACAGGTGTCCTTTTTCAAGGAGTGAAGTGATTTTAGCGTGAAAATCGACGCTGAATAACGAAGCAATGCAGATTATTACAATTTATCATGATAGCCCACTAACTACTTTTACTTAAAAAAATATTTTGTCATTTATTAGGAAAAACATTTTTTTTAGGTTATAGGGGGCAAAGGAGCCGGTCACCTGATGGTAAGTGGCTACCGACGCCCATGGACGCGTGCAAATCGAGAGTATATATAAGTATATAAAAGTTCGTTGCCGCCTTTTCAATCCCTATTCTAAACACAATCCATTCGCGTTAAGAAAATAGTGACGCGTCAATCAAGCCCCATACCCTGACCAATCAGGTTTCAAGCTTTCGCACGAAACGATAATTTCTTGATACCTGATTGGTCAAAGGGCGGGGCTTGAACGATACGTCACTATTTTCTTAACGCAAATGGACTATAGCATCGAAAAATCTCGTAGTACAATAGATGGCGTCTGTATATCCTTAACCTTTTAGTTCTACAATAGTGTACTTAAGTTTAAATCTTGCATATAAATTATACACTTTTATTTAAGAAAAAAGGATTTAAGAAGAAAGGACATTTTAATTGGGTAGATTTTTAAGTTTAAAATAAATTAATTCGCCTGCACCATTTATACAGTATTTATGTATTATAAGGTATGTACTTATGTGTAATGTTAATATGTATAGGTGTAGTATATGACAAATTTGTATGTGTATATATTTTATGATTTTGTACAAAGTATGTATACAACATTAAATGTCTAAATTAACTGTAATTAAAATGCACCCACTTCCTGTTTTCTCTGCATCAACCAAAGGTTGACTGGTAGAGTATTCCTTAGGCATTAAGTCCGCCAATGCACCAAATGTGCATGATGTGTAAATAAATAAATAAATATGACATCTTAAAATTAAATATAAATGATTTGACAATAGCTAGGTATGACGTCACGCAATAGTATTTTATAATACAAAAACCGTTTATTAAACGTCAAAACGATATTATTTTGACGTTTAATATAAAGATACTGGACAGTCGTCTATGCCATTGTTCGCAATGGTGAATAAATCAAATGTTTAAATATAATTTCACCATTTTTCGTACTCATAATAAATAATATAAACTTTTGCAGAAAGCTCAGAGGGCCAAGTGCGAGTTTATTTCACTTCTACTCGATCGTCACGGTGACCGCGTTCGGCGCTACGATTGGCCCGCGCTGAAATCTCCACCAATCACAACGCTAAACGCGGTCGCCGTCGAGAGCGAGTCGATGTGAAATCAACTTGCACTAGGCCCTCAGTTCTTAACATACATATTTACAAAAAAAATATAGGGAGAACGTTTACGAACATTTCGTCATCATCAATCATCATCATCAGCCTTTAATAGTTCACTGCTGGACATAAGCCTCTCCTTAGAAATTAGGTTTTGGCCTACTATACCACCCTGGCCAGACGGGTTGGTATAGGGTTTGTGTCAGTTTTCCTTCTCTCTGCAGTACTGTTGTCCTGCGTAGTTTTTTCCCTTAGTCGGTCGCAATAGTCGTATAGAATAGTGTCGCATCTGACATTTATTGCACTTTATAAGGTAGTATTTCAAATAATTGTTATTTTTTTTTGACATAACTTTTTTATTTATAAATCTGTGATTATAAAAATTGGCATTCAAGTGCAAAATATGATGATGATGGCAAGATATGGCAGGAGGTGGATGCGAGAAGCCCAAAATCGATCTAAGTGGGGTGAAATGGGAGAGGCCTATGCCCTTGCCCTGATTGTGATTGCCCTGATGATGATGATGAAGTGTTAATAGGGTTTGTTTTAATTAAACATATAGGGCAATAAAAATAACAACTAATTGTACAATTTTCTTTGAATAAAACACATGCCTCATTTTACTATGAGCGCCTATCAAACAAACACAGAATAATTTAAAATCTAAAATACATATATTTTATTTAATGTAGTAATAATATTTAGATTAGATTCATATTAAAAACTGAATTTAATATTTTTTTCAAAACCGACCTTATTCTACCGCGAATATCTAAACGCGATTGGTCGCTCTACCCGTTGATGAAGGACCTCTGTCGGGCGCATCCGAAATACGTACGGGTACAATTGGGTACAATTAAATTAAATTTGTATCAACTAGTGATGAAATTATCTATACTACTACATATTATTACCATCATCATCAACAGCCTTTACTAGTCCACTGCTGGAAATAGGCCTCTCCCTACAAAGGAGGTTTTGGCCTACTATACCACGCTGGCCAGACGGGTTGGTATAGGGGTTGTGTCAAGTTTTCCTTCTCTTTGCAGTGATGTTGTTATGCGTAGTTTTTTCCCGTAGTCGGCTCTTACGACACTCACGGGATGAATAGGGGTGGTGACACTCTGTATTCTTATTCCGTCACCGTATTCTATCACCGTATATTATTGTATATATATACTTTTTTTTTGTAAATACATACATATTATACATAGAAACACCCAGACCAAATCATAATATATTCAGACTAATAGACATATTTATTTAAATAAATATTTAGTTTGAACAGGAATAGGAACTAGGGACCCTAGTAGCCAAGAGGTGTCAATCGAATGCTATACCGCAGCGCCAAGTAATAAAATTCCTCCTTAATTACCTATTGGTAGGGAAGTTAGGAAACATTCTATCAGTAGTTTTTCCGGACAACGGTTTTCCGAGCAATCTTAAAACTGGATTGCCGGATTTACGATGGAACAAGCGGTCTTCGAAAATCCGGAAAAACATTTTGTAGATTTTATTTTTTTGTATTTTCTTTCGTGTGGGATCGGGAGGGGGGAGGTTCATGGATTTCTGATTGCGACTGACCAGTACCATACATGATTTATACAATAACAATGTTACAAGCTTAAAAAATAATGTAAAAAAAAGAAAAAGATTTTTTTTACAGTATCATTTGGTTGAAGTTCCTTACTGTACACACTAAAATCGTTTGTTCCAAAATTGAACATTGTACCTGCCGTAAGAGTTCGTGAAAGCCGACAGTCTCTTCGACATACACTGAACACAACACAATAACGGCAATCCTAGTTTCATTCCAGCCCGAAGAGCCAGTTGATGCCTTGAGCTAGAAACAGTATGAGAGGCTGCCACGCCACCAGCCACCTGATCCAGTCTAAGAGCTGGCCGTACAAGATGTGGGGTCGATCCCAGCTGAAAAACTTGTTAAGGAATCACAAAATAATAAAAATGCCTCGTCCTAGACACGTGTCGCCACCATGGTCGCCACGACATCACTATTCTAGTGGTTAGTGACTGCTGAGCCGGAGGTCGTGGGTTCGATTCCCACCCAGGACAAATAATTATGTGATGAGCACGGTTATTTGTTCTGTGTATGACTGTAATATATGTATATTTAAAATGTATATCTTTAGTAATATTTAAGTGTTTGTGTCAAAGGGTTACTCAATTGTGGATTACATAGAAGACAAAAATGATTGGGATTAATTAGCACAGGCTATTTCTTAAGTAAAAAGGTAGTGTATTTTTTATTATTATTATTTTTTCCATTTTTAATGTTTTACTTCATTTTCTCTTTTATTCGGTTTTTTTTTAATCTTGTTTTCTCTTCTTTGTCTTTTTACCTTTTAGTCCTTAATAACGGACATACAAGCACACATCAAAACAATGTTGTGGTATATTTAATAGTGCCATTGTATCTACCTGTGAATTGTAAAAGAGTGGCCATGAGTTTGTTTGCTCTTTCTTCTCATAAGGCTCAACCCCTTGGAAACAGGCGGTTGTAGATCAGCACAGGCATATCATAGATTTTGTATGGGTTTGATTTTTGTAAAATTGATTTGCTTACTATTTTTTTTTTTTTAACAACTCCCGCATTAGGAAAATATCCTGTGTCGCGGGGGACTTTACAAACATACATGAAACGGACACAAAGAACACCCAGACTCAGAACAACAATTTATGGATCACACAAAGTGTCGTCCCATGTGGGGTTTGAACCCACAACACTCGGCGTAGTAGGAAGCGGCGTGGTGACCGCTTCGTACTACGCCATCCGTGCAGTCAATTTTGTCAAGTCAAGATTTGACAAAACAGTGATTGTTGCTTTTGTGTGTGTTAACCTATGACTTTAGAGTCTACATGAAAGACGATTTCGAACAATTGTATTTTTTATATGAAATAAAGAGAGTATGAGAGAGTATAGTTTTAAGTATAAGCAGTCTGGTTACCAGAGCACAGGCTCTGCCCCAGGTGATTATGCTCACGTAGTTAAGATTAAGAATGTGGGGTGTCACCACAAATAATTATTTTTGCGAAGGTCACAACTAAAACTGCTGTACAACATAATCTACCTTCTATCCAAGTACAAATCTGGGAAAGTAGACTTTTAAAAAAAGGATACGGATTTGTGAACATCCTCTTGAGGTCGACCTTCTCCTTGCAGTAGGGGCAGGTCTGCTTCTTGCCCACGATGCACCAGCCTCGTATACAGAACTCGTGGAACACGTGGCCACAGGTCAACTTGTATGTATTCTCTGCAAACATAAGGGAAACCATACATTACGTTTAAATTGCTATCCTAGTTCTGAGAGAGATGAAAGAGAAAGAGAGAAAGAGAGAGAGAGAGAGAGAGAGAGAGAGAGAGAGAGAGAGAGAGAGAGAGAGAGAGAGAGAGGAGAAAGTGAGAGAGAGAGGGCGAAGAGAGAGGAGAGAGGGAGATAGATGGGGGGGGGAGAGAGAGATGAAAGAGAGAGAGGGGGGGACGAGAGAGAGAAGTAGAAACATTGATCTAATGGGGGGTTAACAAACACTGATAATATTAAGGGAGGGGAGCTGTAAAAGTTTTCTATAGGAGTTGTCTTTTACTGTCGCGGGACTTTACAGGCATTCATAACAGGGATACAAAGAACACCCAGACTAAGAAACAATTTGTGGATCACACAAAGTGTTGTTCAATGTGGGAATTAAACCCACAACAGCGCAATAGGAAATGGCGAGCAATCCCTGCAGCACATTTCTGGATTACCAATCCATTCGAAAGTTACAAAAGGTAATATTTCTTTTTTTTTTATTCCTGTCTACCCCCTTTCGTGTACGGCACTCACCGAGCACTCCCTCCTCGTTGACGTCGACGAGCAGCAGGTTCCCGCACACGGCGCACACGTTGCTCTCGAGCTGGCGCGTCGGGATGCCCTCCTGGGTGTAGTACTGCCGACAGACAAGCTCCTAAATTACCGCGAGGCAAGCTGACAAGAGAGATTTCTTCTTTATTCTAGGGGGGGCAAAAGAGCAGATAAAACATCTGCTCCCCATCTTCCCGAATTATGGGTTTGGGACTTTTCTGTTAAGCCGTAGCGGCATTCCGGTCGAGTTGGGTTGTCGGGGAGAAAAAAGAGTAGTTAGCAACTTAGCAACGTTAACTTTCCGTGTGGTGACAGATTATGAATACAGAGTGTCACCACCCCTATTCATCCCAAAGGGTATCGTCGACTAAGGGAGCAAACTACGCAGAACAACAGCACTGTATAGAGAAGGAAAACTTGAAATAAACCCTGTACCAACCCGTCTGGCCAGCGTGGTATAGTAGGCCAAAACCTCCTTTCTAAGGAGAGGCCTATGTCCAGCAGTGGACTGTTAAAGGTTGTTGACGAAGGTATAGCCCAGCCGCGTGGAGGTATCGTCTGCGTGTGCCGGACGTCGTCTAAATCATAGATTTTAAAAGAATGTGGTGCATGATCGCGTTTGGGCAGGAGCCAGGAGGGGTCCGTATTTTTGTTTTAACATAACTTACCCCTATAGACGCAGCCATTTTATCACTGCAGTATTCAGCTACGTCTCTCCCCAGCACACCGAAGTACAGTCCATAGAACAGCAGCATCAACGCCACGTCCATCCACTGTTGAGGCTTGTGCCCGAAGGCCAGGTTCAGCCCGAAGAAGGTGAGCATCATCAGTATGTACCCAACCACACCGATGAAACAACTCACCTTGTATATTAGATAGAACCATTTGTACACTAACCTGTAATTATAAAGAAGAAGTGATCTTATGCGAATTTAGAATTTCTCCTTTTTTACATACATAAAACAAAATGGCCGTCTGGCAGATGTTAAACAACGGAATTATTTTAAAATATGGGTATTAATCATATTGCCACATTGCATTATATGTTACTTGGACTATCGACGGGGATTGAAACCACAACACTCAGCGCAGTAGGAAGCAGCCAGGTGATCGTGCAGTCAAACTTAATAATAATATAATATAATATAATAATATATTCTACCACATACACACAACGCCATCTAGTCCCAAACTAAGCAGAGCTTGTACTATGGGTACTAGACAACTGATATAAATACATATATACTTTTTTTCTTTTGTAAATACATACATATTATACATAGAAACACCCAGACCAAATTAAACATCAAATGTTCATGCACACAAATGTTTGACTTGAGCGGGAATCGAACCCACGACCTTTGGAATAGCAGTCCGTTACACAAACCACTACGCCATCCGGTCGTCAGATACGTCAATACCTTAAAAGTTCATTACTTATGACCCGATTTGACCCGATACTTTGCATTTGGTCCCATTTCAATGTAAGGAAAAAATAAAACCACTGAAGGTAGAAAATGTAGGAATGAATAATCCAGTTTATTACAATTCAACGTGATGTAGGCGCAGGCATGATCAGTGACACTATTTTTTAAAGTATTTTTTTTTTTCGGATGGAAAGAAGCCTATGTATTATTCCAGACTATAATATTCCTCCAGATCAGTACAGCCGTTCTGGGGCAATTGAATAACCTCACTCACTCAGTGAAAGGCAACGAAAGAATTGCTTAACAACGGCTTTCTGTGAGGCCGTGGTATCACTCCGGTCGAGCCGAAGCATGGCTCTCCCACGGTAAACATTAACATATGCCATAATGTCAATACATTTTTTTTTAATCTATGGATTTTGAGTGCAATTTAAAAAGTATTTCTTTACATACCTAGGCGTAGTAACAGACATAGGTTTATTTGTAGATTTCCTTATAACTACGGCTGTGAGCATAGTGAATATGCTCCAAATGATGATGAACCTCCACCACTGGTTCTTGGCGCTCATCAGCACTGGTATCGACCACATGGCAATCATCGTGAACAGCTGGAAAAGAATACAATTTTTGTTAACGCTCAGATATCATGATATTTATTTATTTTTATTTTTAAAAGGCAACTCCTGCATTAGGAATATATCCTGTGTCCTGGGGGACTCTACAAACATACATGAAAAGAGCACAAGGAACACCCAGACTCAGAACAACAATTTCTGGATCACAAATCGAGTGTGATCGAACCCACAACACTCAACGCAGTAGGCGTGGTGACTGCTTAAACCACTACACCATCCATACACCACCACCAGTTAAATATATATGTCGCAGTAAGGCAGTAAAATAATTATACCGTGGGAGAGCCATGCTTCGTCACAAATGGGCCAGGCTCGACCGGAGTGATACCATCATCATCATCATCAGCCTATCGCAGTCCACTGCTGGACATAGGCCTCTCCCATTGACACCACGGCTTACAGAAAACCGGTGTTTAGCAACTCGTTGCTTAACACCGAGCGAGTGACGTTACCTGAGTCCAAAAGATTCTCAGGGGGATTCAAACGTATAATATAATATACCTCACACATCTCACACACGGCCGTCTGATCCCAAACTAGGCAGAGCCTGTACTATGGTAACCAGACTGCTGATAAACATACTTATACGTCACTCCTTGAAAAAGTAGTTACCTTGGTTGTCTCGTAATCTTTGTACCGCCCTTACAAAAATTCGGCAGTCTGTAGGACATACACGATTGACTCCATACGTGTCCGTAAAGCAAAAGATGCGTTTTGATAGAGTTTTCCATAAATTAACATCATAGCAGGATATTCCGCGGCTGTGAAGGTCACTCACGGCATTATGGATGTTGATATCGATAACCCAATAAAATTAAAAGACTGATAATGCACTCAGTTTCACACTACACTACACACAGAACCTAATAGTGACTTTTCAAAATAAAATTAGCAGGACTCCTTACATTACGAAGTCTTGCGCACACGATAACATTAATTGTTCACACCATTGCCGTGTATTATGACGAAAGCAATAAGACTAAACAATTATTACCACAAGAAAACTTCTCTAAACAAATATGTATCTCATAAACAACAACAATATTATTATTACGGTTATTTGTCGTGAGCGCATGTACAAGGATACTTTCTAAATACATACATATTATAGATAAATTACACCAGACACAGAACAAATGATCGTGCTCATCACACAATATTTGTCCTGGGTGGGAATCGAACCCACGACCTCCGGCTTAGCAGTCAGGGGCACTAACCACTAGACCAACAGGCCCGTCAACGCACTTGTGACAGTTGCAGGTCTCCATGGCCGACGATAGTCGCTTACCATCAGGTGACCCGTCTGCTTGTCTGACATATGACACTATCATATCACACACAAGGGGGTCATCTACACGCAGTGGAGGCCCGAGGCCCTAGAACGTGTAGGCGTGCGGTTTTTGGTCGGTTCGAGTCCGACATAATCACCCCACCGGTGGGTGACATCCGAGGGTATTTCCGCACAGGAAAAAAAAGGGGGCACCATCATATCGTACGAGGAGACTCACAGCATAAGATCTATAATGTCGTTTCTTCCACTCCATGACGACCACCTGTGCCACGATGAGTGTGATGATGAGGATCATCACCATTGTGGTGTGCATCGATTCATGGCCTCGATGCAACTCGTGCAGCTTCTGGTGATCATACCTGAAAAACAATAATTAACATCAATACATTGTAAACTGAAGATTTGTTCGTTTGGTTAACGCGCTAATCTCAGGAACTACTGGATCGAATTGAAAAATTCTCCTAGTGATGGATAGCTCATATATCGAAGAAGGCTATAATATATATAACATCACACTACGAACAATAGGAGACAAGCAGGAATGAAAAATGTAGCAAAACGGGTATTTATTTTATTATTTTGAGAGACAGACTAAATTGAGCTGGTCAGCGGGAGTCAGGGGAGAGTTCAGACTTCTCGTCAGAAGTCACTTCAGGTTAAAGATTAAGTTTGAACTGCTTGAGCAATCGCTTAAAATTCTACCTATTTATTACTTAATCACCTTTACTATTCAATATACGTAGATACTTCAATATACGTAGAGGCTGTTGATGAAGCAGAGGTCTCATGATTCTAATCAGTCTCCATACGGATGAGAATCACAAGACCTATTATAGCAATGAAACAAGCGATTTCAATATGTGACAAAAAAAGTTCGTCAAGTACCAGTAGCGTTAGTATTTGTTTTAACAGCAGTTGAATTCCAAATAACAATATGTAATCAATCAGTAAAAAATAATTTATGTTCTGTAACACAACTGTTCTGTCGTTTTAAACTGTCACTTAGTGACATAAGCTGTCGATTAAAAAATATACATGCTACGAATGAGTTCAAAAATTTAACGAATTGTTAATGGAAATGATTTGAATCGCTAACATAAACACATTTTTTTTTTTTAAGACAACTCCCGTATTAGGAATATATCATGTGTCACGGGGGATTTTACAAACATACTACAATACTAACTTTGGTCGACTCAGTTTCGATTTAGTTCAAACTGCCTATAGGTGCATTGGATTGTTTTTTTCCATCGTCGATCGTCGCGGTGACCGCGTATCGAGTACGGTGTTGCGACCGCACTGAAATTTTCACTAATTGCAACGCCAAAGGCGGTCATCGTCGAGTGAGTTGATATTTTTTCTTTTAAATAAACTTTACATTTACATTACTTTTTTTTACAGTGTCCCTGTTCGCCAAACTGTTCTACCAGTTTGTGGGCGTTCCGCTCAATTTGTAATAAACTTACTACCTAAATGCTACTTTTTTAATTACTATTACAACAGTGTAATAACTAAAAAATAAAATATTAATTTTCTACCACATTCAAACAACGCCATCTATTCCCAATCTACTGTACTGTACTGTGGGTACTAGAAAACTGATATAAATACATATAAACTTTTTTTTTGTAAATACATACATATTATACATAGAAACATCTTGTCCAAATCAAACATTAAATGTTCATGCACACAAATGTTTGACATGAGCGGGAATCTCACCCGCAACAGCAGTCCGTTACACAAACCAGTATGCCATTCGGTTGTCAAATTATATTCAAGAAATAAACAATACATATATATCATCATCGCTATTACATCACTGTTTTTAGGTACCTACTTCCTTATTTATGTACACATTTTAATCTATTACCATATCTAAACATTTATTTTAGTTTTAGTTTTGGTTTAAATTTATTTTTGTTTTATTATCCTCTCTAAGTATTTGATATTTATTACATAACTTTGGTACTACATATTTCCTAGTCCTTTCCTAAACAGCCTTTAATAGTCCACTGCTGGACTAAGGGTTGACCTTAGAAAGGAGGTTTTGGTGTACTATACCATGCTGGCCAGACAGGTTCGGGTTTGTGTCACATTTTCCTTCTCTTTGCAGTGCTGTTGTTCTGTCATTCATCAATTCATTGTTGCTCGAGTCATTTTTCCAGGAATAATATGAATCATATTATGTGAATGTGAAATTTAATTATTAATATTTGAGTAATTGATTCAAAATGTGTACCCAATACACAAAACAGCTTTTGGATATATTTATTAATAATATAATAATATTCTACCACATACACACAACGCCATCTAGTCCCAAACTAAGCAGAGCTTGTACTATGGGTACTAGACAACTGATATAAATACATATATACTTTTTTTTTTGTAAATACATACATATTATACATAGAAACACCCAGACCAAATCAAACATTAAATGTTCATGCACACAAATGTTTGACTTGAGCGGGAATCCTTGGAATAGCAGTCCGTTACACAAACCACTACGTTGTCAATTTGTTTTGATAGGGGTGCAAGTTTCCGCAAATAGTCTGAACAATGGTCCCTCATGCCTGTGGGATAGTTTAGCTGTGTGAGCTCTTTTCAGAAGCACAAGAAACCTCCTGGCCAGGCTTCTAGGAGTGATTTTGAATTAACCTTTGACTATATACAAATAGAAAAAATCTGTTTGTGGTGTGGTAGAAGAGCTTTCTAATAGATAAATCTGTAGGAATATCAAAACATCATGTTTCAAAGCTTTTGTCACCCCCTCTTTTTATTTCACTTGATATCTGGCAGAAATCTACAGTGGGTACAGCATGGATAAAATTTCTAAACAATCAATTCTCATAATCATAATATATAAATGCTAAATGTACAAATTCCTACGGCAAAATTCTCTGCAAATTTTAGATTTGTCTGCGGCACAATGTGAACTTAAGTTCTCATACATATTAGCCCTACTAGAGTTAATTCTTCATTTAATAAGGTGTAGAATAAACACATGTATGCCACTGAACTGACTACCTAGGTAAGTTACAAAATCTTATTAGAAGTTTATAAATAAATGTTGAGCCACAAGATTAATAATTGAGTCCTGGTCCTGGAGTTGGGGACTTAAAATATGTGTCATGTTCTTATCAGAAACTATCTGTAGTAACTTAACCCACATAACAACGAGATTATATAAATGAAATCTTACCTTAACTTCTCCTCTGACGTTAATTCTTCGTAAGTCTACACAGAAAAGTAAATAAATTAATGTAAAAGCATGCAAAATCACTTATTTAATCATAGATTAGAATCACAAATGTTTTACCTTATTCGGGTCAACTGGCCTATGAAGATCCATGATTGTAAGTATATTATATTTATAATCTATTAAAGAACACTATCATCGAATCATATGAATATTAATTTAATTATAATACTAATTTACACCTAAAATTACTATGCCACCACGAATGATGCCGGACTCGGACGACGTTCCATTCGGAAACTAGCATTCGCCTAAATTACGACATACTACAATTTCTATAAGTCATCCCTGTTTTTCTTATAGTAAATAATATATCTATCTCTCTTTTACATGCTTATAATGCGTAACAACTGATTAAATGTTGAAATTGAAATTCAGCTACTTATCGTACTGTCAATTTGACAATATGACTGTACCAGGGGTACCAGCGTCAATAATGTCGAAATACTACTTTACATACATTACATTAAATCAGTGGCGTAGCTAAGCGTGGGTGAAGAGGGCCATCGCGAGGGGCTCCTTTAAATGCGGTGCCCCCAGACTTTACTAAAGATGACTAATTCAATTCAATTAAACTAATTGTTAACAGGGCTGAAAATCCCTTTGGATCTCCAGAGCCTTGGAGACGTAGGAGTGACGAGTATGTGGTGTTTTTTCTAGAAACCTATCTGACGTCCGATTTCAGGTGCTCAACTTTGGGAGGACCTGGACCATGTTATTTCAGGTCCCTCCCGGAATAATGCCGAGAAGCCACAGGCTTCCTAAGCCTTTTGGCCTAAATTTATGTGTTGTGGTCTGACTGTGTTTTGATAGGATTGCTGGTGGGGACTAATCTTGTTCGATTCTATCTATCAGGGTCTAGACACCCGAGGGGGGGGGGGGCATTTCTCTTGCGCTTAATGATCTGAATCCCAGTCGAGTGCCCAGTGCCGGCATTGTGCCGTTTTCTCACATCCGATCGAATTCAGGTACTCACCGAAGCAACCATGGTCGAAGAGTACCTGTGTTAATTGATAGGTGACGCGACCTGCCTCCCTACTTACCCACTCTTCGAGGTCAGAACGAAACCAACAACTCGTTAGTGCACATTCCGCGGCTGATCCAGCCACACGCTTTTGTATCAGTGCCAGTGGATAAGTGCTGCGCCGTATTTTGAGCCCGTCCTGAACCTCCCTTGATTGAGCTGAGTTCGTCAGCGGAAAAAGGCCGATAGGTGCTTAGCCCATATCGGTGCTCCGTAAAGGGCCACTCAATATTTAGTATTGATGACTGACATAGGCGTCATAAAATTCCTTTGCATAATCGCCTACTGGTAACCTTTCTAGAAGGGAAAGCTACCAGTAGGCGCTATATTAAAGACTACTAGCAATGCAATGTTGAGTGGCAATACTATTTTTCTTACTTAACATCTTTTGTACCTCATTTTATGCAAACAAACTCATTATTGTATTGGTTTTTTTTTTACTCAGCTATTTACTATTTATTTATTTAGCTACTTGTATTTACGAGCCTAAACCAAGTAAATACAGCATGACGCGGCGTGTATTTTGTTGGTGTATTATTATTATAAACTTGAAAAATTATATTGATACTCTTAAATAACGCTTTTAATATTATAAACTTGTAGCAGGTTTAATAAAATTGTTTTAGTTTACTGCACCTGATATTAAACGCGAAACTTTTATACTATAACTACTATAAATACTTTATTATTTTTAACTAAAATGGGTTTTATGGGTCTCAAACTTTCAATCTCAATCTTTATCGCAAAACTCTAGTGGACTGTCATTTTCACTGATTGAAGTGTCATCAGTGCTGTCAAAATGTTAAGGGTTGACAGTATGACAGTAGCGAATGTTGTTATTATGTTAAACGAGATATTGTTCAGTGATTTTATGCAAAACAGTGAAATATTTTGACTTTGTGATGTTTGCTGATGTCCATTTGTCCGTCAGAAGTCGGAATGCCGAATAAGGGTAAATGTTTTATTACATCTTAGGTCGAATGCGTACGTCCTTACCGCAAATTTGATGTTTACTAATAAGTAATTGTCATATTATTACGTTTGTTGTGTTCATGCTAATATTGTAATCGTTAGTATATGAATGACTAGGATTGGAAACGGATTTTAGCATGAATTTTATACAGTTAATACTTATACAGGACTAGGCTCCACAGATAAAGCCCTAGTTTACTTCTTTTACATGCATGGTACAGCAAGACTAGCTGGAACTGAGATATGAGTGATGCACTTGCATACTGAGTATTAGCTTTAGTGATCCTGACTGACTAACCTAGAGGTTGTGGGTTTGATTCCAATTCAGGACAAACAATATTGTAATAAGCATGATCATTTGTTCTGTGTCTAGATGTAGCTTATTTCAAGTATGTATTTAGAAATATGTCGGTATATATTTTTTTGAAATAAATGTACCCTGTTGCTAAGATTATGTTTGGCAAACATAATCTGCGGTTTTTCTGGACCTTCAAACTTTCACGAAAAGAACATACTCCTTCCTAAAAGGCCAGCAACGCATGTGACTCCTGAGTTGCTGACGGTTATGGGCGGCGATGATCACTTTCCATCAGGTGACCCGTCTGCTTGTCTGCCCCCTCTAACATAAAAAAAATATGTGTATGTTTCAATAATATATGCATCTGTCTATCAAATCAGATGTAAAGCTGTGAGTGTAAAGATGTACTATAATCAAATATTTCTAATAACAAAATCTTGAGACACGTCTCACATAGACATTTGATCCTAAACTAGGCAGAGCCTGTACTATGGCAACCAGACTACTGATAATCACTGGACTGCATGGATGGTGTATTGGTTTAAGTGGTTGCTACACTGAGTGTTGTGGGTCTGATCCCCAACCAACACGTTATTTGATAAATCAATTTCAAATTGTTGTTCTGAGTCTGGGTGTTCTTTGTGTCCGTTTCATGTATGTTTGTAAAGTCCCCCGCTACACAGGATATATTCCTAGTGCGAGAGTTGTCTTTTTAAGCAAAAATATGTTATGTTATGTGTATGTTATAAAGAAATCTTAAGACATATAGTATCAAAATGAATATCTTGTTGTAACCAAAATTAGATTCAATACAACCAACAATATAGCACCACATAAGCTACTAATACTATTTAAACTACTCTTTTGTCGTATTTTTTGTCGTTTTTTTTTTTTAAAAGACAATTTAGGAATTATTATTCCCGCATTAGGAATAAATCCTGTGTCACGGGGGACTTTACAAACATACATGAAACGGACACAAAGAACACCCAGACTCAGAACAACAATTTGTGGATCACACAAAGTGTCGTCCCATGTGGGGTTTGAACCCACATAACTCAGCGTAGTAGGAAGCGGCGTGGCGACCGCTTAAACCACTACGCCATCCGTGCAGTCAAAAATCATCTCTACATTGAACACACATAAACTTTTAGTTCATTTTATTGACACTATAAAAAAATATTTGATAATATTTGCCAGTTTACAGAATGTGTATGGTAAAATATTTATATGCCACTTTCTGCTATTTGTCATGTGCTCTGACTCTACCAACTCTAAAATCATAGATTACAAAAAATCTGATGTTATCCAAGATTTTGGAAAGATACCATAGATGCAAGAGCCTTGGAGAACTGGTTGTCAGGCTTGTCTCTCTCTCTCCTTTTGGAGGCCCTGGGCAAATTAGCCCAATGAAGCCCCTATGAACTTAGCTGAGCACTATATTGTTAGAATAGACTAATAAGTATTGTAGTCAGTCATTACAAATGGATTTATCGAAATAAATATGTTATTCGGTGATATATATTCATTTTCCATTGGTGATCTGGCAGGAATTGGGCCCCTATCGATCGAGGGGCCCTGGTTACATGCCCAGAGTGCCCAGTGGGAGAGAGGGGCCTGCTCGTTGTCTATTATTACACCTAAATACTTTACCTTACTAGATAGTTGGAGTTAGGTTTCAAGTTGAGCAGTCTTCTCTGTAATTTTCCAAGCATAGAAGAATGAACTTCACATACTAGGTTTGCAAACTGTCTGCTTCAATGTTTGTTTTGCTGAAATTTGTTTTACGCATGTATATATTTACACTCAAAATATCTTTATTTCTCTCTTTTCTTATGAGAAGAAAAAGCAAACAGCCTTATGGCCACTCTTTTTCAATTACAGCAAGATACAGCCGCATGACTAAATATATCACAACATTGTTTTGATGTGTGTATTAGATCGGGATGCAAGAGTTTTTTTTTTTTTATGTAATATTTCATGGGATGTTCAGGAATGAAACTCATGTCACATACTATGAAAGTCTGGGAGAGAGTGATTGAGAAAAATAATAAGAGATGAGAGTGAGATAACCCGATAGATCGCCGATAGGGCGACCGTAGGCGCTATCCGTCGCAAACTGTTACAAGGCCAACGACTTGCACTGATATTCTTGTGCAAGGCATATAGGGACGGTTAGCACTGAGGCTTTGCCGGTGTTGGCGGGTGTGCTTCCGGTCGATCTCGAGGTGCAGAGACGTGCAGCCATGTACTATTCAAGACAACAAAACATGGAATGCGATTTTTTGGGCGCGCGTGATCGCGGTAAAATTATAAGATTGCTTCAACAGCAGCCCGATGTCTATAATGACCTCATAGACGAATGGCAACAAAGCTGGGATGAATCATCCAAGGGCGCCATCTTTACCAATTCTTTCCATCTGTTCGCGAACGGTTGTCGAGGATATGGCTTGAGGTGGATCACTGTGTCGCTCAATTTCTTACGGGTCATGGTAACTTTAAGAGCAAGCTTCATTCATTTAAATTAGTCGAGTCACCATTGTCTCAATGCTCAACACCTAACTCTCACTATGAACAGTCTGCTCATCATATCCTCTGGGAATGTAGTCTTTGGTATAATGAACGTAATATAATGCTGAATAGCTTGCAAGTGACATCTGGGGCGGTATACTATGGGGATCTTGTGTCAACTAGGGTGAATTTCCGTGCGTTTAGGCGATTCTGCCATACATATTATAGAAATCAAACATAGCTCACGTAGGACCCGTAATATTTGTGGCCGTGGTGCTTCCCTGTTTAAAAGGGTGTATGCCCATTTTACTTCATTTTGTCTCCCGCTTTGCTAAGGAGGGAAGTGGATTTACTGTATTTCCAACTCCTCCAATTGTCTTCTGATTAATTTCGTTGCGGGTTCCAAGACAGTTTAATTTCTTCCTGGGACTTCCCGAGTGTCATAACTCGGTGTGTTCGTGGGTCACTGCTGTGGATCCTGGTGTACAGGAGTTACAGTGGTGGGCGTGTGGGTGGGATTAGCCCCAATAAAAAAAAAAAAAACCCAAAGTCAATTTGGGTTTATGCCGGGACACCAGATGCCATATTTGCAATGCTCCAACTATGTGAGAAATACAGGAGTGTGCACAAAAAACTTGCATATGGTGTTTGTGGACCTAGAAAAGCCATATGATTGGGTACCCCGAGAGGTTTTGTGGTGGGCTTTGAAAGACGAAAGAGTGCCTGTTAAGTATGTAGAATTTATTCGTACTATGTACAGAGAGTCTAGCACTCATGTAAGGTTGGTCACGGGAAACACTTATCAATTCAGTGTCTCTGTAGGCTTGCATCAGGGATCCCTGTTCCTCTCTGATCTCTTCCTGTTGATACTAGATGCTCTGCCATCGGACATACAGGAGGGGGCACCTTGGTGCATGCTGTTTGCAGATAACATTGTATTGGTCGGTGAAGACAGGAGTGAGATCCAGAGCAAACTGGAAAAGAAGCGCCACTGGATTAAAAGTTAAGAAGTAATAGGTTATCTTGGTATGGACATGTCATGCGGAGGGATGAGGAAAATGTGGCGAAGAAAGTGTTAGGTATGGGAGTTGAGGTGTACAATCGAAGAAGAGGACCAAAGAAAAGTTGGATGGACCGTGTGAGTGAGGATATGGCTAGGAAGGGAGTAAACAGTGAGATGACGAATGATAGAGTAGAATGGAAGAATTATATTCACTGCGCCGACCCCAAACAAAATTGGGATAAGGGTAGGCAGATGATGATGATGATGATGATGATGACTTAATGCACAATGTGTACAGAGACAGACTACATGCTAAAAGCATTCTTAACCTTAGGGTAATTTACAAGCACCGCGGGCCGCTTGAGCGTGGGGACCTCTGGCGGCAGATTAGGGCAACCGTGGTGGGGGATAGAGTGGCTGCTTGATCGCCTAAAGACTCGATCGGGTCCCAATGTCTTACAAACCGACCGGGCCTATATTACCTCCTGCCTCTAATTGGGAACATATCCATGCGCACTACAGACCTTGAATATGGTCAGCACGGAAAAGTCCTCTCTTCAGTTTAGTAGGGCAGAAGAGACTTCATTTGTTCCCGCTGATTTAAAAGGCTGTAAGGAAATAATGTGCTCTCCCTTACCATATTATCATCTAATTACTTTATTTAATATATTTTATGTTTCAGACATAAACCGCACTCCGGCAGTAGAACCAAAGGCAGCCATACTTCCTGCACAGCATGCAGCGGCTAGCAAAACTGCACCTAATACTATAAAAGCTGTCGTCAACAAGGTAAGTCAAAAACTTATCATCATCATCATCAACAGCCTTTAATAGTCCACTGCTGGACATAAGCCTCTCCTGAGAAAGGAGGTTTTGGCCTACTATACCACGCTGGCCAGACTGGTTGGTATAAGTTTTCCTTCTCTCTGCAGTGCTGTTGTCCTGCGTAGTTTTTTCCTTTAGTCGGATTTTACGACACCCACGGGATGGATAGGGTTGGTGACACTCTGTATTCTTAATCCGTCACCACACGGACCTTATTAAAAACTTATATTTACAGTAATTTTCTTCTCTTTTTTCTACTACTACTCTCTGTGTGCGTATGCATCACTGTGTATTGGAAATATCATTGGCTGTAAGTTTTAGAGAGAAAATTGTAAGAGACTAGACAACGTTGAAAATAGTTTGAACAATATTGTCGCGCCATAGGATTAAAAGGTTTGATTGTATGGAATGTGGAATACAGCGCCATCTATTATCGACTCAAGTACATCTATTCAGATTGTTGTTAATACGAGTAGTTACGATGGTTACAGCGCTAGATATCGCTGCAAGTAACGCGTGACTGATTCTGGAATATTCTTGTTGTCTGGAACGGACTATCGATCTTTTTAGTAAAATTCAAAAGCGCTATAAAAGAGGAGCGTGTTGGCCGTTTGGGACAATATCGTTTTACAACACAGCGAATTAATATCGGAGTGAATTTCTAGTGCCACCAACGATATACATATGGTGATATACATACATATACATATGGTGATTTCTAGTTTATTATAGAGAGTGTTTGTAAATATAGTAGCCTAGTGGTTAAGGCGTTGGACTTGCGATCAAGAGGTCGTGGGTTCCATTCCTGACCACTACACTACCGACGTGAACCCACTCCTAACACAAGTAATTTTGCTTAGCGGGAGGGGTTAACGGGAATACTAGTAATTTCGATTGCTAGTAGAACTTGTATAAAAAAATAAAAAAAATAAATAAATAGTGCAATAAAGTAATTAACCGACAACTTTTATTAATTACTAGCTGAGACGCGCGGTGTTACCCGCGTTTGTTGTTATAACCGCGGGCAACGCCGCGGGGCGAAGCTAGTCTAATAAAAGTAGCCTAAGTTACTCCTTATGTAATCAGCTATCTGCCAGTTAAAGTTCCGTCGAAATCGGTCCAGCCGTTCCAGAGATTACCTGAAACAAACAGACAGACAGACAGACAAAAATTGTAAAAAATGTCATTTTGGCATATGTACCGTGTAAACATACATACGTCCGTGTGGTGACGAATTAAGAATACGGAATGTCACCACCCCTATTCATCCTGTGGGTGTCGTAAGAGCCGACTAAGGGAGCAAATTACGCGGGACAACAGCACTGCAAAGAGAAGGAAAACTTGAAACAAACCCTATACCAACCCGTCTGGCCAGCGTGGTATAGTAGGCCAAAACCTGTTTTCTAAGGAGAGGCCTATGTCCAGCAGTGGACTGTTATAGGCTGTTGATGAAACATACATATGCATTTAGTAAAAAGCGGTTATTTTAATATTACAAACAGACACTCCAATTTTATTTATTTGTATAGATATACCCCGCCCGTAAGAATATTAAAAATGGAAGGACAAGACTAGAGTTCCTTAGCCTGTTATAATCAGCCAAAACAGGTTAAACATGAAGATTTTGCAAAAAAATTGAGATAAGAAATAGAGGAATGATAAGAAACTTGAATCCCGAAAGATAATGTATTGTGTCTTGAAGACACTTGATTTTTGGATTCTTTTAGCCTTGAATCTTCCCTTCAAATAATCTAATTTAAGTTTGCAAAGTAATGTCCCTTAGATGTCCCAAGAGAGTCAGGCGACATCGCGTGCAACGTGACAGGACTAGTATATTCTCTGGCGGGTGAGATAGACGGAGGACAAATGTCTGCCAGTGAAAACGGTGCTTTAATTACATAGAGTCTTAAGTTTCTTTTTGCATAATTTTGGAGAACGCAAACAACTACAACCAACCAAAATGAGTCGCGTAACAGTACCGGTGGTGACGGTGGTCCGTGTGGTGACGGATTAAGAATACAGAGTGTCACCACCCCTATTCATCCCGTGGGTGTCGTAAGAGCCGACTAAGGGAAATAACTACGCAGGACAACAGCACTGCAGAGAGAAGGAAAACTTAACACAAACCCTTTACCAACCCGTCTGGCCAGCCTGGTATGGTAGGCCAAAACCTCCTTTCTCAGGAGAGGCTTATGTACGGCAGTGGACTATTAAAGGCTGTTGATGAACAGTACCGGAGACAAATAGAAGCGTACAAAGCTATGAAAGTCTATTGCTTAGATTTTTTTTTATCGGACTAATCCTTTCCACTGTAACTCATGAACACAGAGGCTAACAGCCACGCACACCCACGAATACACCGAGTCATGACACTCGGGAAGTCTCTAGAAAAGTTGATGAGTAAAAAGTGTTTGGTGCCTGACAAGGAAAAATAGCATATGTTATTGTGACGGTTACTTGCAAGTAAATTAACTTCAGTAGTCGAGATTACACCACTTCTTTGACACTACAGGTGTTTATTTAAGAAATGAACACCATTATTACTATCGTGGCTTTGTGGTTACTACGTGTTCATTTTTTTATATGCATATCATGCACGGAGACTTTTTCGTTTTCAAATGTCTGGAATGAACCCCGGTCCAAGCCGGTTGCTGTCAAATACTGCAAATTAAATGCTTGCTTAATGCCCATTACGATAAGTATTATAATTAGTACCATCGAGTATTCGATTTGGTTTTTGGAACGTCCACAAGCAAAATGCAAAAGTTAAATTAAAACAAAAAAAATACTATACAATATTATATTTATGATATAATTTATCTATATATTTGATGAGAGGTTTGTTGAAGAGTTTGCCGACGTCTCTGGCGAACACGAAGTCCAAATGGTTGAACTTGGGCCAGTCGCACGCAGGCCTGACCTCCTCTAACACGCCCGTGGCTTTAAATTGTTCTGCCAGACGCATTATTTGCTGAAAAAGAATATTCATCATTTTATAATACACGACCTATTGCACGCGGTTCCACCCGCGTTAATGTCGGCTCCTCAAGAATCAAAGTATCTCCATTATATAAAATTAAAAAAAAAACAAATTTCATCCAAATCGGTTAAGCGTGAAGAGTAACAGACAGACAGACAGACACACTTTCGCATTTATAATATTAGTATGGATGTATTTTTAAAGCAACTGAAACTTAAGCCCAATCCTCCCACCGCTCCCTCTGTTTTTCGGGAGGACTTAAGAGGCGACAACACACCTGTAAGTTGTAGGTGTCTATGGGCGGCAGTAACCAAAGTTGTGGAGGAACGGGTATCATGTTCCTCCAACGCAAAGGGAGGATCCTCCGACCAGGCGAGGTGATCATGCCTGTCGGGCCGCGGCCATACGGTTGATGTTGGGAACTTGTATATATGCTAATACAGGATTAGCAATTCTCATTTAGGAGTTACTCCGTAGTTCGATGTGTCTTCGTTAGATGACGCTGTAGTATGTTTCTGTTTCTTTGTATGTGGGAGTCGCCACAAAGTTATAAAAAATGATCAGATACATGATGATAAAAATTATTGTTAGGGAGTAACCAACTCCCTAAAATTTGTTATTTAAGAGAACAACACTTGTCGAAGACTTATTTTTATTTAAATATGTTGATTTTTATGTTCCGTTGTCCTTTCACAACCGTCCATTAAGCGCAATATTTTACGTATTAAGGAAGTGCTATGCAGGATACGTTAAATAAACGTGCGAGGTTTTTGCATAGCTCCGACAATCCACCAAATTCCTGGTATCCCGCGCACCAGTGCTATGTTGACAGATGGCCTCACCTGTCACCCCCGGCCTGCTCCTTTGGAGGACGGATGTCGTTCAGCGACCTCCAGTACCTAAGTCGCCTATCCACTAATATTCCTAGCTACATCTAATTTTTTTTTTTGAAACGGCCTCAAAGAACACCCAGACTCAGAACAACAATTAGTGGATCACACAAAGTGTCGTCCCATGTGGGGATCGGACCCACAACACTCAGCGTAGTAGTAAGCGGCGTGGCGACCGCTTAACGCTTAAGCTTGACGACTGGATGGCGTAGTGGTTTGTGTAACGGACTGCTATTCCAAAGGTCGCGGGTTCGATTCCCGCTCAAGTCAAACATTTGTGTGCATGAACATTTGATGTTTGATTTGGTCTGGGTGTTTCTATGTATAATATGTATGTATTTACAAAGAAAAAAGTATATATGTATTTATATCAGTTGTCTAGTACCCATAGTACAAGCTCTGCTTAGTTTGGGACTAGATGGCGTTGTGTGTATGTGGTAGAAAAAAATAAAAAATAAATAAAAAAACCACTACGCCATCCGTGCAGTCCGTGCACTCAATATTAAACCTACTTACAGATTTTTCAGTGAGTTGATCGTTTTCACCGTAAAGTAGTGAAACAGGTACTCTGACATTGGTGAGATTGTACGGCTTCACTGGGCCGAACACTCCGCCCGAGAACGTTGTAAATTCACCTGGAAAAATAGAAAATAATAGAGATAAAATGAGGATCTGTCTCTCGTTACTAATTTGCTTTAATTTGTGAAATTCCACTCTAATTATTATTTATTTGAATTTTTATGTGTAACATTTTTCTCTCGCTTTTCTATAATCTGTAATTTCGTGAAAAGGGACGGAAGTGTGTAACAAAAGGCCGGGGAAATGCCGCGATGTTCGATCTGACCAATAAGTGCTAGAGTTGGTCGTCAGATGGTATAAGATTTTTTTCAGAATGGATTATTTGCCATTAATTGTTGAAGTTCAAATAAAAACTTACAGTTATGAATAAATAAAAGATAAAACACTAGAGTCGTCACTTAAGTTTACTAATAATAATAATCAGTGCTTTTACGTATTTTCAATTGAAAACGGTTAAAACAATAATAACTAAGAAATTAAAGCAGGGTGACTATTTTTATCTGAAACTTCCCTCTTGACTTTTCATCATTACATCATCAACAGCCTATACTAGTCCACTGCTGGACATAGGCCTCTCCTTAGAAAGGAGGTTTTGGCCTACTATACCAAGCTGGCCATACGGGTTGGTATAGGGTTTGTTTCAAGTTTTCTTTCTCTTTGCAGTGCTGTTGTCCTGTTTAGTTTGCTCCCTTAGTCGGCTCTTACGACACCCACGGGATGAATTGGGGTGGTGACAATTTGTATTCTTAATCCGTCACCACACGGACTTGACTTTTAGCCCTCTTTAAATCAATTAATTCCTATTACTATAATCGAATAGTTATTGGTGTTAATTCTGTTGTTCGAAAACTCTTTAAACTAAACTAAAAATCACAAAAAAATTGTTTAGTCCTGCCAAGTACTACGGTTGCCGGCAACCGTTGGATGCAGGCCGCAATCAACCGGCCCCGCTGGAAATCATTGGGAGAGGCCTATGTCCAGCAGTGGAGAAGCATAGGCTGAGGTATATAAGTACTACGTTTTCAGAACAACTAAACAATTTTTTTGTGATTTTTTTGTTTAGTTTAGAGAGTTTTCGTACAATAGAATTAGCACCAATGTCTGTCTGGCTTAGCTCTAGTGATTATTTCATTTTTCTATTTCATACTTCCATAAATCCGTTCATCCCTTATTTTACCCCCTACTTACTATGGATGAAGTGTATATAAGATCTGTACAAATAATACTGCAGCGGTGTACAATAAGGGGATAATTAAAATAAATACAAATTATTTTCCACAAATCACTTCTTAGTTGGATTAATGTTTCACTTAATATCTTAATGTTTCACTTCTATATCTATAACTAGCTGAGACCCGCGGTGTTACCCGCATTCGTTGTTATAACCGCGAGCAAAGCCGCGGGGTGAAGCTAGTCTAAAAAAAGTAGCCTAAGTTACTCCTTATGTCATCAGCTATCTGCCAGTGAAAGTTCCGTCGAAATCGGTCCAGCCGTTCCAGAGATTACCCGGAACAAACAGACAGACAGACAGACAAAAAATGTAAAAAATGTTGTTTTGGCATATGTACCGTGTAAACATACATATGCATTTAGTAAAAAGCGGTTATTTTAATATTACAAACAGACACTCCAATTTTATTTATTTGTATAGATAAGAGATTCATTTCCACACGTGAGTAGAATAGTTTATCCTTTATATAAGTAATTAAATTAAAAAATTAAAAAACTCCAGACACATCTTGGGTTTGAAATTTGTCATAGTGTATAGTATTTTACTAGTCAGGCCCTTTCATTTGATACCCATATTGAGGGAGTCCGTGCGGTGACGAATTAAGAATACGGAGTGTCACCACGCCTATTAATCCCTTGGGTGTCGTAAGAGCCGACTAAGGGAGCAAACTACGCAGAATAACAGCAATGCAAAGAGAAGGAAAACTTGAAACAAACCCTAAACCAACCCGTGTGGCCAGCGTGGTATAGTAGGTCAAAACCTCCTTTCTTAGAAGAGGCCTATGTCCAGCAGTGGACTATTAAATGCTGTTGATGATGATGACGATTAAGTTAGTTGTAAAAAATATGGAATCCGCCATTTTGTGGCGGCGGCCATCTTGGACCGAGCTTAGAACACTCCCGACAATTTTTTTTTTTTTTAAAGACAACTCCCGCACTAGGAATAAATCCTGTGTCGCGGGGGACTTAACAAACATACATAAAACGGACACAAAGCACATCCAGACTCAGAACAACAATTTGTGGTTCACACAAAGTGTCGTCCCATGTGGGGTTTGAACCCACAACACTCAGCGCAGTAGGAAGCAGCGTGGCGACCGCTTAAACCATTACGCCATCCGTGCAGTCCGTGCAGTCACCTTTCAAACAAAAAAACAAAATCAAAATCGCTACATCCGTTCGGGAGCTACCATGCCACAGACACGTCAAACTTATAACACCCCGTCGTTTTTGCGTCGGGGGTTAAAAAAGATTTAATTGTGAAAATTACCTGTAATGGCCACCTTGCCATAGTGTTCTAGATGTCTTAACGATGCAGATTGAAGCCTGTTCAGGTATACAGGTATCATGTTCTGAAAATTACATAAAAATACATTACAACATAAGATAGGAGCCACCATGAGTTATGGTACAAGGTATAGCGATGGACATGGTGAAATTATTAAGGCAGAAGATGAAAATTCTTTTGCAAAATCAAGGGTTCGATTTTCGATCACTGAAAGTGTTGATAAATATGCCTGTTTGCAATAGTCTGAGGGTTTCTCCTCATCCACATTCTCTGAGCCTTTTCCCAAAATGGGTTTGGATTGTCTTCCAGTCAACTACTACACGACTTTACGAGCTACTGTCATCAGAGGGCCAAGTGTGAGTTTATTTCGACATCGACTTGCTCTCGACAGCGAACGCGCTTAGCGTTGCGATTGGTGGATATTTCGCCAATCCCAGCGCTGACCGCGGTCACCGTGACTTGACCGTGATCGGGCCACTGACCTCCCAACCCAAATACTAGGTGATATCGAAGTTCTGAAGATTTCAGTTCAGATATCAAGTTCTGATAATAACTTGACGTATCCCGACGGCTGTTTGCAGAGACTGTGTTTTAATAACCAGACTGCTGATAAACATACTAATATTTCATTATGGGGATCGAACCCAAGACCTCGGTCTCAGCACTCAATATCACTAACCATTAGACTAACAGGTAGTCAATACGTATGTTTGATAAAATTAGGGAGGAGAGACATATGTCAGCACAAATGGGCCCGGTTATACCGCGGCCTTACATAAAACTGGTGTTAAGCATATCATGTGAGTGGACTTACTGGAGCCCAAATCCTCAATTTAGGGGTGTTTTAAAGGCGACGAAGTGACTCTTGAGTTGTACCGTTTTAGGTTTTTTTTTTATGTCAGAGTTGGCAGACGAGCAGACGGGTCACCTGATGGAAAGTAACTATTGCCGCCCATGAACGTCTTAGATCTTAGAGGGGTCTCTACCATCCATACAAATAAATAAAATTGAAGTGTCTGTTTAATATATAGGTATAAGGGGGCAAACGAGCAAACGGGTCACCTGATGGTAAGCAACTACCGCCGCCCATGGACACCTGCAACTCAAAAGTCACAAGTGCGTTGCTACCCTTGGAGTCCCTCCCACGGGAGGGGGGATTTGGGCTCCGGTAACCTCACTCACTCAGTGAAAGGCAACAAAAGAATTGCTTAACACCGGTTTTCTGTGAGGCCGCGGTATCACTCCGGTCGAGCCGGCCCATTCGTGCCGAAGGAGTAACTTAGGCTGTTATTTCTCTCAGAAAAACCCTTTAAAATTTTGCCCGGTCCGGGAACCGAACCCATCAAGGCAGCTCTTTTCAAATTCTACGCTAACGAAGTCGCGGGCACTAGCTAGTAAAAAATATAAATGATCTAAGACCACAAGCTATGCTTAATTTGGCACTATAACGCTACCAGAAGGTTTCCATGATCATAATTCTCACCCAGTCGTTCTGGTCGGTATCTTCTCCAATGATCGCGAAAATAACGTTCATACACATGTCTGTCTCCGGTCGCCTGAGGGTGCATACATTGGCGAACAGGTTCTGCAGCAACCAGGGCTCGAACGCCAATATACCCCGTTCTCTTAAAATCCGCTGCCAACAAATAAAATAACAGTTATATAATATGTACCAACTAATCTTTAGTCCGTTTTTGGTCCATGTGGTGACGGATTAAGAATACAGAGTATCACCACCCCTATTCATCCCGTGGGTTTCGTAAGAGCCGACTAAGGGGAAAAACTACGCAGAACACCAGCACTGCAGAGAGAAGGAAAACTTGACACAAACCCTATACCAACCCGTCTGGCCAGCGTGGTGTAGTAGGCCAAATCCTCCTTTCTAAGGAGAGGCTTATGTCCTTGATTGATTGCTTATGTTAAAGGCTGTTGAAGTGATAATGTGATAAATCTTTAGTCTGTCTTTTAAAAGGAATAAATTTTCCCTATTTTTGCATTGATCCTGAGCTCTTATTGGTCACAGCGTGATTTGATATAGCCAATAGCATTCCTCGATAATCTTAATCTTATCATAAGGAAACGGACGGTTGTAGATCGGTACAGGCATATAATAAATACGAAAACACCCATAATCACACACATACTTTTATACAAACACCCATACTAACACACACTCACCTATACACATACCCACTCAATAGCAATTAGTCCACTTATGTAATATCATTTATTTACCCCTTGCATACAGCGACCACGTTCACTTACACGCACAAAAATTGTAATTTGCAATAGAGTCACATACACGACTGAAAACTGCCACCCAAAATACAAGCCTTCGCTTAGTTTGAGAGACAGTGGTACTAATTCTGTTGTTCAAAAACTCTCTAAACTAAACTAAAAATCACTAAAAAATAATTTAGTTCTATCAAATATTACGTTTTCAGAATATCAAACGTTATTCGACACGACTAAACAAATTTTTAGTGATTTTTAGTTTAGTTTAGAGAGTTTTCGAACAACAGAATTAGCACTAGTATCAGTACCTAAAGCACAATACATTTAATTATGTCCAATTATAAGTGTGAACCCTTGTGAACTGTATCATTTTTGTGATAATAAAGATTATTATTATTATTAAATAGATTTTCATCATCATCAGCCTATCGCAGTCCACTGCTGGACATAGGCCAGTTGCACGCCACTTAGATTTTTTTAAGATATAATTTAATAAGTAATTTAATAATAAGTTTATTTTGCTAAATATTTGACAAAGCATAGATTGTTGCTATTGTGTGTTTTGATCTTTATGGCTTTAGTTTAGTCCTTTATAAAAGACAATTGCGAACGATTGCGAATTATCGAAAATTCAAAATGCAATCGAAAAATCGAAAAATTTTAATTAAAATTTAATTTTTAATAAGCTGATTTGCTGCCCTAGACCCTCCCCCGTATGTGTAGGGCTCATGTATGGTGGATGGAGGTACTCAACTGGGTGTAAGGTATTATTGTAGATATATTATCTTAATCTGACACGATCGAGTAAATCCCGAAATCCCTTCTAGGGCTCCCCTACTATAAGAAATAAATTAGTTTTTCGTAAAGTTATGATTTAAAAAAAACGATTGTAGCAGGTTTAATTCCCATGTGTGTGTGTGTCCCATGTATTTCACATACTTAGAAATAAAATCTTACCGGCAAATCAAATGTATTTAGAAGTACATTGGCAAGTGGTCTCATATTGTCGAAGTAGACAGCCGGAGCCAGAGCAATGAAGGATATAATTTTGTCGTTGTACTCCGGCTTCAGCGCCATCATGATGAAGAAACTGGTGGTACCCATGGAGTGACCGACGCACATGATCTTTTCGAGCCCCGTGATGTTCAATACCTTGTCCACCATCGCTGGAAAATCGTATTTGCCGTGTTCGTGAAAACTAGAATCAGAAAAAACTGTTTAACACTTCTGTTTACCATCTGACAGGATCTGAGGCGAGGGGGTGCGGTAGGTTGCGGCTCTAATAGTGGCCAGATTCGAGAAGTTGAATAAATGGGCTAATTAGGGGTAGTTTTCCATTGGTGGCCGTGCTGATGTGGGCACGCTAAGAGTGGTTCGGATGTCTTGTTTTTTGATCTCTGCAGGTTCAATTCCGTTCAGTACAAACATTTGTACAAAATGCGGTGGTTGTAATGTGAAATGTTCCCTTGTTTTAAATGTAAACAACCCATAGCGCAAGCTCTAGTCTGGGTTTATGTGGCACTGCATAATATCTACCAGAATATTAGTATAAGTTGTCACATGTAAAAAGGACTGGAATTTTTAGCGCTGGGTCAGGCTCCGTAGGCTTACGAGCGCCGAGCGTGACGGCAATCCATTATATCTTCGTATATTATATTCCCGCTGTTGCTGTCTCGCAGATCCTGATGTCTTTATTTTGTACGTGCCCTCGTGCCATCTCCTCACCCTGGTTTTCGGTAGGGCACTGTGTAGGAATCGAACATTCTAAATCACCACTCTGCGCCTGAAATAGGAAGGATCCGGGCACAGAGTTGTCCGGGATGTTATTAAGACATTCAGACATTCAATCACACTGGTTATAACCTAACCTAACAGAGCCCAACCTTTAATTAAACCCCTAAGATTATAAAACGATAATTCGCCATTTTTGGGCTATAAAAATGTGATCATGTTTCACATGTAAAACTTTGAGAAAAATGATGAACAAGCGATTCATCATTTTTCTGATCCTGATTGTTAAATTAATCACTTGCACGGACAGTATGAATTGAGTGATTATTAGCTGTTGTTGGAGTCGCCTGATGACCCTGGGGTGTAATAAATATATAGTGTATTAATAACAAACCTGAAGTCCCAAAACTTGGCATTATTCCTGGTGAGATTCTTGTGGGAGCTGTACACGTTTCCTCTCAAGTTCCCCAACCAGACGTCATAACCAGCGTCCGCAAGGAGATACGCTGGAAATGTTTATAAAAATATATTCTTATGTTGTAAAATAATAATAAATTAAGCTAATAGTAATAAGACCTCTCTCTCTTAAAGTCAATGTTCCGTTTCTTAAATTTATAATATGACGTCCTCCAAGAACTTTCGACATGAAATAGCTTGTTTTTTTTAAAATACGATAGATAGCGCCAGAAACCTTTTCAGCTTAAGTTTTTTTATGGTATGGCTCTCTCATGGCAAACTAGATTTACGACTGGTATTATCGGTAACTAGCTTTTGCTGGCGGCTTCACTTGTAAAAAACTCGGCAGCTAAATTATTTTCTTGGAGGAAAGGTGTGTCCTTTTTCTATAATCCTGACAAAAAACAATAGATAAATTACACTCAGACACAGAACAAATGACCGTACTCATCACACAATGTTTGTCCCGTGTGGGATTCGAACCCACGACCTCCGGCTTAGCAGTCCGGGTCACTGACCACTAGACCAACAGGCCTGTATAGGCAGGCAGCCATAAAGAAAGATATAAAGTTATTAGTTACCAAGACTTCTCTTTGGACCCATAATGACGAAGTTTCCAGAGTCCCCCAGCAAGCCGTGCACGATAAGGATAGCTTTCTTTCCCTTAGCTGTAGGGTCCGCAATTCTTCTGGCTGAACGTCTTCCAGCTGGAATCCTGTGTAGTTGCAACTCGTAACCATCCGGAGTAGACACACGGTGCCTCTCGGCTGGGTAGCCGGCTGCTTTAATCAGGCTTGGCTGCGTAAATAAAAAAAAGGTATTGTGTTATATCTTGTGCACTCGGGCTTTTAGGCAACGGTCATTTCGACGAAATCATAGTTGGCAGAATGTGGGTGCTTAAAAGCTTTTATCTATGCATGTGGAAAACCCTTCGGGCCGTCAACCAACCGGGGTTTTCTAGTGCAGTGTGCACACGGTGTGCCTCAATTAGGAAGGATCCGGTTTCTATAACGGCTAAATTATTTTTAAGATCACGCGTGGTCTTGTTGAAAACGCATGCTCATACATGACCCAGTGTAAAGGAAAACGCGCGATCAACTAATCATCTGAACACGTCTTACCTCCCACATAACTGCTTTAATGCACTTTTATGTACATGCTACACACATTTATTAAATTATACAGATCTTAGCCACGAGCATGGCGGTTATGACTTAATAATGAATCAGCACAAATTGCAAATATTAATCTGTTGTCCGTTTGTGTATCTAATTATACACCTATACCTTTTCACGTATAATAGTAATTCGTATAATTATGTTGAAAACATTGTTGTGTTTATATCATTCTGATCTTATGTCAACTATTTATTGCGATAACAATGGAATGGTACTGTCACGTGTCCGGATGTTGTGTTAAAATTTATAAATCCTCGTTGTGTAGACTAGAAGACAATAGGACTATTGCTAACATCGCCTCGGGGAGAGATAGGAATTTGTATTCAATGTATGTTAGAGGATTCTGACGTTCCGGCAATAGACAATTCCGCCTGCACTGATGGTGTAGTGGTTTAAGCGGTTGCATCGCCTACTGTGCTGAGTGTTGTGGGTTCGATCTCCATATGAGACGACAACACTTTGTGTGATCCATCAATTGTTGTTCTGAGTCTGGGTGTTGTTTGTGTCCGTTTCATGTATGTTTCTGAAGTTCCCCGACACTGGATATATTCCTAGTGTCTGTGTGTCAGCTCCGACGTACGACTGTAATTTATACTCCTAAAGAACTCACACGCTGTGTACGTCGGCTGCACACAATACACATACGAGTATATGTAAATGTTAGTAAAATAATTAAAAGGCACGTATTAAGTAGGTTGCCTGGAAGAAATTGCATTTAGCAATAAGGCCGCCCTATGTACACTCGATATTTGATCGTTGTGTTCTTTTCTTGTAACTCTGTAATTTAGTGTGCAAATGAAGAGTTATCTATCTATCTATCTAAGTACCATTTATTTTGGGGTTTATTCCGTTTTAAAACAATTGAAATTCTATAGTGGACTACTCACTAAACTGAAACAAATTGCAATCATGTAACTAATAATAAACTCACAATGAAAATATTACTACAACCACGTAAAAGTAAATAGTTGGATCGCCATCTATAAATTACATTTAGAACTAAAAAACATGACATGGTCGTTCGATCACTAAATTTTACTCGTCATATTTTTTTCATACCGGGCGCCAAACACCAAAAAAAGTATGAGTTGGTACTGGTAAGGTTGCATGTATGCATCCTATAAGCAATATCCCTGTTCTACCACGGGTTTCTTATCTACCTTTCCTTTCAATATCTAGCAAGTACCTCGGCTCCCTCTTACAATGTGATGTGAGATTGATCGAACTGTACAGCATCGAATCAATACGGGATGGATGAAGTGGCGGCAGGTAACGGGAACAACTTGTAACCCCAGTTTCCCCGTAACACTGAAGGGACAAATTTATAAAACTATTATCAGACCTGCCGTCCTGTATGGTTCTGAAAGTTGACCCATTACGAGAACGGATGAGAGACGCCTGAACGTAGCCGAAATGCTGAGATGGATGTGTGGTGTGACTCAGATGGACAAGGTTAGGAATGAGTATATACGAGGGGGTCTGAAAGTAGCGCCACTGGATGAAAAGTTAAGAAGTAATAGGTTATCTTGGTATGGACATGTCATGCGGAGGGATGAGGAAAATGTGGCGAAAAAAGTTTTAGGTATAAGAGTTGAAGGGTACAAGAGAAGAGGCAGACCGAAGAAGAGGTGGATGGACTGCGTCAGGGAGGATATGGCTAGGAAGGGAGTAAATAGTGAGATGACGCATGACAGAGTAGAATGGAAAAATCATACATAATGCGCCGACCCCAAATAAAATTGGGAAAAGGGTAGGCAGATCATGATCTAGCTAGCTAGTCCTTGATAGCTCTTCAAGCGAATATTTAAGTAGGGTAGGATTTTCTTCAATGAATTCCTTTATTTCATTCTAAGTTTAAATGTGTATTTTAAATAGGTTGTACAGACACAATTCAGAATTCAAGTAATCGCTGCCGAATTCAAACGATATTCTTCACTATAACAAAGACACGAAGTTTAATTTCAATACGAAAATTAAGAAGCTCATTTTCAAGTTTTGTTCGTCTAATCGTGTCGAGGGCAACACTTTAAACAGTTTTGGCGCAGGGGAGGGCTTTGGAGGGATAAACCCATTATCCGTGTGCTTGTTTAGCCCTTATATTATAACTAGCTGACGCGCGCAACTTCGTCTGCGTCTGTCAATAGTAATAAATTTTCTCCGTTTTTGAAACATTCTTCATTGGTGCTCCGCTCCTATTGGTCTTAGCGTGATGATATATAGCCTATAGCCTTCCTCGATAAATGGGCTATCTAACACTGAAAGAATTTTTTAAATCGGACTAGTAGTTCCTGAGATTAGCGCGTTCAAACAAACAAACAAACTCTTCAGCTTTATAATATTAGTATAGATAATAGTTTATAATTATAGTTAGTACGACCGGAACTGATCTGATATTTTTACGAGTATAATAATAATATTTTCGGACATCAGACACACCACGCCATCTAGTTTCAAACTAAGCAGAGCTTGTACTATGAAAGCTAGATTGACTGATAGAATACTTATATGTATTTTTTGTAAATACATACATATCATATATAGAAAACACCCAAGTCCGAAACAAATATTTGCAGATCATGAAAAGTTTTGGTCCCACCCGGGAATCGAATCCGAGACCTCAGCACAGCATTAACTGTACCGCCGAGGTAGTCAAAGCAGTACCTACATATACGCAGTTTTGGATTGAGTCCCTGTTTTTAAATAATCATAAACATAATCAGAACTAGTCATCATAACAGAGACAGCAGTCTCGACTGTTTGCTTTTAGGAAAAAAAACACAGACAAAAACTAAACGTAGTATACTTTTTTTTTATTCCATGTATAAAACTCGTATAATCAAATCGCTTTTGATTTAATCTGTGCAATTAATTTTGTCTCTTGTAAAATGATAATAAGTGTTTGCGTTGTCCGTGTGGTGACGGATTAAGAATACAGAGTGTCACCACCGCTATTCATCCCGTGGGTGTCGTAAGAGCCGACTAAGGGAAAAAACTAAGCAGGACAATGACCGCAATGTCAGAGGTCATGTGTTCGAACCCCATCCAGTGTAAATAAAATAATCAATTGCATTTGTTTTGTGCCCGGGTATATCTTATCTCTAAATATGTACGTAGTTAGAAGTATATAAGTACGTTTATCAGCAGTCTGGTTACTATAGTACAGACTCTGCTTAGTTTGGGATCAAACGACGACTGTGTGTGAGGTTAGGTTAGGTTTCATTAGAGTATCTTAATAACAGCTGTTCCCGGATCCCTCCTATTACAGGCGCAGAGTGGCACACCGTGTGGTTTTAGTCGGTCCGAGTCCGACACACCACCCCGCCGCAAACACCGGTGGGGTGACGGCCAGAGGGATTTCCACACGTAAAAAAAAATGGCGCCTGAGACAGGTGACACCACATAACAACAACACACAAAACCTGAATGTTATGTATTTTAAATTCGATTTATTTATCTTTTGAGTATCTTTAACGATACAGCTGACCTTTGTTATTGCCTTACCTCACATAAAGTATGTAGGTACTTATTCAATATATAGAGGATTCATTGTTTTTGTATAGTCTGTGTTTTAAAAATATAAGCGATTATCTATGAGTTCATCTAGTCTCGACTTGCTAACTGCTAACGTTTTAATTGATATAAATATATTATTTTACATGAGAGCTATGTTTCGGGACACATGGGCCGACTCTACGTGTCACCACGGCCTCACAGAAAAACACGAATAAATAATTCTTTTATCACTTTTCACCGAGTGACAGGTGTTAATAAAACCCCAAATCATCCACCCCCAAATGTGGTAGGGAAGGCATTCAAAACCTGGCAAAGCAGCTGTGTCTGCGATGATTGTTACCTGATATCGAGTGACCCATCTGCACCATGCACATGAATTACTTTCACACTACACTTTTACATACATTCAGGTTAGGAGGCGATAAGTAATAGCCATTCGCCCCTTTGTCACTTGAATTAGGGGCGAGGGGGCGCTAGGCATTTTAGGAACCCATGAAATTATGTTTATATTTCCTCAGTAAAATAACTTTATAATATATTACTAAACACGTACAAAGCCTATGTCGATATTGTAAGTGTTTTCCTATACGGTCAGAATTTTTATTGCTTGTAACATTTTAATGCTGTCTGTTGGGAATAGACAAGGTCTTTTATGAAAAATTCTAAATAAATATTTTATGTGAAGTGATCTTTGTTGCTTAGAAATAATTATGTGTTTTTTATGTATAAGAGAGGCGCGACTTTGTCACGTTACTGTTCTCACCACGCACCCAAGGATCGAGGCTTAGGGTATCATTAAAAATTACGGCATTAATATATTGACATGCTGAAGGTTTACTGTATTTCCAACTCCTCCAATTTTCTTCTGATTAATTTCGCTGCGGGTTCCAAGACAGTTTAATTTCTTCCTGGGATTGCCCGAGTGTCTTAACTCGGTGTGTTTGTGGGTCACTGCTGTGGATCCTGCTGTACAGGAGTTACAGTGGTGGGCGTGTGGGTGGGATTAGTCTTAATGCTGAAGGCCAATTCTCGTAATAAAAGTTCGGTCACAATTCAGTTCCGATCAACCTTCGATCTCAGAACTGTCATAAAAAGGTATTTTCGTAG